TACATTGTGTACATTTGAGAGCAATAATACAGCCATGCCATGTGTGTTGTGTGCAATACTAACCCTAATCTAAACATCTTCCTGCTGCTTTAGGTGTGTTGCCTGACTTTGGGGTAGCCTGGAATGAGGCTCGCGTGCCTACTCACATTTCAGCATCAGTATTTGCAAAGGTATTAACGCAAATATATGTATCCATGTCTGTGTGTATTAGGGTGGATCAGATTCTGGGAAAAGGCCAGATTCCTGTGGACAAGAAAATGAGGGACAAACTCCACCCAGATGGAGATTCCCTGGAGGGGATGAGTATGCTGGGACGTGTGTGTAAAGTGGAGAGGCAGGTGAGGCATTGTGCAAGATTTGATTGCACAATAACTGCATTCATGTTTCCAAGAAATCAAAGTTATACTTATAGCTGTAGGCTATTAAACAATACCATGAACATGACTGGGCCTCACAACTTGATGTCTGTTGAAAGAACAGCACAGCTTCATAATCACCACCTTTTTTTCCTACTCTCTTGCCAGCGTACCTTTAACCTTTTTAGCTTCCTCAACTGTAATATACTTGGTATCATTAATGATAGATTTTACACACAAAAAAAACAAAATGTTGTGTGTTTTAATACATTTGTATCACCTCCCTGAAATATTAGTGCCATTCACCTTCAGTGACATTACATAAAAAATAACAAAACAAGAAAGAGAATTATAATAGCAAGAAAAACAGAGTAACAAGTCTTAGTTGTTCTCTTTTTCTGTAGACTCAGTGCTTAAAACTTAAGTGATTTTTAACTGATATTACTTGATATTATCTTTTTAATGGCTATTATATTTTTATGGTAAAAAAAAAATTGAAATATTTCCATACTTAAGTGAAGCACCTATGGAGGGTATGTGGATTTTCAGTGTTCAAGTGAAAAGAAGATTCTTCACCTTAACATATGCAAGCATTATTATCCTGCTATGCCAGTACTTGACAGATACAAACGGTTGGATCCAAGTCACTTCCTTCTACCCCTGTCTCTTGTTTCTAGGTAACTTCCATTGAATCAAAGTTGGACTCTTTGCTGGATGTTTACCGCCAAGTCCTTCAGAAGGGTCCATCAGCACTCACCCTCGCCTCCCTTCCCCTGTTTGAGCTGGACAACCACCAGCACCACACCTCAGATTACCAGACCTCCATCATGAGTAGAGATCTCCCCTTGCCACAGGAAAGTGATCCAGCTGGAGGCAGAGGAGATAACAACAGGGGAACTCGTCGTTCTCTTAGTGCCAACCCAAGAGGCCTGCGGCTAATCCTGGCGCCTGCTGATGATTACTGTCCTCCAGACTCAGCACCTCCATCTTACCCTCCATCCACAGCTTCACTCTCCCCGTCACCCCTGTTGCCTCCTGACAGCCCCTATCCTACCTTAGTCACCCCTAATGGAACTTCAAAGAGAGCACACTTCCCTGACCTGCCACCCCCACCCTCCTCATCAGGAGGTTTCACCCTCCAGCTTCCCCCCATGGTGCACCCCTCTCACATTGGATGCTCTGCTGAGCCTGTCCCAGATAATTTGACGGGTGAGGTTGGGGTAAATGAAGGAAGTTTGGGCCCCTCTCTTGTTGTTGAATCTAGTGTGGATGCTGACCAGGAAGTGGAAAGTGAGGCAGGCTCTGTGAAGCTGCGGGAGAAGCCTGGCTTGAAATCTGAAGGAGTCTGGAGGAGACACATGAGCCTGGAGGTAAACCCCCTGCTTCTGCTCTCATCCAATCCAGATGGGATGCCTTCAGACTTGGGGAGCAGTCTGGGAAAGTCCCTCTCTGTGCATAATCTCAGCCAGCCTTTGACCAACCCTGCCCCTGCTCTGTCTTCAATGCTCAACAACAGCAGCAGCAGCAATGGCAGTGAAGGTGGAAACATCCACGGGGACATTAGCAACTGGGAGGGGGCAGAACTCTTCGTCAGTGAGAGCAAAATCGAGCCAGAGGAAGAACACTTCAACTTCTTGTCCCAGGAGCCTGGCAGCAGGCCATCAGACCTTTTACAGACCGTGGAGGAGGTGGCACCTCACTCCAAAGGAAACACAGATTTTCTCAGTCAGTCCCAACACGTACAGCTGACATAACCACAAACACAAACTGACACACACCACTGTTGGGGAAACCACTCTTTACATTTTTTTACAAGTCAGGAAATATTACAAATATCCAGTTAATGCCTTGTTTATAGACACAAAGTCCTCAGTTTCATTTCCAAAATTTTATTTGATCTGCTTTACAAAGTTTTTTTTTTTCCTTCAGTTTATGCTTTCTGTGAGGTATTAGAATAATACTTATTATAATTATTGACAGATTAAAGAAAAAATGTAAAAATATGTTAGAAAATGGGTCTATTCATATAAGATAAAAATGTTAAAATGGGGGAATTAATTCACTTGAAGAAATCACTTTAGTCCTCAGGACATTCCAAAATAATGGTTCAATAGTTGTATATAACCAGGTGTCATGACAGGTATTACCACATCCCTTTTCCCTCAAACAAGTATGAGGGGCGTTTCAAACTGTGATATCTGAGCCGTCAGTCTGACATCTGCCGATTATAAATGAAAGGTTAAAGGAAACTCAAACAATTTTACACATCACAGAAAAACAGACTAATATAGTACTCTTACATTTGACTCAGTCTCAACTGTAACCAAAAGAAAATCACCTAGGTTTTAGTTCATTGAGGGTCATTTTTTGCTGCTGGGATACCAAGGGACTAATGTTTACCTTAATCAAATACTGCAAATTTTTTAATAACCATATGTAGTTACAATTCAAGTGCTAAAAAGGCTTAGTTTGACCTTAAACATGCCACTTAAAACCAAAGGCCACGTTTTTTTTATTTTGCACGTACACACAGGTACACGCCCATATACACAACAATTGCCACTGAGAGCTCTAAAAGAAGCCAATGACGCAAAGACTAAATGTCTTATTTTCATATAAGCGCTTGTATTTAAAGACTTCCTCTGATTAATGGGAGAGTCACTTATCCTCCACTTTCGGTTACATTTCTTCAAACATAAGAATGCTACGCATTAATGATATGGTGACATAGTTTCATCTGTCAGCTACTTGTCAGTGAATTGGGGTGTCAGCAAACTTATCTGGGCCCGTCAGCAACACTTAAAACAAGTGTTGGGCCATACCCTGCTTGATATGGAGAGAAGCCCATTAGCTTTATTCTAATGGTCTGAATGCTAAATTGCAATAGACTTACAAAGAAGGTTTTTCCAGCCAAGCATAAGAAAAACTGCATGTCAAAGCTGTTGCAATACACAAAAGTAGTCACTCACTCACTGGTGGCTTGGATGTACTTCTGCATGTTTAAGTGTTGTTCCCCAAAAGCCTTTCACAACAAGGTAAAAACAAAGTGAGCCTAAATTAACATTATTATACTCAAATTTAAACTAATTTGTAAGTAGTGAAACTTGTCAGTTATATTGATAACCCAATTATGTGTTAATTCTATGGCAAGCATTACACCTTAAAAGGTAGATAAATACTTTTTTTTTTTGACAAGCCCTTCCTTTAATGGGTGCTATCTGCACAGTGTACTCCAATCATTGGGAATCCCCAGATAACTATTTACTGTAGATGCACTGTTGATCCAAGATGCATGCCAAATGAATGAGATTTAAAAAGAAAAAAGGTTTTGTTGTCATCAATTCACTTATGCAGAACGCTGTGCACATGGAAACTTTGGCAAAAAAAAAACAAAACTGAACATTTCATCTAAGATTGAGATTAAAATGACATGTATGGCTGGTCTTTTTAATCTCTTTCATTAGTCCAACTATTTTAATGCAGGTCTAAAAAAAACCTCAGAATGATCCTATGGTGCATAAAGTTCATTTTTGTTGCAGTAGTTTTTGTCCTAACCCTACACTTGAAATCGATGTTATGGACTGTCATCCCTACAGCATATTTGTTTCCTGTTCTTAAATGAGAAATATGCAGAAAACTGTCCATCTTAATTTTTTTTAATCATTTATTTTTTCATACTTTTTCTAAAGTGTCAAACAGTCACATCAGTCTTAAAGATGTACCTTTTTTCTTTTTTTTAACAACAACCTTAATTCAATTTAACTCAATTTCTCAGATTGTGTTCCCTTTTGTTTTATGTGGTGAGTTATTGCATTGACAAGCAAATTAACACTCTAGTGTCATTATAATGTTTTATCCTCTAACAAACTGTAATTCTACATACAATTTGGTAAGGTGAAACACCAAATGAAAGCACAGCTAATACTTCGGAGACTTTGAGGAGCCTAAAAATGTGACATGTTCATTTAATTCTTTAAGGAATAGACTTATTCTAGTTCTTTAAAATGGCTGTAACCCATACGGAATGGGTTTATCCTGAACTTTTAGTTGAAGTGGAGCAGATATGGTACATACTCTGGACTACAAGAACAACCTTTGGACTTTTAATGGATTACCCTCATAAATCCTACTCATTTTTGCAACCTGTACATTGCTTCGGGGTGCCTTCCTTGTATTTGGACATTTGTCATTCTATCTTATCAGGGCTATTGGTCCTACTTTATTGCTGAAATCAAACTGCTCATTGTGGGTTGGGCATCCATATCACTTTAGTCAAGTAGCTTTAGCCACAGACATCATAAGGCTCTTTTGTCTATTAATACTATTTTCTTTGCAGCGTGAATGGTAATTTATTACACAGCTGGCCTTAAAGCTTGATAATGTTAACATTATTATTTCTTTGAAATTAATTTATTAAAGTGCACATTATGTTCTCTGGATGAGAGATGCAAAAATAATTTTATTATACATTAATAAAGAACAAACTAACTCAACAGCTCGTTTTCGTCTTCTTTTTTTTATCTATCTATCTATCTATCTATCTATCTATCTATCTATCTATCTATCTATCTGTCTGTCTGTCTGTCTGTCTGTCTGTGAGTGAGTGAGTGAGTGAGTGAGTGAGTGAGACAGACCAGAGGAGTCCAAGCTAACCAGGAGGCAGCGAAGGCACCATCGTCATACCTTACAGTTTGACCATTAGTAGCAGTTAGCTGTTTAGCTAGCTTGCAGGTTAGTTGGTGAGTTAACGATGTCTGACTGGGAAGATGAGTACGAGGACGGTGTTGCTATCCAGAAACCTACATCTAATTCAGCCCCGACTGAAAGTAAATCGCAACCAAATGAAAGCCCAAAGGGAAATGTATATTTTGGTGGAAAAAACGGCGCCAGGTTTGGTGGTCCAAGGGAGTGTAGGGCTCGTCATGGCGGAGAGGTCATGAGCGAAGGCTGGACCGCGGACAGCAGGGGCCCGCCGAGAAGAGGAGCACATGGCGACAAAAAGTCCGACTGCAGCCCACCTGTGACCATGGCAGTGGCAATTTCATTAGTTGGGAGAGTAATAGGTTGGTCTATTTATTAATAACTTTCTCTTTGCTACACAACCGTGGCTCAATTTTGAGTTGATGTCAGGAGTTACCTTGAATGAGCAGCTGCTTGTTAACTTTAGCCTAGCTTCACTTTTATCACCTCCGTAAAGCCCTGCAAGCAATTGAAGGGCCTTCGAGTGAATACAGCCCCCTTTAAGTTTGTCAGAGGCCATTTTATGTTTCTTCTTCATGAAAGGAGATGTTATTTTACATTATAATTTATTCCAGTGTTGTTTCAGGTCGTGGAGGAGCAAAAATTCGCGAGCTTGAAGAGTGTAGTGGTGCAAGAATCAAGGCAAGTTAATTTATAAAAATCCACCCAACTGCTGGTGTTTAACAACATACACTGTGAAAATTAATGTATTTCCTTTTTTTTCTCTTACCTTTAAGTTATGTCAAGGGGATGACGTACTAAATGCAAACTGCATGTATTTATTTGCCTGGGGTCTGCGGAAGGATTAGAAATACAGACTATTGCAGTGCTTTCAGTCTGAGTAAACTCATGTCAACAATGTAAATGTAAAACAACAAAAAAAAAAACGTTAAAGCTTGACTTTGTCTTCACATTTTCAACACTTTCTTTTTTGATATATGCCCTTCAAATAAATCTGCAATCAACAGTTTAATGTACTTTGTAATTTATCAGGACTATTGCAAAGTCCCCTAACATTGAAAAAGACAAAAACCAAATGGGAAGCATTTCAAAAGTTGTACAAAAAGAGCATCTTTAATGTAGATAGGATTGGAACAATAGAGGAAAGAGCTCTTTTTTTATATATATTTAAAACGGTATCCCTTTTGTTTTGCCTCTTTAACTACTTTTTTTATCGTCAAACTCACAATGGGGTGTTTTTGATAACACAATAAAAGCACAACTAGAATTGAAGTGAAATTTAAATTAATCCCCAATTGTAGAATAACTTTTTGAAAACACCGGAAAGTTCAGTATCTTTGCAAGATAATTCAATTTAATTCATGATTTTTGTAACTGATAAAACAGTGTTGTGATGGGTTAGTATGAATTAGATGTGGGTTTTTTTTGTAAGGTTCCCACATAAACAGCTTTCTGTTTTGGCCACATATTCTTTTGCATCTTCATTTGCCCTATATTTGTATTTGTTTAAAAAAAAATAATAAGGTTTAACTGTATTTGACTCCTGTGCTACAGAGTAATGTTTTTTATTTATATATTTGAAAACATAGTTTTTTGCATGTGTAAGTGCTATTCTTTTTCCAGATAAACAAAGGAGACTATGACGGCGAAGTGCTCATATTTGGAACCTCTGCTGCTCAGCAAAAGGCCAAAGAGATGATTGAAGAACTGGTGACAGGTGGCAGCTTTCAGTTTCATGGCGGTAAGAAGTTGTTTCTTCTTTAAACAAGAACCTCAGTGCTGGCAGTTTAGAATTAAGGCAAACGGATCCTCACACAAATCTGATTACATCAGTATAGTCAGTACATCCAAAATTTAAGTGTTTATAGTGAATCTATAAAGTGGTAAAATTCAGGGTGGATAAAAATACACCTGTGTTTGTACAAATATCTATCACTCATGCGCACTAGCACTTAATTTTAATTTGGTTTAAAATTCGGATTTAATGTAGAATAATCTAGAATAATCTGTTTTTCAGGTCCAGGTAAGGGGGTGGATTACCATGGAGAAAAAGGAGGTGATGCTGGTGCAAGAGGAGGCTCTGTGTGGTCTACTGCGGCAGTGCAGGCTGCAAACACAGCCCCGCCGCGTGAGTCCATAGACTGGAGTGACATTCGGGAGAACAAGGAAAAGTATGCAGCGCTCAAGTGGAAGGGTGAGGGCATGTATTTCAACTTAAATTCGTCTACTACATCCTGCCAAGATGTTGTTTTCGTAGATTTTGCAGGACTACAGGATGTTGAATTTTAAAATAAACAATGTCTCAGTGCTACAGAATGGAGGACCCTAATCTTTTATAACCAGTTTAGGGATGTTCTCAACCTGGAAGATCATTAGAAAGAAAAGCAGTCCTTTCCACTTTTGAGCAAGAGTAAGTATAGTTTGAAAGATATTGATTCCAATCTAGCTCTTTAACCCTTTTGTAAAGCTGTGGCTAAAATCAGCCACTAGGGGCAAAATTCAGCCACTAATTTCCATGTAACTTTTTTTTACTGCAGCAAATGGGATGATTTTTTGTGCAGATGCTTATATTGATGGACACTTTGAGAATATGACTTCAAAATTTTTACCAAGTCAAATATATGCGCTGGGCAAATTTCCGTTGTTAACGCTCAGTGGCTAAAAACAGCCACGAACTTTGACTGCTGCAAAAACATATTGGGTTAATATTTTTTACCATTTTTTTCATATATCTCTTAATTAACTTCTGCTTTGATCAAAACTAGTAAATGTTTTATCTAAAAACAAATTTTTAACCCTTTGAGGGTCCATTCAAAATATAATGTCACCGATATGGTAGAAAATAAGTCTAATAAAAATCAGTCATTTTCCTCCCATTTTTTTTCCCAATATTAGTGACTTTATGTTTTAAATGGGTCCTTGAAGGGTTAAAATTTGGATTCTTAATGAAACATTTACTAGTTTTGAATAGAGCAGAAGTTAATTCAGAGATATATGAAAAAAAATCTGGAAAAATATGAATCCAATATGTTTTTACAGCAGTCAATGTCAGTGGCTGTTTCTAGCCACTGAGCGTTAAGAAAGGATGTAAATCTACACATATGGTTCTTACTGAGTCTCTATTTTAATCACGAAATGACAAAATCAAAAGCTAATGTGACATGAAAAACTTCTGCTGTTTTTAGTAAAGAGCCTTTTTTATTTTATGATAACTTTTTTATTTAAAACCCTGAAAGAGCCTGCTGCAACAAAAGTATTACCAGTATTTTAAATGCTCTAGAAAAATCTGCTTTGTCTTTATTTAACTCATGAAATCCCCCAAGTAACCCATGCTGAACATTCTGGTGCAGTCTCATGCCATTTAACTATTCCTGTCTTTTATTGCATTTAACCAGTCCTGACTGCATTTCCTGAACGAATTATTAAGAGCTTCATTTATGGTTATTCCCATATCAATTATGGAGATACTGAAAATAGAAAAATCTGGGTTCATAAAAATATTGTCAGTCTGATTTGATCTCAGTTATAGATGAAACTACTTGAATGTAGATGTAACATTACTGCTCTTGGACACCAGAGGGTGGTATTGAAAAAAGAAAAGTCAGAATGTGTTCCATGTATTCCATGTGGTCTTTTTAGTTTATGTTTCCCTGTGAATTTTTCTTACAGGAAAAATGGATGTCGATTCTTATGGGTAAAACACGGTGTGCGAGCTTGTTGGTTTAAATGAAGTTGTGCCATGGATTGACTTGTGCATCAATAATAATATGAAATAGGTGTCATGTGTCAATCAATAATCAATTTGATCTTTTTTTTTATTATACTTTAGACCTCCCACCAATGAAGAAACAGTTTTATACTGAAGCAGAGAGTGTTTCCAGGCTCACTGAGGAGGAGGTCTGTCAATGGAGGTAAATCCAACTGAGTCACATCACTATATGAGGGTAAAAGTTCCTATGATCCTATATGTAGAGGCAAGATATCCTCAGTCGTGTCACTGAAAGGCTCTACACAACCTAAACCCTCACTTTTTCTTGTTTTTGTTGTGTTTGTGTGCACACGCAGGAAAGAGAATAACAATATTTTTGTGGATGACCTGAAGGAAGAGGGAGAAAAGCGACCCTTTCCCAATCCCTGCCGCACCTTTCTGGAGGCATTTGAGCCCTATCCAGAGATCATGGAAAATATTGAGCATGTCGGCTTCGTCAAACCAACTCCAATACAGGTATGAGTTGGGTCAAGTTTTCACAAAAGTTACTCAGTTTTACTACAAAATGTAATTTCAACAAAAGACAGTAATTCTCCCTTGATGGACATAATGATGAATACATAGATTTTCTATACAGTCTATGATTTAGACTAATAGATTTATGTGCAAGTGTGGTATAGACACCAAGTCCCTGCTGTCACATTAGTTCTTTTGATTGGTCAAAAGCAAAAAAACGCAGGCAGGTGAATTGCGGAAAAGGCAAGAAAGACTAACAGAGCAAATCATCAAGCCAGTGACATGTTTGAAAAGTTAGCGTATGAAACATTGATGGAATAAAAGGTTATTAAAAGGTTCCCATTCCAAGATGAGAGATGGCTGTAAGTCATTCTATGTGCTTACTCTCTAACAGAAGCTAGGAAAAATTGAAATTAAAAAAAAAATTTCTTCCAGTAAATCTTAAGTGTAACATTGACACATAAAGCTGAGTGGAGAAATGCAACAACAGCATCTCTTCATGGTTTTACTTTCGTTTCACAGTAAAGGCTTGGCCAGATGTAATGTTATGAAAGAGCTTCACCTCTTAGCCTGAGGCTGCTGATGGTGCAATCGAACAAACCGGTTCAAAACTGGTATTCTGTGTGTGGGTGTTGAATCACATTGACTTCCTCTTTGTTCAAGCATGTAAAATTACTTCAAACAAGTAATTGTCCCCATTTTGGTGTTGATTTGAATAAATGTAAAGTGTAGCTAACCTGTGGCATATTCTGTTGTCTAACTTAAAGTAAAATTCAACAGGCCTCTGGTTTTCCTTTTGGTTACTAGACTACCAAACTTTAAAATTTCATCTCCTTAAAACAGTTCAAATGGTGAAAATAATCTGTGTTTCCAGTTCAGTCAAAAATTAGACTTTTAAAAATGTTATCTGCGAGCCAATCTAAAGCTAACTCAAGATCTAAAGCAGTGAGCTGAAAGCCTTAGCTTTGATGAAGAATGTGAGCTCCTTATGGTGTGTGTATGTTTCTTTGTCTGTTTTTAACCAGTCTCAGGCCTGGCCAGTGTTGCTCAGTGGGGAGGATTTGATCGCCATCGCTCAAACAGGAACCGGCAAAACTCTGGCCTACCTGCTGCCAGGGTTCATTCACATGGAGGGACAACCTGTGTGAGTTTAGGAGCTCTCTGTGCTTTTATGGGTCATTTCTCAAAAAGGTGAATGTATTCATTTATAAGTGGGGGTGGGGTCAGGTCAGGTCAGTTTCAATTCAAATTCAAGCCTGGGGGAAATTTGGAGTTAATGCAGCTTCTATATGATAATTATTTATTTCAATGACCACACAATGATGCCCAACAGATCTTTGGCTTGTTATCAAGGATTACTGTGTATCAGTAACAGCTTTAAAATTTTTGGCAGTGAAAGATGCCACATGTTTGGAGTCAGATTGCTCTGCTGGAAGGGGAGAATTCTGTGTCACATAAGAGGTGATTGAGTGCAAGTCTGTAAAAATGAAAAAGGCGATGGGTCTTAATATTCTTCTTACCTGCTCAGAATTGGCCAGGAGTTCAGTAAAGTTATGCTGTGTGCATTAGTCAGCTGTTGGTCATTGTTTGACTTTTTCAAACTCTGGATGCCGGTGTGTGATTCAAGGGTGGATTTCTGCTTTCAATTTGTACTCTTTGCAAATAGAATAACTCATTTAAAGCTTCTTTATATCTGGAAGATTGTGGTAACCAAAGGGCTACCAGACCCTGGCTTTCTGTGACGATGGGACCAGCCGTATTACTTGCAGCTCCAGGTGGACATTTGCAGTTTCAACTTGATTCATTTTTGCGGCTACCCTGACAGCCCTAGACACATCTCTGTGGAACTAAAAAAAATAGAAATGTTTAAAAATCAGTTATTGGCTTTTTTAAATGGAGCCAGATTTGTTAGAAAAACTGAGTATAACCCTGATTATTTTGTCATTTCTTTTAGAGATGCCCTGCTTTGTTAATTGTACATGAATTCTGCTCAAACTCTTCTGCTTTTCTTTTTTGATAGGCCCAGAGCTGAGCGAGGTGGTCCGGGTATGTTAGTGCTGACTCCTACCAGAGAGTTGGCCCTGCAAATTGAGGCCGAATGCAAAAAATACCGCTTCAAAAGCTACAACAGGTTCAGCTGCCATTTGTCTGCCATTCAAGATACGCTTAAAATCATAACTAGTTCTGATGAAGAGGCAACACAGCCATGACTTCTCTTTGTGCTTCCTTTGTCTGCAGTGTCTGTATTTATGGAGGAGGGGATAGGAGGGGCCAGATCAACCTGGTGAAAGGCGGAGTGGACATTGTGATCGCCACACCAGGCCGACTGAATGATCTACAGATGAATGAGCTCATCAATCTGAGCTCTATCACTTACTTGGTGAGCTTTTTGTATCTCCCATGCTTGTTGTTGTGTGTCAATCAATCAGTCAAATTGGCTTACATAGCGCCAAATCACAACAGTCGTTATCCCAAGACGCTCATTGTTTGATGAATTACCAAGACCCAACCTTAAGATGGGACAGATTTGACCCATCTCATCCAACGTGAGTGACAGTGGCAAGGAAAACTTTTTAACAGGCAGAAACCTTGGGAAGGACTAGACTCATGTTAGACAGCCACCAAGCCGATGTTGGGTTGAGGAGAAATACAGAGAGATAGGGAGGTAGGGAGACAGAGAGAGGAGTAGGAGAGAGAGAGAGTGAGGAGTAGGAGGGAGAGAGAGAACAAGCAAGGGAGAGGGAGGGAGAGAGAAAAGAGAACAAGGGTGCGAGAGAGAGACAGGGGACAAGGATGAGCAAAAGTTTGGGTGATGCTAAATCCATCATTTTTAAAACGTGGTATGATGTTTATTTTTAAGACTGCTCATCCTAAAGAAACCAGTGCACACATAATCTGTCCTGTGTATTAGGTTTGCCTTATTTTATAGAAGCTGTGTATGGCAGTATTGATACTAAACTTGACTAAATTCCCTGATCACTTTGGAAAGGTGCTGGACGAGGCTGATCGAATGCTTGATATGGGCTTTGAACCCCAGATAATGAAGATCCTCATTGACATTCGTCCAGATCGCCAGACTGTTATGACCAGGTATAAGTCAAGCTCTTCAAATGAATACCCCCACATGAGTCTAAATGTTGTAAGACATAAGGATACCAATTGGCATTGTTTTTTATTTGTTAACTTGTGTGTTTCAGTGCCACTTGGCCCACTGGTGTGAGACGATTGGCAAAATCCTACCTGAAAAACCCCATGATGGTTTATGTGGGCACCCTGGACTTGGCGGTTAGTTACTCTCATTAAAGCCTGTGCTTACACTGGCTACTTAGTCTTAAACGCCTCTAGTCAACACTGAAACCACAGACTGTCTCTTGATCTAGACTATTAGTAAAGTAAATAAGAGCAAAGGTAAATATTACAATAACTTTGGACAAAGAGCTTGAATCTATCTTCAGTTATCAATTCTCAGTATTTATACATTTGTTTTTGAGGTGCTGTTTTTCTGTCGAAATGCTTTCAAGCTTTCTGTGTTGCTCTGAATCCTAGGCAGTTAACACGGTGCAGCAAACAGTGTTGATAGTTTGTGAAGAGGAGAAAAAGGCCTACCTGTTTGACTTCATCAGAAACATGCAGCCTGAGGATAAAGTCCTCATCTTTGTTGGCAAGAAGCTTATGTGAGTAGGGAGTTGGTCACTAACACACTGATTGTTGCAAGCCATCGTTGAAGGTAAATACTAGAGGCAACCAACTACTGACAATCAAACGGTTAACACTATTCTTCCCAATTTCGTTGTGCGACGTAATCTCAGGGCTGATGACCTGTCAAGTGACATGTGCCTGCAGGGTATGGCTGTACAAAGTCTCCACGGTGACCGTGAGCAGTGTGACCGTGAAGCGGCCCTCAAAGACTTCAAAGAAAGTATGCAACAGTGAACCAAACTGAGACTCTTGTTAAACAAGACACACCAAGTTAAGGCTGAAAGATCAAACTGTCCACAGAATAAAGAGGAATACACCTTTTTTTCTCAGGTCGAGTTCGTATCCTAGTCGCCACAGACTTAGCATCTCGAGGGTTGGACGTCCATGACATCACACATGTCTTCAACTTTGACTTCCCTCGTAACATAGAAGAGTATGTACATCGTGTTGGACGCACTGGTCGAGCAGGGTAAGTGACACTTTACAGGAAACACATGTTGGATAATCACTTCCAATGTTCTTAAGTCTGTGATTTTGCTGGTTTGATGTTACAGGCGGTCAGGTGCAGCTGTTACCCTGGTAACAAGGGAAAACTGGAGGATGGCTCCTGAACTTATTCCCATCCTGGAGAGAGCAGGACAGGTTAGCAGGAACGAATTTGATTAACATATTATGATCATGAGATAAGTGTGAGACGTGTTTCACAGTTCTTTTTGATAGATACTCAGTAATAGTATTTTGTTTGCCAACAAAAAAACTGGTTTTCTTTTATAGGGAGCATTATCATAAAGTTGTAATATTCCAGGTTAAAAATAAATGTCCATCTTACAAGGGTTAAGTGTGTTTATTCATGCCGCAGGAGGTCCCAGAGGAGCTGGTGCTTATGGCAGAGAGATATGAGAAGCACAAGAGGGACAGAGAGGCAGAGGGTCCTAGAGGAAGAGGAGGAGGAGGAGGATGGGGTAGAGGAGACCGTGGAGGAAGAGACAGGGATCGAGGACAGAACTGGGGATTCTGATGGGTGATTGTTCTGTAAGTTTACATACATCACAATGTTTAGATGGCACCTTTTTAAATAGCAGTCTTTTAACAAGTCATAAAGCAGCAGACAGAAGTGGAATATTTACAATTTTAGACTAATGTTTCTGTTTTGTTTTTGTTTTTTTCTTCTAAAGCAGAGAGAAACGGGATCTGAATTGGCCAGTGTCTTAACTTGTTTTGGATGTAAATGCATCATCAATTTTCTTTACTTGACAAATTTTTTGTTCTTTTGCCGGATTATCACAAGTTCTCATTTTAACGGCTGTTGCACCTTACAATGTTTTCAACCTGTTTTAAAAATTGTTTGAAATTTAAAAGTTGTATTGTATTTCTATTTTTCAGTGTGTAGTATCACTCTCTATTTTGTTTTTCTTGGTTTGTGGAGAAAATCCTGTAACATAAATGTGTTTATTTCGAAGGACTCAGAGTGCATATTTTTGATTGGCTTCATTACTCTCATGATACAGCAATGATAGAACCTTCCAGATTGTAGTTTTACTATGTGACAATAATCTCAGTGCTAACAGTTTTAACAATAATATTTTCTGGTGAGTAATACATTACAACAAGTCAAAAGTTTCCTCTACCCAAGGTAAGATGCTTTTTTAAGAAGCATGCAGGATATATCAGAAGTCAACACTTGATAACCTCAGTTAGGAAAATGTCCTAGAATTTACTGACTACACAAGCAGTCTTTTCAGACAAGTACTACACCCTGTAGTGTTCTACATACAGTCCTTATCTTTGCCTTCTGGCTCATTCAAAGTCCAAAGGGCCAGGCTGTACTGTCAAAAACACTCCTTCCAGCACAGGTCTAGTAAACTCTTCAGTGACTTTTTAATCAATCAGTCTTTATTTGTATGGCACTTTTCCTACAAAACAATTTAGCACAAAGTGCTTTACACATAAGGAGAATAAAAGAAACTAAGAATACCTGATTCTACCTCACCCCCACCCTGCAATCCAAGCACAATAGAAACAGGTATTAACATGCACTAACTTGAAAAGAGAAAAACAGAAATATGTGCACTGAGGAAACGCCATCTTAAAATTCAAGATGAGGAAACACTGGAGGTAAAACAAGAGTAGAAGATTCCAAAATAAGAGGGCCAGAATAGCTCAACAAAAGACATTAAAACTAGACTGAGACAAATGCTAAAAGACTCAAACAAATTTAAGTTAATGATATAAAATTTAGGTAAAAGCAAGACTAAAAAGGTATGCCTTGAGTTTGATTTTAAAATCATTAATCACTTCACAAGGACAGAGGAACAATGTTACTCATTGGCAATACAATATGTTTGGTTTAGCGTGCATATACAGGCTCTACAAGGATAATACGTTACACTGTTTACATTGTGCTATTGTGTGTGTCCGCATACACGGTGTCTGAGTGTGTTTGTGATTGTGCTATGCATGTTTTCATCCTTTTTTTTTTCTTTATTCTTTTGACCTGCAGTTGGACAGGGTCCCGAAAAAATTTTCTCCTGGGGGCACAAATTACATTTTATCTTCAAGTTGATGCACTGAGCTTAATATCAGCTCTCATGAATAGAGCATAATTGCAATACTTAAGTCTACCTGCTGTGTAGCTCTTTAGGTCTAATATACTGTACTTCCAAATGAAGTTATCGGTTCTTTTGTCAGTGGGTCTTATTGACGATACATCAGTAAATTTCTTGTGTAGATTTACACATAAACTATGCCAGATTTATGAAAACAGTGGAAAACTAATTTGAGGATCTGAAATTTCAAAATTTATCATGGTCATTGAACAGTGCGTGATCATAAACTACAGTACCTATTGAAATGGGGATTAATACACCAATAGACAAGACCTGTGTCCACAATAAAGAAAAGTAATAGCATACCGATCCTGATAAAACCGCATGTCTTGATATATAATTTATCCTACAACCCATAAGCAGTAGGACTAGTACCATTTTAAAAACTTATCTGGAAGAGGAATAAGAAAAAATCCACATTATAACAATAGCCAAATGCCCCGTGGTCCTAATAAATGACTTTCAAACTTAGAACTCTTAAAAAAGGACCAGCCCATCTCCAGTTATCCAACTGACCTGATCCAATTAAAAAGTGCTATTACAAGTGATGAAAACAAGCGTAAAAATTAAAGCAAGAAAAATGAACTTGGCAAAAACAGAACAAGATTAAATATGTCCTTAATCAATAGGTCACGGAGGTAACTAACCTCTAAGCCTATTTAAGAGCTGCTGTATGAAGACAGGTAAAAGAAAAAGTCTTTTTCAGACTTGTGTCCTCAATGACTTTGGTGGGGATTACATACAGTATGCACACACACACACATGAATGAGTGACATTTATTCACCCTCACTGCCTCAACTAATATATTCTGTAACTTACAAAGCTTCATATAAATGTTCTTGTACATTGCGTGCGAACTTCTCCACACTGTGGGAAAAAAACATTTCTTGCTGAAGTCTTGGTACCAATACTCCTCGTCTATGTGCATTGGTGTTTGTAATGACTGCTTGAGGTAATTTTTAACATTAAGAAGTACAACAACACTCAAGTGTGATTTAATGACAGAAGACATCTTTATTCAAAATATATTTATGTTTTTGATAAACAGGAGTAAGCTGAGAGTAAGAATCATATGAGTATGGTACTTGATAATAAAACCTACATTTAAAATTACTGAAAAAGAAGCATATCTCACTAACATTTCTGGTTAAATAATGCTGCCAGTTTGGATCCACATACAGATATTTAACAGGGTGAGGCCTCAAAAGGGCAATTCAAACATGATTGATAATGAAGCCACAGTAGAAACACTCATTTTTCAAAAATAGGAAAGCCATTGTTACATTCCTCCTGGATACGACGAGCCAGTTTATTGCACCTCGTTCTGCTGAGACCACAGAGCAGGTTCTGGGAGGGGATGAAGAAGTTTGGTAGACAACGTTTCTCCAGGTTTTCTACATAGTCCTGCAGGAGCAGCTGAAAGCAGTCGCTGAGATCAGAGTACTTCCAGTCACTGTCTTTGGCTCTGGAGCTGCAGGCATGTAGCAGTGTGGTCTTGGCAGTGTAGGAGTAGAACTCGTCAAATGAAGAGTCCTCCTCTTTAAGCAGACTCAGAAGGTGCTTAAGAAGCTTCAAACAGGCCTTCCTGTAGAAAAGAGTACAGAGGAAAGGAAATACTTTTATAACATTTTTCACAAATGTAAACCAAGTAAAGATCTTAATTTATTTTGATGTTATGATGATAGTGGACAATGATGTGGCTTGTGTAAATGAAAATCAGAACTACTCTATCTCAAAGACATAACCTTACCTGCAGCACCGTTCTCCGCCTGTCTCACAGCATGTCTTCTCTGACCCATGTTTCTTTATGAGGTCCTTCTCAACATGAGAGAATGAAACCCGCCAAGTATCTGTGAGAAATAACAAAATGCTAAATTAGCAGAGAAAATTGAAGCTTCCCTTGTTTTCTTCAGAGGCATAATTCATGGTTCAAAAGATGCGGAAGCATCAAAATTTTAACAGATTATCAACATGATATGAAACTGCTGAACACAGTTTATAGGTGTATTCTGTTTCCCTGAGAGGAAATATAAAAATACCTTTCTCACAATAAGTTAGGGATATTGTGAGGTCCTTAGTGGATTTCACTTCGGTGATTTTTGGGCTAATGAGGCAATTGTGTTAGGGTGATAGACACACCTCATTCTGTGGTTTTCATGTAATGGTCTCACTGTGTACAGGGCACCTTTCATATTGGGGCAAAAACCAAAAAATACAAAAAGACAACCCTTTTCAATGTGGCATCAATTTCAACATTCTGGGACTATAAATGAACACACAACGTCACTTAGCAAGCGAACAGGGCTACCTGGCCATAGCGCACCTTCAGGTCAATGGCAAGCAGTCAGATGTTGCTCGTGAACTACATGTCTCTCAAAGTGTCATCAGCAGACTTGCAGCCAGACACAGAACTACTGGCAGAGTTCGTGACAGACCCAGAAGTGGAGCCCAACAAGTAATGGACCACAATGATGACCAGTACCTAAGGAGCTATGCACTTAGACACCGTTATTCAACTGCCACACAGCTGCAAGCCATTTTACAAGAAGTGAGGGGTACTAGGGTTTTCAAGAAATCATTCGCAACTGAGTCCACCACTTTGGCTTGAATGCCAGACGCCTGTTGCAGGTGACTCCACTGACACCAAGACACTGCCGTGACCATCTGCAGTGGGCACAAGACCAGCAGTGGTTTACTGTCCTGTTCACTAATGAGTGTCGGGTCACCTTGCACAGAAATGGTGGTTGTCAGCATTGCAAACTTAGCAATACGCCACGGTCAACATGGTCCCCTGAGTTCACTTTGGTGGAGGAGGTGCAACAGTCTGGGCAGGCATCACCAGTCAGTGCAAAACAGATTTGGTGATTGGAGATGGCTCAGTCACTGCCGGTTCTTACCATTAAGGACATCATAGAACAGATCATCATCCCCCAATTCCTCTAGTACACCCCCAACTTTCTGTTCATGGATGATAATGCTCCACTACATCATGCCAGAATTGTCACAGCTCGACTTCAGGAAGTTAGAGTGCCTCATATGGTATGGCCAGCAATGTCCCCTGACCTGAACCTCATAGAGCCCGTCTGGGACCAGCTGAAGCAGCAACCGGATGTTCATACCCCACCCCCACGTGACCTGGCAGAACTGCGTATAGCACTTGTGGAGGCGTGGAACACATTGTGTCAGAACAACATCATAAGGCTTGTGAAGAGCATGAGATGTCGCTGTCGAGCTGTCATAACGCTTCTGACTTTGTCAGTATTGATTATTTGGGGCTATCTTTGTTATCGTCTAAATTGCTGGTGTGATAAATAGGGATCAAATAAAAACATGTTTCTTCTCATTCATTCAGAATAATATCAAAGGGAACTATTACTTATTTCATTAAAATCCAGACCAAAAAGGAAAAGCACTCAGGTAAATAACAAAATCCCTAAGTTATTGTGTAGTGTAGTGTATATCAGCACAAGGACTCTATGCATTAAAAAAGGACAAAAAGGCTAAGGGTCTTTACATTTGTCATAATCTGATTTCTCTTCACCGAATGGCAAACTTACCCTTTGCAAGAACACCATTCTTCTCTTCAGTTTCCCTTCCTTGGTATTTTGGGACAAGATAGTACGGTTTTCGTCTGTAGGCCTGTTTTTCTTTTGTGCCCTGCCATTTTTCTATCTGAAGGCCATCTGTGGTGAAAAGTGGCCACTGTGATTTAACCATGATACAGAGAACGACGTCCAGTGAAATAGTGACTGAGTTCACTTCAGTGGTCAGGGTCACTGCAGGGCAACGTTTTTTCTTTCTGGACAGCTTCCATTCTGAAATTTAAAAAAGGAGCGTAAGAAGATGAATGATAAATCATATAGCCTCAGTACACACTTCAGCAAAGTCATGGTAAAAAAAAAAACTGACCATGAACTAAGAATATTTACATGGCTAAAGACACCGTCACACAGTACCATGTAAAGAAAAGGACTTAAGGGAAATGTTATCCATTACCCAACATTTAAAAAGGCTCACCTGGAAAATCCTTTGCACATTTCTTGATTTCATCTCTGAACTCTTCCAGCATTTTGCTTGCAGATAAAATGTCCTCCTCTTGAAACTTCTTCAATGGACTATTGCCACGCTTTAAGGCTACACTGTAAAAGGCTCCGTCATCCCCAAATGGTTCAACAATTACCCGCTCAACAGGGATGGGCATCATCACATCAAATTCATCAGGATCGGAAATCTGTGTACATAATCACATTACTTTGTGATACAGAATTACTAAAACATCTCCTAGAATGCATAAATCGTTGACTACCCCTTCAGGCAGAATTTAACCCAATGCTTATTTTAGAAAACTCTGAGTGAACAGATTTACCTTACCTTTAGATTTTCATAGTAGCTTCCTGTAGGTAGAGGTCGCTCTACTTCTTCAAAGGATTTGGTGTTTTTTTTTAAATGTGTAGATACAGCTTCCACTAGTTTGTTGACAACTTCTGATGCATCTGATCTTGCCTGTGGTTTTATCTTCAGTTTTTCCAGAGTTTTTTTGAGCACAGAAGCTTTTGGTGTTTTGTCCTCTCTGAGATCCTTTTTGGGGTCCTTTGGTGCTTCTGGTTGCTTCTGTGTCATCTCCTCTGATGACTGTAATTCTGCCTTTTCCTCACATCGTTTTTCTGGTTTGGTCTTTGTGGTACCCTTTTTGGTTGGGTTTGTAACCTTTGGCGGCTCCCCTTCCAAAGACTTCTCCTGTGATTTTTCCATTTTCTCACTTGGTATTGCCTCCTTCTTCTTTGCTCCCTGTTTCTCTGCAGTGTCAAGGCTATTAGCCTTTTGTGGTCTCCCTTTTCCAGTCATGATGGCACAATGAGGTGAATAGGAATATCGAGTCAGAGATAAACTGTGAGAATTTCCGACAAGTCTTTGAGAACACACCCCTTAACTGCCTGGCACCCTATCAGTAGACTAACAGCTACATCTTGTGGACAATGGCATGTAATGCGAAGATATTGCAAGTTGATGGTGTTATTTTGGCCTGCCAATTTACCACACACACAAAAAAAGATTGAAGACCTCGGCAAAAGACTTTTGGTTGAAACATGTTTAATGTTGCAAAGAGGCTCATGCCATCTTACAGTAAGGTGCAGTAGCTTATGCCAATCTAAGCTTTTCCAGTGCAAGTGCAAAGTTAGCAAAACTCCAATCAAAGTGCTTTGAGAATTAACAGGTGGTCTCCTCAGAGTCCCCTGGCAAGGATACATTGAAACATTTGATTTAGGTGCTTTTTAAAGCTTAAACACAACAAATCACAAAGTTCTATGAATCTACTTCTCAGGAGAATATAGTGTAACTTCTTGCCTAAGGCTCCTACAGAGCACCATGTATTTGCAAACAAACACTTAAAGCAAGACAACATGTACCACATAAACAGACCAGTACCTGCACTCCAAAGAGCTAGATGGATGATGCATCTCAGTACCTCTAATAATTTAATGTCTTAATGTCAGTATCACAGAAAGGTAATGACATGAATCAAATCAACAGTGCACAATTAAAACTATCTGTTTGATATTACATTGCACATAATGGTAATCTAACCACTTAAAGAGAGTCAGGAGTGCCGCCTCAAGAATTTCACATCTAAATGTTGTTCTTTCCTTCGAATGCTTTTGCGATGCATTGTGATGATTAACCAGTCTTTGATAATTAAGTTGAAGCAGCCAATTGTAGGATAAAGTTGGATGATCGATGTCCTGCCATGGGAGACCTTGGGGTCGGCAGAGTAGCACAACATTCATTTGTTCCTCTGGGCCTTCTGGGCAGACTTGGTAACTTTACCAGTGGTGGAGACCTTCTTCTCCACACCCTTGATCACACCAACAGCCACAGTCTGCCGCATGTCACGCACTGCAAAACGACCTGTATGGTGTAGAAAAGTGAAGATTTAGTTTGGATTATGCTTTGAAAGTGGTACTATCCTTAATGTCTTTGATTCTTTGTCCTACTCTTCAACTTACCGAGTGGGGGGTACTCAGAAAAGCTCTCAACGCACATTGGCTTGCCAGGAATCATATCCACGATGGCAGCATCTCCAGACTTGAGGGATTTTGGGTTGTCCTCAAGCTTCTTGCCTGAGCGCCGATCAATTTTTTCCTTGAGCTCTGCAAACTTGCAGGCAATGTGTGCCGTATGACAGTCCAGCACAGGAGCATAACCAGCACTGATCTGGCCAGGGTGGTTAAGGATGATCACCTACAAAGCAATGGGAAAACACAGAGGGACAGTCTTAGAAAGATTCCTTACTATTCTGTTCACTGAAAAGACTGGACTGTTGGCTTGAGTGTTTCTTTGCTCTCATTCTGAGTCTTTTTCTCTGTTCTATTCAAGCCAAAGAATTTAAAGATAAAATTAGATATGTCAAAAGTTGTGTGACAGAATTTTTGTTAACTTGCAAATTAAATCTAATAACATCCTTCAAAACTTTTAAAAGTTACAACACGAGAATTGGAAGATAGTGCTGAAGCATAACTGTGTATGATATCTAAGAAAACAAAACTTGTGGTTTCTACCTGAGCAGTAAAGTTGGCAGCTTCCTGCGGTGGGTCATTCTTGCTGTCACCAGCCACATTACCCCGGCGAATATCTTTGACTGACACATTCTTGACATTAAAGCCCACATTGTCGCCAGGGAGAGCCTCAGTCAGCGCCTCATGGTGCATCTCAACAGACTTGACCTCAGTAGTCACATTGACGGGTGCAAAGGTCACCACCATGCCAGGTTTGAGTATGCCAGTTTCCACACGGCCCACAGGCACTGTGCCAATACCTGAGAAAAAGACAAGAGCAAAGACCATGTATTACAAAGCATCTAAGAGAACTTGACCTTGACTAAACTTTTTTATTACTCGATATTTTCAGAATAACACCTTCCCCTACTTCTGATTTTACATATATCTTAGTAAGGGAGCTTCATGCCTCCAATCTTGTAGACATCCTGCAGGGGTAGACGAAGAGGTTTGTCTGTTGGACGGGTTGGGGGCTGGATGGCATCCAGAGCTTCCAGGAGTGTTGTCCCTGACGCATTGCCTTCTTTTCTGTTGATCTTCCACCCCTTAAACCACGTCATCTAAGGAAAAAAATGTGTTTTCTTCAGTTGTTGTCATTTTAAAACTTATGATCCTGGTATAATGGATGTTGAATGTTGAAAAAAAAAAACTAATTTGGCTTAATTTAATACATAAGAGTATTAACTTTTGAAACTTTTGAAAACTTTTTTGTAAGACTTATAATTCAAAGTTAGTGTGGTAGTCACAGTAACTGCCTCCCTGGAGCTCCAGGTTCCACAGGCTCTACTCATTCAAATTACTATTCAAATACAAGGCTGGATACGTCTCACCAGCTCTTCAAGGTACAGCAGCAAGCATGACTATTTGATTTGTTGTCCTTACATTTGGGCTGGGCTCGAGCATGTTGTCTCCGTTCCAGCCTGAAATGGGTACAAAGGCAACGGTGTCTGGATTGTAGCCAATCTTCTTGATGTAGGTGCTCACTTCCTTCACTATTTCCTCATAACGCTTCTGGCTGTAGTTGGGCTCAGTTGAGTCCATCTTGTTGATGCCTACAATGAGCTGCTTCACTCCAAGGGTGTAGGCTAGAAGGGCATGCTCACGGGTCTGTCCATTCTTGGAAATACCTGCCTCAAACTCTCCCACACCAGCCGCCACAATCAGCACAGCACAGTCAGCCTGAAGATGCAGAGATAAGACAGTGGCACCATAACTACCCTGCAGCTTTGACCATTGCACCTATACTTGATGAAAACTTAATAGTCCTCTATTGTGGTACAAGTAGTCAGAATGTCTAACACAGTTAAACTAGTGATAGACTAACTACTCAATCTTTTGAAACGGCTCAGAGCCTCACATAACACCCTAGCTGTCCTGTTTCCAGCATACATAATGGCCGAACATCCTCATGTTACACACCTGGGAGGTTCCAGTGATCATGTTCTTAATGAAATCCCTGTGACCCGGGGCATCGATGATGGTCACATAGTACTTGCTGGTTTCAAACTTCCACAGTGAGATGTCTATGGTGATGCCACGCTCCCTCTCCGCTTTTAGCTTGTCCAGTACCCAGGCGTACTTGAATGACCCCTTCCCCATCTGAGAAATAGAACAATAAAACAAAGTTGTTGGTTTATAGGGGTTGAGGTTTTGATATGGACCACAAGGACTTAGGTGGATTAAATGATGCATCTCCTGTTCTCAGGTTTGTACTTACCTCAGCAGCTTCCTTCTCAAACTTCTCAATGGTCCTTTTGTCAATGCCCCCACATTTATAGATGAGATGGCCTGTGGTGGTGGACTTTCCAGAGTCCACATGACCGATCACAACGATGTTGATGTGGAGTTTCTCCTTTCCCATAGTGACGAAAGCAGGCTGGAGTCACGAGACAGTCCGTGTGCTAAAACCAATGTTGAATTACAGTCAGTATGGTACACAGTTTTCAGGGCAGGAAACAAAAACCTGTGATTGAAACATTGAAATATTCCACAAGGGTGGGAAAGACAACATGATTCAGTTTCTCAACAATGTAAGATAAGGGGACAGACAGATTTAAACATGCTGCAAAACCAAATTGACATCTTTTTTTAGTTTATTATCCTTTAAACTGCTGGAGTCGATTGTGTGCCGAGCCCTGCATATGCAGTAACAGTAAAAAAAATCACACCTCACTGGCAGTAGGTGATTCCCTAAATAGTGTATCTCAGAAGATTAAGAGTGGTATCCATGGCCACTAAACTGCGCAAAGCACAAAACCCAGTGCCCCTCCTACCCTCTGTTCCTCCATCCACACCCTGGCTCTCATCTTTCACATCCAGCCTGCTCTCCTGTTCCTACTGCCCTGCTTGGCTGTGCACAAGACAACAAGACACTTAAGTTCCCATGCATGTCTTATTTCCACAAGCAATGACTTACAACAGCTTCCCTCCAAACCCCAATCCACCATTTTGTCAGGTCCTATGCACTGATAGTGTAGCAGCCATTTCTCAGACACTGCAGTGCATTTCACACAGGTTAATGAAAGGAAGAGGACACAGACTGGTGTTAACTCTGCAGGAGAGTTATGACTCTGATCTGGAATGCAAGAACTCACAAATGCACGAGCAAACCATCTCCCTTTAAGTAATCCTCGTGAGTGGGGATTTATTGTATTTAATTTGAATCTAGTTTGCATTAGGTAGAAAAAAACAAAAGCTTTAACCCAACTGTAATATGAATCCCCACATGAGCTTGACAAGACAGGTGAACTCAGAGTCAGGACAGATACAAAATTCCATGCGCGCATTTAACTCTTCCTTCTTGTACAACGCCATAGAAGCTGCCGCAGTGCGCTATGTCGTACTAATGATAATAAGGCAGCAGAATACCTGATGATTTTGCAGCCACCTCGATAAATCTAAATATCTAGAGGATTTAAGGGAAATGTCACCCCTCCGCCATGTTCTATCATCTGCCCTGGATGCGTATTAACCAGCAGTCCTCTGTCCTCTTTTCTGCATCACACTTTAATCCCAAAGCGCAGTCTGGTGCCTAAAAACGCTGTTCGTTTTCTGCATCATCTACAGCGGTGATTCACTCAATGCATAATATCATGAGCAGAGTCGTACCTGAGAGCTGGCCGGTGTCAGGCTGGGTGCAGGACCGATGAAGATGGGCAGAGACGCTGATCCGGTTATAGCGCACAGGACAGGAGGGGGTGTTGCGTAATTGCGCGCGCTCGCTGCTGTGACTACAGCATCACAACGAGGGACCGGGAGAAGTTGGCGTAACCGAGTTGAACGTTGTCCTGGTGAGGCTTCCATTATCGGACACGTAGACGTATGAATGTGAAACGTTAAAGCGGGGGCAACTCATAGACTAGGCATGTAGTTACAGTTGGGCCATTACTATTGATGCTGTCGGCTGTTCTAACCGCATTTTTGGTCGTTGTCTGGAAGTTTAAAAGGGGGGTAATCCAAGCCACATATCATCAATTGTTACATTTAACCAGAAAGAGACCTGATTTCTTAAATCTAACTTCCAGACATGGTGTTAGTAATGTGATCTGTCTGATGTCTGGCGGTGAATATATCAAGTGTGTAGCATCCTGTCACGTGCAGCAGGTGGAGCACTAACCTTTCCATACGCACTGAATGGATTAAAACTAAGCAGCGTGCCCTTGACTCCCCTCTAGTATGTCAGTCTGTCTGCCACACATTAAACGAGGAAAACCGTCAAGGTTTTAACAGACAATCGTCAAACCGTGAGATTATATCTTTTAGGGGTCTTTCAAAGGCAATACGGTTCATTTTACAGGGACTGTTATGTAATGTCTGAAACCACGCTGTACATTGGGTTAAAGAGAGTCAGAAAACATGCATTACATATTTTAACTGTACTTCTAGAAAGCCAGACTCGATAAGTTAATTTTTCCTTCATTTCTTTTCTCTACATGATGAGCCTAAAGCTGTAACGCAGTTTGTTTGATTAAAGCACTCACCTTATAAAAGACAAAGCTAGAACCCTTTCAAAACATCCTGTGTTTAGATTATTGCCAGGTGTTATATGAGTTATTTTATGGTAATATATTGCCCTATTCAATTCAATCGCTAGGAGAGGTGTCTGAAACTTTAATCAGTATGATCTTTGCGGCACAGTGCTAACACAATGAAAAAAACACTCGGTGCAACATCACATGGGATCATAGCTGTATGTGATTTTATATTCACAATACAGGACAGTGATATAAGACACATTTCTGTCATATCTGAGGCTGAGGGTTTACAGTGGCCACCCTCAATAGTGTGCATACACATATCACATAAAAGTCCCTTTATCCTATGTGTACAGATACTAACGTAAACATGAAACAATTAAAATCAGTAACGGAAGAAAACCTTTATCAAAAGGAGGAAACAACAGGCTGTCATTGTTTGACCCCATGAAGCTACTGTCATAAGGCACAAGTGCATTACATCTAAAACTAGGATGATGATGATATTGTGTCTTGTTGACAGAAACGACAATCATGAAACAAAATCCATACCCCGTGGATTGGCTTTGATTAACCCCTCATGATTCACTTTGAAAAAAGATACAGTATATACAGTATGGTAGACTCTTCATTTGGCCTGAGAGGGCAATCTGTATGGAAAAAATTACAACTAATCATCCAGTTACAGTGGATGGAAAAGTTGCGCCAAAGAAATACACATTGAATTGTTATAGCTATTTGTGATCATTTCAAAATGAGATCTGATGCTACTGACACTAAAAACTTGAGAACATACACCTATATGAAGATCACTTCATATACAGTAAACAAACACCCAAATCAATCATTTTAAGACAGCAGATACCTGAGAATCAACACAGAAAGTGCAAATTCCTTGAACTGAGTCATACCACCAGGAAAATCTTTCAAGCAGTTATTAGTTTCCCTAAATTAGAATAGTATCAACACTCCTGAATCTTCTTAGCGTTATAAAACAATAATACACATGCTTTCAGTATGCAAAAGTTAAGGCCTGCTACCTGAAATAAAAGAGGTGCCTGGTGGACATTACTCAGGAAGTGAAAAGATATTGTAGCACATATAAAATCTTTTAGTGCACAACATAAAAAATGGTCCATTTCAATCAAGTAAAATATAAAGAGCTTTAAAAGTTTTTTCAAAGGAGGCCTCATGATAAGGCAGGTGTTTGGCCATGCTTTGTGTCTATTCTGAGATTTGTATTTGTCATTGTTGTGTCTGACGATTAAAACAGTTCAAAAGCTACACTTTGTGGCACTGTTAGATAGCAAAGTAGCACGTTTTGTGTTGTGCCAATTTTTACAAACAACTAAAAATAATGTCCTTTTTGGCAATTTTTCTCAAAATAGAGTTAACTGTGAAGTTAAAAGGTAAGGAAAAAAGAGCAAAGTGCTTTGGAAACACAAACGACAACTAGGCCTTATAAACTGGCTAACTGGTTCACCAGCACCCAAAAAAACCAGCACGGGGATAGCTTTTCCTTCACAGCTTATATACCATGGTTTTCATCATGCTTTTAGCTGTCTTTGTCTTCTCTTAAATCAAGGATGTCAGTGCCTCCACAAAGACAGCTTTCTGTTATGCGTGTCTGAACCTGGAGTTGTTTTTTGTCGTACTCAGTAATTATTTTGTCTCCAACAAATATCTACTTTCCTTCAACTGTAATCTTTCTTGTTCAATGCTGTAAACGTCGGGTTCATCTGTTTACGGACTCTTTGGACCCACAGTCACAGTAAAGAACATTTAGAGTGTAATATGGCTGTTACTCACAGTTAGTTGCCCGTGCTTTAAAATGTTCAGCACAGCTGGGGACATCCCTTGATAAAAAATACCTGTGGATAAGTCTCTGATTGGGACTATCTGTCTGACTCATTTGTATTATTAAATGGACAAGTCTGGTACTCCTTAGTCTCCATGAGTGTAGGCTGTTTCAACAGCCCAGGGCTGAACTGCTCCTTTCCCAAATGCTGTGTAGACTAATGCTCCAAACAGGTTGATAGCTGCAGCAATGTAGAAGACAGCCTGCCATTCTTCCATTGTATTCTGAGGAAAAAACATCACAGTTAGTACTGAGCTCTTGTGGTCAGTAATGATTCTGATCTGGTGCATTCTGTAAGACACTCATTTAGAATAATATAAACTGTTTAAAATAACTTATACCCTGGAGAAACTGAAGAGATCTGTGCAAAAGGGGCAAGGACAAAAAGTAGTACTTGGATGGCCATGATCTTCAGACCATCAGAAGACACAGCATTAACTCTGGAGTGGAAATCACTGCATGAGCTAAGAACACTTCCAAAAACCCACTGTCAGTGAACATAGTTTGTCACTGTATCTGCATATGATGGAGGAAAATTTATTTAATCGTGACCCACAAACAAAAGGTGACTTCTCGCCAAAATCTAATCTGCAGTATTTCACTAAACCATATTAACAACAGTGGCATAAGCACAGAGTCATGTCTCCCCATCATATTCTGAGCATTAGTTCACTTTCCTGTTATCTTTGTTATAAAAAATAATAATAAACCTGTATCAGTGTAAATGGATTGACTTTTATCAAATCCAATGCTGTGATCTTTACAGAGGTCTGTGGACGCCCCCTGATGGACAAATGTTAACTTGCTAATCCTGCACTGGCTAAACCAATTAGACGGGAAATAGAGCATCGAGCCAAAGACACCATCTGTGTTGACAGGGGCACTGTAACCCGGAGTGACCCATGTCAGTACGTAAGCAGTAGCTTTAAAATACACAATAAAATCATTGACAAAGGTTATGAGCAGCCTATGGATAACCGTGGTTTATATGAGATGGGGAAATGTCTTTCAGGCTGTAGTAACTGTTAATACCCAGTCAAAGCTAGGTTGTTGACCTTTGAAACACAAAACCAACTCTTGCCCTGGAAAATAAGGTTCTTACAGATTTGGTGAGTGATCTTGCTATGACTGGTCCCACCATGCCAGGAATGGTGGCGAAAGTGTTGGTGATTCCCAGGAGAATACCAGCAAACCTACAAACAGAAGCACAGAGATTATTCAAGTTTAGTGAACCATAGTTGATTTTACCTTATCTATTTACAGCTGAAGAACATCCCAATCTAGGTTATTATCATATTAATCAAAAACTTATGATATTGACCACTTTTTTTAAAAATCATAAACAAAAAACACACTTTTTTGGTAAAACTTGGTTATGTTTGAAGGTAAAAGGAACTGCGTAATACTTACGATGGTGCGATGTCAAGGTGGTTGATGTTGAAACCAGAGGCTGAGACTCCACCCAGAGAGGAGGAAATGGTGAGGAAGGTCACCGCCAAGGTATAGTTACAGCCAGTGTACCCTGCTGCCACCAGGAACACTGCTGGCCCGATCATGCCTGCAGGAAAAACACAGTATTCAAGCTGTATTGGCAGAGTTCACTGGAAGTCACCTTGTTAAAACAACAATTTGATCAAATTAGAAAATAAGTAGAGCTACCACTGTTTCTTACCAACAAGAGTGAAAGCCTTTCTGACAATGACGGTGCGGTAGAGGAGGGTTTCCCGCATGTAATCGGCAAGCTGACCACTCAGTACGGCAAGCACTGCACAGCCTATGTAAGGAAGAGCTGACAGCATACCATTCTGTAGAAGAGAGACAGACAGACAAAAGAGAAATGTCCACAAGTTTTGATTATGCACAGCATCAAAATATTACATGATAATCATACATAAATAATATATGAACAGCTGTTTATATTTTCAAAAGTACAACAAGAACATTTTTAAAGAAGTAAAACCATCATTACTGTGTCTGTCTGAAAACCTGTACGAGGAGTTGACCTCACCTGTTGTATGCTGAAGCCCAGAATGTTGTTCATGTAGGTTGGCAGCAGGGTGAGGAGGGTGTAGAAGGTCCAGTTATAGGAGAAGTGAGCCACAACTATAGCCCAAAGTGGTCTGGATGTCACAATGGCTTTCCAGGGGATTCCGCCTCGTGTTGACAGCTGGAATACAGACAGTAGGAATTGGAAAGACATTTCACTTTGAACTTTGTTGACGTGTTTGTTTTGCATATATTTAAATATATATATAGATGCAGTTTAGATGCAGTTTTATATTTAAATTCATAATCACTAAAAGCAGTTCAGATATCAAAAAAATATTGCAGAGTAATAGGAAGAAGGGAAGTAAAGTAAAACAACAGCTGAGTAAGAAGACGAGAATAAAATGCTGCAATACGCTGAGATTATGTAACAGCAGCTTCTGATAACTGCACTGGACCTGAAATACCTGCAAGCGCTCTGCTGCTGTTCTCTCAGCTGTAGAGTTGAGAACAAAATGTCTAATTATATTCAACAACCATATGAGAAACCCTCTGTCGAGTTTACTTCTATCTGAAGCAGCACAAATAGAAAAAGGATAAATGTCTATTGCTTAAATCTAAGAGGCCTTTGTTGATATTTTTATGATTAGGGACATATTTAGTTGTACCTCGTCCCTGAGTGAGGCAGTGATGTAGTTTTGCTCTCGATCCGATATCCATGGGTGAGTGCTTGGACTGTTAAAGACCAGGAAGGACCACAAGACAAACCACACTAGACCAACGGCACCTGAACACACAAATGGGGAATCAAACACCCATCACCAGACAAGTTTTTTAAGTGGAACTTCTGCTTTGGGTCTACGAGTAAGCACATTTTCCTCTCTAATTTGCCAAGTAATCAAAACAAACGGGAAGAGAAGAGCAGACCCTGGAAAGAACTTGTCTGAGACTTAAAAAGGGCACTGCAGGGATAAGAGGATGCTGGAAAACAGTTTACAGAATTGCTGATGTAGGCCACTTACAGACAAATAGATTCACTTCAAAGGGTATAAACTTCATTCAACACTGTATTCAGTCCTCAACAGACAACCTGGGTTATAATCTTCTCTTTGAATATCACACATTTCTCTTCAAGCACAGGGTTATAAATTTAACAATGATATGAAGTTTCTATGACATGCCTATGATGCTACTTTTGGTGTGAGAAATCTTTTAAATCTATTGTTTAACAAACTTCAGACAAATGGTTCAAAAGTAAAGCCCAAACTTTTTTTTTCTACTAATTGTTTTAAGTTGCTCATATTGTAAGAAAAAAAAACAACTTGTGAACTAGGCTTAAAAATCAAATAATTCCACCCCCCACTAGTGACACCCCCCAGAAGTTTTACCGAACACATAGAAGACATAAGGCCAGCCCAGGTAGAAGCAGATTTCTCCAGACAGGGGGAGAGAGACGACTGTCCCCAGCTGGGCTCCTGAGATGAAAGACAAAAGAGAAACATCTGAATCCCAAAGCTGACTGGATGTACACAGAATAAGTACTGAAAGATACACTGAGAAACACTGAGACGGATGAGAGTGTGCAATAAACTTGTCAAACCCTGTCTTTTGACCTCAATCCTGCTTCTAATATGATGTGTAAATTAGTAATTGTTTACTTATTTTTAAAGCTCAGTGACAAACTGAAACTGGATATTTTATTTTAACAAGTGTTTTCCTAAAAGCTGCTGTTTTACTTACTTCTCCTGCAAAGAGAAATAGGTTTGGCTTTTTTTGTGTGTGTCACTTTTTAATGTATGCATGTCTCACCAATGTATGAAATAGTGAGCAGTCTGCTCCTCTCCAGCGGTGGGGCCCACGCTGCCCACATTGTGTACATTGCTGGAAAAGTGACACCCTGAAGACAAACACAAAAGCTTCAACTATAACAGTGAAGGGGGGAGAGAGTCCTCCCAGTCTCTATCCTCACGGTTTATTAGATTTTCAAAGTTTAGTTGCTCTGTAATACATTAAAAAAAGCAGCTTGTAAAATACAGAAAATTCCCCCACCTCTCCTATGCCCTCCAGCACCCGTACAGCTATAAGCCAGCCTGCACCCAGGTCAGCAGCCATAGGGGTGAGCAGTGTAAAAACTGCAGTTCCCAGGATTCCCAAACCCAACAGCCACTTGGGGCCACAGCGTCCAGCCAGGTAGCCTCCAGGTATTTGTGTCAGGATGTAGCCGTAGAAAAATGAGCCCAGGATCCAGCCCTGTGTCTGCGAGTCCCAGTCATACACTTTGGCCTGTGAGGGTGAAGGTACAAAGTTAGTTAACAAGTGGAGCTAGATTAAATCATCATTACTGAATGAAGAACGTTTTTGGGATTTTTGGGCTGTAGCCAAAAATATACAAATATTTCAACAACAACTTACCGTTGGTCAGTCTGTCCACACTCTTTACATCCTTTCCTAAAGTCAAGTACCGGATCATGTTTTGACCTTGTTATGTCACGTCTATGGGGCAGTAGTGATCTGCACAGCTGATCAATAGCAGAAAATGCTTTGCTTATCTAATAGTCTCCTTGCAAAACCTTTTTCAGCTAACTAAAGCAGTGTGTCATTCATGTAATCCTTCACTGAGAAAAGTTCAAGTGAGGAACAAATATCAAGTATTCAGCTTGTAATTCTAGAAAAATGTTTCGTTTTGCCAGCACAGAGGCTCTGTTTGCATGCTTGGATAAGCTTATTCTTGGCACACTAAAACTGTGTTGAAATGGCAACATTTCTGCCGAAGTTTAACAAAGATTAACAAACCACTGCCTTCCAACTACAGTCTCCTAATCCCAATTATCCAACAGTTTAATGTTTTCTATTGACAAATGTAGAAAGGCCATGGCTGTGGTACCAAGTTATTTCCTCAAAAGTATTTTAACACTTGCCAACTCTGTCAATCTGTAATGGGCACTGATGAGATTCTTTGCGCTTTGAGGCATTTAGTCTTTGTGAGGGATAAACAGAGGTGCAGAAAGAGTGATGACAGAGGCAGAGACACACAACAGCAAATGTGTGTGTGTCCTTATTTGCAGGAACAACACTAATAAGTAGATAGTACTGGTTATGGTAGTTGAAGTCAAGTGGTTTTATATTAGCATCTACAATAATGATGATAATGATGATGATGATAACAGGGGTAGGTGGATAATCTCATTTCTCACTGCAAAATCTAACTAAGGTCTCATTCTTGCTTACCGTGTGGTTGTGTTTGGGTCGAACCGGGCTTGCGTGAGCTGGACAAACAGATATGCTTTGGTTGGTGGATTGATGGGTGGTGTTGAGCATGTCCACCATGGCCACACTAAGGTTCACCCGCAGGGCGTAGACCACAAAGAAGCCAAAGGAGGAGAGCAGCGCCAGGTTGTAGCGTGCAGAACAGCATGCTGGTGCTATGGGGTGAAGACAAACAATCAGACCTGTTTGACAGATCATACTCTACAAATAAACTTGATGTACAAAAAACTGTGGATTATTTACTTTAACAAATAACATAGAAGACAAAACATTTACAAAGAAGTCTAGCAGCTCACCATTAACATTTACAATATTTATATAAAAGAAAATAACTTTTCATAAACTTTTACAATGACAAACTACATATAACCCAATCTGAAATTGATTTTCAGTAAGCAATAATTTTCTCAACTCACTTAATTACTTTGGAGTTGCCAAAGCGAAACTTTTATCAATTATCATTATTATTATTACTATCATTATTATCATTATTATTATCATTTATTGATTACTGCCATTAACTGCAGAATATATTCTTGAACATCCATAAAAATTACAAACAATTTTCAGGGTGAATTCTTTTTTTTTTTTTTTTTTTGGTTTATTCGTGCATCTTCTATTTGTTTATGGTCCTATTTATTTCCATAACTTAAATCTAGGGTAATATGAGTCAGTGGATTTTGCAGAAGGTGCACCTACCTGAAATAGTGTGTTATTACGTTTGTAATTCACTGTAACTATACATCTCATTTACTATACATCAGTATTTCTATAACAGTAATAGCAAAATAAAATTCAGTCAGTGCTTTTATCCAGCAGGGTGCTTTACTTGCATAGAAAGCATAATTTGAAGCTTGTGTTTTAAAGGAAAACAAATCACAAAACTGACTCTCCCTCAGTGATCAGACTTTGATTGCAGGACTGCATGTTTTTAGTTTGAATCTACCGTGGATGCCCGGGCTCATTTCATAACTTGGGTGTGCTAGTCTTATGATATAAAAGACATGGATGCCACTTAACCTCGTGACTCAGCCTAATTGACATGTCTGCTTATGAACAACAGATAAAAAAATGCACCTGAAGAGAAGATCTTCCTCTTTACAAATCAGCTGACATCAACAGCTGATGTCAACAAAGTTAGGTTAAACTGGATCTTGAACAAAAGGAATTAGACACAACTGTATGACAACTTTGCTACTATGCCATGGATTATGAAAAAGCAATACTTTAAAACTCTGGTCATGGTAATTATCATGTTAGTACTGGATAAAACCGATGTAGATGTAGTAATAATCGCTTTGTCAACATATTTTATAGTGTAGTAGATGATTTATTAAGCAGGTGTTTGTGGTATCTAAAAAGACTTGCTAGTGGGGAAATAATGAGCTCCCAAAATGCTAAAGCTGTTAAATAGATAGGCTGTAGAGCTCATAAGTTCTTTTCCTATTTTTCTATTCAAATTAACTCAAAGAAACACCTCTTATTTGAGACATATGCTACACTAAATGAACCTAGCAGTGGAGAAGACATTTTTAGCTCGCCGTGTCAGTTTGCCTCATTTTTTCCTTACGTCTCTTGACTCTTTCTTCGTGTCTCCGGTGAAGAAGAGGTGTCTCCTGCTCGTCCCCCTCTGTTTCCGACACGTACTCCACCATTTTCAGTCAGAGATATTTAGGTGAAGCTACTGCATCACCGACGAGACCCGACAACAACAGGAGTAGCAGCACAGCAGAAAAAGAAACTTGACTGGATCGTCCGGTCAGCTGAGATCGACGAGCTATGCTGCATTCACGTGCTAGCTGAATAACCGGAAAAAAATGGTTTCCATTGAGAAACATTTGGTGAAGACGTGGAGACTCCATCAAGTCGAGTCTGAAATTCTAGAAAAAAATAAGAATTTAATATCCTATATTTGTTGGTATACATCAATAAAACTTTTTGAGCTAGACCATAGACTAAATATGTCAACATGGACAAACGAAGTAAACTGAATACACCTGCAGCTTATAAGTGTTAGCCTGTTTTGTTAGTTGTAAAATTAGACAAAGCTTATTGTACATATCCGGGAAATTAGAAGAAACGTTTTTTTAGGCTCATATTATTAGTAGGGTCTGTTAGGTGAAAAATCGTTACACGGTGGATAAAAGCATGAAATTTGGCACATATGTCCCTTAGGTCATCCCAGAACATCCTAGAAGGGGTGCCCAAAAAAATGTCAAACAGGAAGTGAGTTATTGACAAAATTCAAAATGGCTGCCTAAACAGGTGACAGTTTACTCAAAAAACACCTAAAGAATGTCCAAAAATCATAAAGTTTGGCACATGTGACCCTTGGGTCATCCTGAGACATCCTAGATATAGTGGCCAAAAACAGGAAGTGGATTATTGATAAAATTCAAAATGGCCGCCTAAAGTGTTGTTGATTGATTCAAATAGCCTATTGAATCTCAGAGAAGCATACTATTTGGCACATATGTCCCTAGGGTCATCCTAATACATCCTAGAAGGGGTGCCCAAAATAATCTGAAACAGGAAGTGAGTCATTGACTAAATTGAAAATAGCCTACAGTGTTGGTGATTGACTCAAAAATCATCTAAAGAATCTCATAAAACTATAACGTTTCTCACATGTGTACCTTGGGTTATCCTAAACATCCTAGAAAGGGTGCCCAAAAGAATCTGAAACAGGAAGTGAGTTATTGATAAAATAGATAGATGATGCGAATGAAGGGGCAGAAAGAAAAGGGAGATGACGCTCACGGTGCAGGCATTATTTTTCAAAACCCTATAAATGCATACAAAACTATTTGAATTACCAATAGGCTTGGGACCGGCACAAGTAGAACACTGGCTTGTGTCCCATTGAGGCTGCATCCATCCATCCATCCATCCATCCATCCATCCATCCATCCATCCATCCATCCATCTACCTACTAATCTACTGTATCTAATCTATCTATCTAATCTATGTATCATATCTATTTTCATGTCTATGCATCTATCTATCTATCTATCTATCTATCTATCTATCTATCTATCTATCTATCTATCTATCTATCTGAATTGTGTCCCATTAAGGCCAGATCCATCCATCCATCATCCGTCCATCATCCATCCATCCATCTATCCATCCATCCATCCATCCATCCATCCATCTTCATGTCTGTCTGTCTGTCATCATATCTCTCCATCTCTCCACCCATCTCCATCCATCCTGAGTGGGCATGCTACTGTCTGTCTGTCTGTCTGTCTGTCTGTTGTTTTGTCTTTTTCCCCTCTTTTCATCTTTTATTCTTTATCTTTTTGCCAAGTGACTCACATGTCCCATTCACATTTACCAGCACATTGGCATAATGCTGTACAAGGTAATCCAGCATACCGGCACCGACACTTCCGTGAACAGAGGGGCTCAGCTTTGCAGCCACACTAATGGAGTTCTCTGCAAACTTTGGCAGCCTCTGGCAATCGTGTCCATAGCGGTCTCCACAAATCATTGACTTTGGTCCATCCAAATTTGTCAGGAGATGGTAGAGACTGGATAGCTTTTAAGCTGTTGAACCAAATCCTAGATTGATAAACTGCTCGATGTGCATGCTGTAGCAATGCAGCCTGTGTCGGAGGAATGTTTTCCATTGACAGAGATTTCTTAGCAAACAGGTCCTTCCTTAGGTCACTGACATTTTCAATGTCAGTTGTCTTGCCGTACAGAACACAGGTGTATCTTTCCAGTAATGCAAATGTCTTTGATTCCTGGCATGGGAAAAGCCTGCATTTCTCGCAAAAAGTTAAAACATTGTTTAATTTTAAGCATGAGAACCTGTCCGCTCCTGCAGTCCAAGTGTGTGTGTGTGTGTGTGTGTGTGTGTGTGTGTGTGTGTGTGTGTGTGTGTGTGTGTGTGTTTGTGTGTGTGTGTGGAGAGAGAGAGAGAGCGATAGAGAGATCACGGGAAAGCCTGCTTTTTTCCACAAAAAGTTGCAACATTGTTTCATTTTAAGCACGAGAACCTGTCCGCTCCCGCACCAGTCAATTCTATTTATAATTTAGTTAAAGTAAGCATCTGTTGAGTGTTTATACACATATTCTTGGCTCCAATGATTTAAAAAAAATATATAAAGTGGCTTTTTTACCCAAACTTCATATTTATGAAATATATTCAAATGAACGCAAATTAGTATATATATTGCCCAATTTGCATATTCAAGCATATCATTTCAGAAAAAAATACAAAAAATCTTAGTCTTAATGTAAGTAGCCAGCTGGGTCCGAATTTTTGGGCACCCCTTCTGAGATGATGAGATGCACCCTAAAGAATGTGTGTACCAAATTTGGTGCTTTTATCCACCGCGTAACGATTTGGCCATTTTTTCAAGTTAACACACCCTACCAGAGCAGTCGATTAAACAGAGTGGCGACACTCCCATAGACAGACGCTGAACAGCCCGGCGGACCCCACTTCCGGGTTATAGAACTCTTAATAGTTCCAACCTGACCGCCTGTCACGTCGGACGCCGTTCGCTTCTATGGCCACAAGGCAAGCACTCACCGGATTAAATGATAAAATATCAACAAGTTTAATGCCAATACATGTGTTATTGATATCGAGGGGACCCCTTTATATGTAAAAATGTATATCCCAAATGTAATTACGTTTTTATAGTCAGGAATTGGGATCGATTTTTTAGCCACGGTTTGCTCCCACACTCCCCGGGGTAAAATATTGTATCAACGAATGTAATGCCAATACGTGTGTAAATGGTATTGAGGGACCCCTTTATATGTAAAATGATTTTAATTTTAGTATGCTGAAATTGTAATTACAGATGTAATTACGTTTTTTTAGTAAGGAATTGGGATCGATTTTTTAGCCACGGCCTGCTAGCTGGACGTCGTCAGCTGTAGAGGCCTCCCAAAATGTATTGTGTGACTGAGTTATGAATCACAGATGAATCATCATCATCAATCATATGTTGAGATGGTTACTTATGGGCTTTATTTTAGATTTCAGCCTTTATCAGTTCCCGATGTTATATGCAATTTATTATTTTTAGACTAACATAAGTGCTATGTAATTTGATTTCTGCTTATGGGATGATAGAGTTAAGGGGCCGCTACTTTTTAAATCCTGTCAGCATTTAAGGCGTATGTTTAACATGGAAAAATGTTATGCAGGCCATGCTGCAAGACCAAAACATTGCACAATTGTTTAAACAGCTTGTAACACCTGTTACTTACCACTTTATTGTATTATTTTCTCTTATTAAAAAGTAACACGTGTTACCAAACTTGTCTTATTTCACTTTTATTTGTCATCCAGCCGCTAAATATACGTACGTGACTTTGATGTGTACACAGTAATCCAATAAGAGTTGCAAATGTTGACTTTTTACGGTTAATTTTAATATTTACCTCTTAAATGTGCGCTCACTGCAGTCTGCCCCGTTGCAGAGCATGGACAGTGCAGGCTGCGTTTGGAACTATGGAGGGGTACATGAACCACGTGACCGCTCCGGCGGCGAGATCTGAAGTTGTCGCCACTCTGTTTAATCGACTGCTCTGCACCCTACTATATAGCTCGATGAACACAATAAAGCTTGAAACTGCAACTTGTCAGGAGGCGGACCAAACCAAACAGTCCGAGGCGTACTAGAATGCAGCATTGATGTCATCATTTGACGAGCAGGATCAACCCGGAAGTGAGCAACTTGGACGTATTATTGACTGCAGGTGAAAACAACGACAGCAGACAGTAGTCAAAACACGGAACTGTCTGCTGAAGATCTGAGTTGTTGGGCTTTTTGGGTGGAGGGACAGAAAAAAAGCAAATTCAAACATTAAATAAGGTTAGGGGCTGAAAATAGTTGCGCAAATATAGTTTTATCTATCGGTACTTTTAGTGAAAATTGTCAGTGATTGTCAATGTTCATTGTTGACCAAGTGCCATTTAATGGAAATGAAGTAAAACCATGGTCACTGTGCTGCTATTGGACCCACAACCACAGAAAATTTTTGATTTTCTTTTTTAAATTGTGCAGTACACGGTCTTTAATTAATCACAGTCTTTTAAAGGGTGAATTTTCGACTTCTCAAAAAAAAAAAAAAAAAAAAAAGGAAAACAGTATTATAATGACTAACTTGTAAAAATACTGGGCCTTCAAGATCCATGCACATAGACCTAGAGAAAGCTCTTTCTAAACTGTTTTTGTTTATATATATATATATATATATATATATATATATATATATATATATATATATATATATGTAATATGTAATATGGTCCAAGGAAATTTAATCATATTAGGTCACCATTAATCATAGAGGAACTGTGTGATACTTAGAACCACTGTGTTATGCAGTCAAATGTCCTTTTCCCCCAACAAAAAGGTATTGATGTTAAAGTTTCCTATGCCTGTGAATGTTACAGAACGAAAATGTCTGTACTGCAGTGGGCAGACCCACAGAAAGGCAACTCAATAAATCTAAGAAATGACGCACTTCAAATTTTGGGGGATTGAGCGCAATGATTCAACAAAAACAACATCAAACAAGCACATCACCTCCAAATCATTTTCTCTGTACTCAGTTTAAATAGTTAGCTAATAAAACCAAGTTTTGTTGGTTGTGTAGGGAGGGGTAGACAGTAAACCCCCCCTGCACACACACATGTAGCCACAAAATCAGCTGATGAGTGGGAATGATGTAACCTTAAAACACTGGATGTTGTCGAAGGAAGTAGCTCAGCTGTTTGTCTGCAGGTCTTGTCTCCTCTGCAGACAGAGGTATCTAGTTACTGTCTGCTATAATGTGCTGGAGGGTTTAATATACTAATACCCAGGCTTGCAAATGAATATACACATAGATCATATCTGTATTTCACAGTCAAGCTGGTCCAAATATTTTTGCATTGCAAACACATTTTAATTGCACCATCAGGTCTTGATGTTTCTATTTATCTATTATAATGTCTTTAGCTGTTTTAGATGAATAGAAATTCAAATCAGTTCTTTCTCCTTTGATTTTTAGGCAGAACCCTGCTGCTGTTGCTCAGTGGTTTTGTATGTGCTTATGTTATATGTGGAAAAAGTCTTAATTTAAGACACAGTTCATAAAGTTCTGATAACACCCAGTTTTTGGAAAGAGAGAGGGAAGAGACAGACTGAAAGAGTGATGGAAGTATATGACCAGGATGTTAGACTATATTTAACAATATGCAAATATTGAACCAGTTTGACAAACAAGCCTGCAGTCTGTCTTCCATATGGATATCATTTTATATTTATTTAGTATGCGAAAACAAATATTTTTAAAAGTAACTGTCATAATAGAGTTTTCATACATTATTGTGGCTTTTATGCGCAAGTGTGACCCAGTGCTTGGTTTGTAAATACTGATCAACTGCTCAATTGTTATTTTTTTCACCTGGAGATTATAATCCGGCTGCTATGTTTTCCACATTGTTTGCAAGTATAATCACAGTGACAGATGAATTCAAGAAAACATAACCGCCATCACTTTATGACTTTAAAGCTATAAACTGTGTAAGGATGAAAACTGTGTAATTATTAGTTCCACTTGTATTCTTCAATAAACTGGCTGCTCACCACAACTCTGACCTGTGCTGCTGTGTCAATGATCCTGGACCCAAACACTCTACCTTATAACTAATACCTTATAGCTTCAGTTTATAGATGAATGGTGTGCAAAAGACTCTCTCTCTCTTTCTCTCCTCCTGATCTTTCCTTCTGTCCCTCTACTCTCTGAAGACAAGGGCCTTTTTGTGCTAAAGGGGAATCATAGGACTCACATGCTTTGGAGGAGAAAAAACAAATCACAGCAGAGGACAGGGTTGTTCTGAAGAAAAGAACAAGGCAGAGGAGCACTGTGAAGTCATCTAGAGCTGGATTAGGACCACAGAACAGGACAGCTGTGAATCTACATTGGACCAAACCAAACAGGATTCCTAAAGATGGAAAATGAACAAACAGAAACAGAGGAAAGGGCGGAAGATGAGTTACAAGGTAAAGATAAAGAACCCCACCAGACCTGAGCTCATTGTCTTTTAGAAAAATTAGATTTTAGTCATTCTGCTGCAAACCACAGGGATAGCAAGCAAATTAAATTTATCATATCAATCATTGTTTATTTGTGAAATATCTACACAAATTTCAAGAACCTACATTCAAATATGTTTGTTTTTTCTGAGTAAAAATCCAAGCCCAGATATTGAGTTAACAACGAAATAGAGCAAGAAAAAACTACATATTTAGTTCTCTTAAGAAATCACACAATTTGCAAAGACTATTGTTTTCATTTAGTTAAGTTTTGGTTTGATTTTGGTTCTTATGCTCATTATTTGTTTGAACCTTATTGACTCTGAATTGTTTGGACTGGAGCACTGACTCAGACTGCGAAGATTCATTGATTCCACTGGTGCCACAAAATTAGGACCTATATTTGATCAACTATACTGTCTCTGCAATCATTTTCAAATTGGTTTATATTTATTGATCATTAACATAAAAATAAAATGTACATCTTTAAACAAGCTACATTTACAGAGATGAAAAAACATTACCCTCAGAAGCCTAAAAAAAAACAGGTCAAAAAGGACCAATGCCAAATAACAAAAATCCCAAATATCCAATGATCAAGTCACCTGATATATTTGTTTATGGGAAGACAAAAAAAATTCAAAGTAAAAAGAAATTATGATAAGATTTTCTTTCTTTTTTTTTCAGGTTAATCCCATAAAAATTTGAAGAAGAAAAAAAAATTTCTATATATATATATATATATATATATGTATATATATATATATATCCTGTCTGATAGGCTAGGCCTGTGGATGTCAGTCAGCCAAGCCCTTAACCATGCTTGCTTTATGGTCAATGAAACCTTAATAAAGTCATAACTTGTATAACTTGTAAAATGGTTTAATTTGACTTGAAACTACATTCTGACACTGTTGACCTATTGACAGATACAGTTAAAATAGTTACTGCTGTTACAGCGATGTAACAACATTTCATTATCTGGTTGCAAACAGCAGACTTCTTTTGAAGACAGTCACCTCCTGTCGACTTGTGGAGAGTATGCAGGTTCGAAGCATTAACTCCACTTTCAAGTGTCTGTCTACTGAAATATTCAGACTGTGGCTCTTATAAAAAATATATTTTGAAAGTTCAATCTCAGGGCAAAAGCCAGAAATAGTTTCACTGGGAAGTGTTCTCTGGATTTCCTGTCCAGTGTGTTTCAGCATCACATTGTATAATGTTATTCTTTTAGAACTGATTTCATTAGCAAATGAATTTAAATCAACTTACAGCAGAATTTGAGGGAAACAATGCGTGTTTTATTTGTATGTTAGTTATAGAATAACTTTTTGGTTTTATAATCGTTCCAATTCATCCATTTTTTTCTTTCAGCCTCAGGTCACTCTGGGACAATGTGGCTCAATGTTGACATCTTAAAAGCCAATCTTTTTGCATAGCAACAACTGCAACAATATCATGGCGCCAGAGGAAAGTCGTCATAATGCAAATCCTGCAGACAGAAGGACTCTGTTCTTTCACGCTATATTCCCTCTTTTTGCTCTTTGACAGTTACATGTGTCATGGATTACAGATGTGGCAAACTGCGCCTGAAGGCCTTGTCAGTTACGCATATTAATGTATGCTAAGTGCATATTTCGGATGACCCTCGGCAAAGTTAACAGCAACCTCATCCAGTGAACTTTTCTCAACAAACAGCCGCATTGTGCTTTCATACAACCAGTTAATTGTGTCTAAATGCATTTCACTTATAAGTAAAATCCGTCATAAATCTGAATTTCCTCTTACAGCACTTTCCTGCAGTTCCATCATATTGTTGACTCAAGAGTAACAAACCAGTGGGGATATCTGTGTTCATCTGTGGGAATCAGCTGTTTACAGAGAAATAACTCTTCTTTAGCAGGAAAACTGATGCTCAAGCTTGAAGAGGGCTTACAAAAACTGCTCAATCTTTGCTCTCTTGAACCTTATTGAGCAAATCTCCACCTTTGTCAATCAAAAAAAAATCACTTATCAACATTCAGATGAATGTAAATGTACCTGAGTCAGACAAAAAAGTCAGCTGTTTGAACAAACATTCATATCAGTCAACAAATCAGCTTTCTAACCAAGTCACCTAAATGTGTAAAGGTTTCAGTTTTATTTCTGAAGACCATTTGCCAATGCAGCTTTATGAAATTTGTGGTGTGTAATTTTACAATTCTTTGTCTAATCCCAGCAGTAGGCTAATAAGTAAGAGATTAAGTGATTGTTGATTAAACAGGTTATTGTTCATTGTGGCTATTTGCACTCTGCACTAAAATTGATCTCTTCCTCAATGTTTGAAGGACTTATTTCTCCTCACATTTCCCCCTCTGTACAATCCAAAAATTCAACACACCATTACTGAAATCAACCTTTTCTAAAGTGAGCTGTTGCCTTTCTTGAAGTGTGTCAAAGCTGTGTTTCTTTTTCTTACAGAAAATGAAGAAAATGTGGAGGAGGCTAACCTGGAGATCGCTCAGGTAATGAACAACTCCTCTTTTCCAAATGTCAGTCAGCACTTCAGCTTTGTTGCCTTGTATGGGTCAATAATAACACTGCCAACAGCTTTCATTAGATCATCATCTCGCTGGGTATTAGCAGATCTGGTCTGGTCTAATCTCCTCTCCTTCACACCTGCCCTCCATTTCTGGGAGCAGAGGGCCAAACTCTCCTTCAAGGAAACTTAAAGAGATTTGCTGTGTTGGTTGATCTTTAGCTGACTGAGCTTTTAAGCTGTTATAAACAGCTTAAAAAGTGGAGACTTGTTTCAACAAGCCTGATAGGCCTGTTTCTGTAAATAAGTCATTGAGAGGGGAATTTTGAAACTACTTTGAGGCATGTTTTGGCGAAGGACTAACAATGTCTGATATGCTCCGTAAATTTGGAGTGGGGATCCTTTTATTTGACATTCAGGGTCAGGATTTCAATAAGTCGAATACATAAAACAACACAAAGAAGATATAGTCAAATAAAACTCACAGCACTTCCACACACTGCCTTGAGAGCTTGAATTCCCCCCTTGACACCTGGCAGCAACCACCTTTACACACCTTTATGTAGGCTTTAACACAGTGCTGGTGTCAAGTTCACTAATGAAATATACACATCACTGTTTCACTGTGTCTCATATAGTTATGAAATAAACTACCTCCAAAAATAAGTTTCACAGGATTTAGAATTTTTTTTTTTTTTTATCTAACTCTTTGGCCATGTGACAGTGACGTGTAATCAACTGAGGACTTACAACAATCATTACGGTCATCAGACCAGATAAAGGTCAAAGTTCAGTTTTCATTTGTTCTTCAGGGCTCTTTCGACACTCTTGGTTAGAGGAATAGAGACACAATTGAGCAGTTCAACATGAATGAGCCTCTGGCTTTTTACATTTGTGATGTTCATCTTTGATGTGACTTAAAACACAGATACACAGATAACTGGATTTTTTAAATATCAGAGAGGACTCAATGTGCCCATGGTGGAAAGAGCAACAGTGTGGTTTTATATTCAATTTTCCATTTAAGAACATGGTGCTATTCCGTTCAGGGCACAGACTGGCTATTTATGTCATTCAGGGAACAGTTTAGGAGCTTTTTTGTTCCTTTTTAAAACAAATGTCACTTCATGTATGAAGTGGCAACAGACTTCCCTCTGTTTGCTTGACTTTAATCTCTGCAAAGTCCTGTGATATTTGAGGAGATAATATTTTCTTATGGCAGTAAAGCAAAGTAACATGTTTGGGATTTGATTGTTGCTCTTGGTTTTTAGAAGGTTTTTTTTATGGTTTAGCTCTCTCAGAGGGCTTGTGTAGTTTATATGGTGTTTTGGAAAACCCTTCAGCAGGACCTAAAAGTTGCTGCACAGTAAGATAACACTGGGATAACACTCTCACTGAGTTGAACAGGAGGAAACTTATCTTTCAAAGCCCCTGGAGGAACTTTTGATTTCTGTTGATTTTGGCGCCTCCTGTGGACAAAGTGTTATCCTCGTCACTTTGCAGATTTTCTTTTCTTATGCATGTGCAAGTATGTTGGAAGATTTGCTGTCACAAAAACTAATCTCATTTTCTTTGGCCAGTCTAAAGTTTTAGTCATTAAAAAATCGTAGAATTGGTAAATGTAAGAAGGTTTGTTTTTGCAGTATTTTGTAAATCCTTTATCAGATGCCATCCCCGTGGTAGCAGCTTCAGGCAATAAAGAAAAGGCTACGAAGTAATGAGCTGATGGCCTCATTTGCTTTTGTAACTCATTCAGGGACGTTCCTCTCTTTCGTCAGCAGCTTATGACCCTCACACAGGCTTTGATCAGATCTCATCATGAGGCATTAAGAGGCTAATACTGGCTGAATTGCTTTAGTTAAACACCGGTTCAATCATAAAATACAATGTTCTTCCACAAATTATGGCATAAAAACACAGCATCTTCCAGTTTTTAACTTCAAAAACACAAACCCTGCGAAACAACACAAAGAACACCACAGCAAAGTGGTCACTCAGTCTGCTACAAAGCATGACACTATCATAACATCGTCATAAAAAACGTGTCAAGACATGAAATATTCCTGTTTTTGAGTCCTTTGGTGAGAGGATTTACCCAAGGCCTCCAAAGTTCACATGTTGAGTTACATCCTCATAAATTGGCTTATTTGAACAGTATGGCTGCAGCGTTCTATAAACTTTCCATAGATGCAATGAAATACTGAGACCTTGTATGTGATATTCATAAAGTTGTGGCTCTTCAAATCTGTAATCCTCCCAGGTGTACAGAGGCGCAGTAGCACCCTGAGTCACAGATAGCATCAGAGAGGAAGAGGAGCAGAGGGCACAGTGGACAGATGCTCTATTCAGCCGGCTGCCTGATGCCTTTCACATGACCTAGGGAGTGTGAGCAAAAGAGAGAGAGAGAGAGAGAGAGAGATGGAAAGATTTGAGGAGAGGGAGAGCAGATTCAACCCATGTTATGTTCCCACGAGATGATTCTGTTATCTCTGCAGGCAAAAAAAATCAAATAGCTTTGAAAAGAAAAAAGAAAGAAAGTCAGGATCCACCCTACAGAAAACCATAAAAAAAGAACAAAAACAAAAAAAAAATGCAAAATGAAATAAAAACAAAGATGATAAGTTGCGAAAATCAAGACAATTTTAAGGAAAAAAAAACAGAATGAAAGAAGAGAATAAAGTGCACTTCACAAAAGAAGGCTCTAAGCAGAATACTGACAACAACAGCAGGGGTTCAAAAGTTCAGCATCAATGCAGAGACAAATCAACAATTGGAACGGATATATAAAGATCCCATAAAGATCCCACTGATAGTTCTTCTAGAAACACATAAAATAAGTAATAATGAGTCTTGAGAGAAGTTTCATGGTCCATAAATAACAAGTGCAAAAAAGCCCCCCAAACTGGTACACAACAGAAAAAGGAAACACAAATGTTGATTATTCTATTGCAATGTTTGGGCTTTTAAAAAGTTTTGTGAATTAAAATATTTTCTCCTGTAGTTGTTTTAAGAGATCAGCAGCCCCCCCAAATTCCTCAACTTTAAAATCCTCTTGAATTGCAGCTGCAGGGCCTGGTGGCTGAGCTGCGTGAGGGGCTTCATGCTGCCTTGACTGAGCTGTGCGAACTGCGTCAGAGGGACCACGGCCTGGAGGAAAAGCTCCAAGCCCACGAGACTGATGTGGATGATAAGATAATGGGCCTCAAGAACTCCCTCAACACTTTCAAGGTGCTGGAGACACTACAGACAGCAAACACACACACACACACACACACACACACACACACACACACACACACACACACACACACACACACACACACACACACACACACACACACAGAAACAAACAGAAGCAGTCTATTCTCGGTGAGGCAGGAAGGCAAATGTACGATAATTTGGAGCATCTGACTGAAGCTCTGTGAAACTGATTTAATTTAGGTGGAAAGGCAGCTGCTGAACACTCACACAGCAATGCAGCAGCAGAGGAAACAGTCAGTCACTATGTGAAATTGCTTTTAAAACACACCTTTCAAATAGTTTTTTTTAATTAAGTGAGTGTATAATTGTAATGTTTTCATGAGAAGGTCAAAAGTGGAGTCGAACAGGCATTTGTTAAAGTTATATAACAAACATATGGGAGTAAACTGTATTATATTCAACATGATTATTACAGTATTAGTGGTGCACACAAGTGATCCCACAATTACGCAGGTTTTTTTTAGACTGCTATTTTGCACAATTTAGCAGAACTGTTAAAACTCGTCTGTTCTATAAAGCAAATTTTCCCCATGTTTGGAAATTCTTCTTCTTACACTTTAAATGTATTAGGCTTTAAAAAAATGCTTTTTTCCTGATTTGTTCCCTGATAGCAATCAAGGATATTTTCCCACAAATCTGATGTGGGGTCTTACAGTGTGAAAACCAACACAGATTGTATCAGTATTATCATGTTAAAGAATTGACACGAATACAGTTTCATGGTAACGTCTGCTGACAGGAGGAGCTGAATGCGGCCTTGTTCCACATAAAGGATGTGTCCAGCCGGCAGAGGGAGGTGCAGAAGAGGTTAGAACAGCTCCAATCAGAAAACAACAAAGAATTCATCCCTTTTCCACACAGGTATGACTGTAACCTGCTTCTTTATATATTCTAAAGTTACTTTTTAATACAGAAAGTTATTATTCTTTTCAATATTCTTATTTCAAATCAACAAATCTCCATTCAACATATAACTTTGATAGGCTTCCTGATGCCATGAAAGTGCTTTTCAGCCATGCATGGAAGAAAAAGAGGCCAAGCTCTATTAAATTTAGAGCATTTTCAAAAACTGAACATCTCTTAAAAGCAGAAAGAGTTCAAAAGCAGATGCCCACGCATCACCGGGGGATGAACACATCTTTGTACCCAGCCAGTCAGACCTCAGCGTTATCCAGCACTTCTTCTCCAGTCTACCACAAAGTGGATCACCACATAGGAGCACCACATCCACGCAGAGTGAGTCTATGTAACATCTAATCTCTCATCCAAGTTTGGACGGGGTGAGAGAAGAAGTAAAACCTGTGAGCGTGTGTCTTTGTGTGTCTGTGCGCATTCTGCAGCCTCTTCTTCTGATCAGGAGGCTCAGCAGAGAGGTTTTCTATCCAAAACCCCAGCCTGGGGAGAGAGGAAGAGTAGCAGAGATGACACGGAGACATCCAACAACCCTACTGAAAACAGTAAGAAGCAGATATGTTAATAGTTTGAATGTTTATATTACTGATACACTTCAAATACCCTGCCAAGTGCTAAAAAAATCACTGGTATAGTACAGTGGATATGCACTTATCCAACTGCAAACACCAGCAGAGAAGTTGTCTTATATATTTGGAAAAATGCAAGTTTTATAAGATTTAGAAAATTAATATCTTTCTTATGAATGTACATTACATTTAAGGCTACAGTCAGTAAGACAAAAACAAAAAATGGGGGCAAACTGATGCCTGTATCTTGAAGAAGCAAAAGATCGCTGCCAAACAGCACTTGCAAACTTACAAACCTTGTAGAGTTACCAGTTAGTGTAAGGTTGCCTGGGAAACACATATAGCTACAGGAAGTCACTAGTCCCAATAAGAAATAGAAATCAAAATCCATTAACTATTTATGGCCCTGCTTTGTTTTTTAGTATGGATTAAACACAGAAGATATTATCTGATTTGGAGAGTGGTAGACCAGCCGGTGTATGTGTAACCTTTTGACAGAGCTAAGTTATCTTTGTCCACTTTGGTTATGTCCTATATGTCAAATGTAGTGCATCGTCCCTCTCTTCCTTAACAGCATAGCGCAGGTGCACCCCTTCCCCTCAAAGAGCTCTCGCTTTCACTTCATCATGAGCAGTTCAGAAATAAAGTATGTAAGCACATGGAAGTTTAGCTCCTGCTAAGATTAATGGTGAACTGCTGTATCTTCATCGTGCTGTGCAACAGTGTTGTTGAGGCAGGTGTGTGCGTCTGAAAAGCCAAAGGACAGATTGAGCGTTAGAAATCAGAAGCGTGCACATGTACCAACAAGCTACCAACAACTGCCGGGCTAAAAAGTGAGAGACATCGTTCAGAATCATAACAAAATACTAGCTTTAGTCTTGACGTTACAAAAAGTTCAATAGTTAAAGTTAACAAAGGATATATACTGCGTTCCAGTCACCTCTGAAGTCAGATGTCGGAGCTGGGAATGACGTTACACCCGAGTTGACGGCGTTCCAGTAAACAAGTCGGAAAACAAGGATATACGCCTACTGTTAGCCGTTGTTAGCTGTTGTTAACAATGGTCAGCTGTTGTTAGCCATTGTCAATTGTTGTTAGTCGTTGTCAGCTGTTGTTAGCTATACTAGTTGTAAACAACGCAAAACACAGTATTTTACTCTTACAAACACTATAGCACCATAGTGTTCACAGTTAGATGTTGGGCAGTACAACATATACCACTTCTTTAATTTCACAAAAAACAAAACAGAAGTGCTAATAAATAATACATTACAAGAGCTTTCACTGTTACTCTCTACTGTTAATGCAATACACCTTCATCTTAGATTATGATGTTGTCGTTTGTTAGGACTGTCCAAAGCTCAGAAATCCCGATTTCTGAGTACAACTGGAACATACCAATAATACTGTAAAAAAAAGCTTAAAAGGCTGAATGGTTTGTTAGATGGGTAGCCTATGACAATATGTAGAAAAAAACTGTTTATTTCTCCATATATTGTTTTTCAGAGAATTCTGTCTTTTTGAATTTGAAAAAGGTTTTGAATTGCTCAAGTGTATCTGATGCAGATATCAAATCAGGGATTATCCTTTTTGATTATTTTGATTTCAATATCATTAAAATTAATGATAATGGTAATTATTACTTTGTCATAATTGAGCAGCCTTACCCTAACCCTTTAATATATTGAAGATTTCATTCAATCTTAAAAACTGCAAAACCAACTTAAGACATGATATTTTACAAAGTTTGTGTCACACTATCCTCCGAAGACATATTATCAGCCATAAAAAATAACTCTACTCTATCATATGTGATTGACCAAAGTTTAAGTTACAGTCTGGTTTGGAATGTGTGCAGATAAGAGGCAGAGGGTGGCTCTGGAGCTGCTGGAGTCAGAGAGAGTCTATGTGTCCCACCTGTCTCTCTTACTGAAGGCCAACATCTCTTTTAATGGAACAGAAGCTCTCACATCTAAAGACAAACGGTAAGCCTGTAGACACACAGTGAACCTTACAACATGAAATCATATGTAGTCATCAGACTTCACATAAAGAGGTCAGTTTTACAAGAACCATGAAACAAAAAAGGGAGTCATTTGAATGAGGACAAGGATCATGCAAGAATGACCCAACTATCCCCTACCCATCTAATCTGGAAACGATACACAGTGAACCTCAAACTCAACAAATAATACAGACTGCAGTCGCTTGTCTTCTGTCTTTATTTTCACTCACAGGTCAACACATTGAGAATCTATCTCAGGAGCAACTACTGATCTAATTTGGGAGTTTTCCTTGCAGGGACACAGGAAATGGTGTAATCAAATAAAAGGAGATTATAAACACCAGCAAGACAGAGAAAATACTCTCTGCACAGTTTGTAAATGTAATCATGACTTAGCTGCAGCAGCACTCGTGTTCCCAATGACTGAAATGACCAGGGAAGATGTGCAAATGCTGAACTGGGTCTTATGGGATTTGCAACTGATTGCATTTGTTTTAATGTGGTTCTCCTGCTACTTTGAGACTTCAGTCATCGACCATAGAACAATAAATGTCATAAAGTGTATTAGTATGATGACATGGAAAGTGTAACCGCTGCTATTTTTACACCACTTCGACAGTGGTTTATTCTTAAACATCCCTTTTTCACATCAAAGTTTTATTTCATTAAAGAAAAAAATAATTGTTCAAATACCTTCACTTGTATCCATTCAGTGCAACATGAAATCACTTTTTTGTGTTTCATTTTCTTATGTTTTTGTTGAGGACAGTCCGTTTCCTAGCTCTCTGAGGTTTCTGATCCAGCAGCACCTGGAACTCCTCCACACTCTGCAGGAACGTGTGCTCAAGTGCCAGTGGCAAGGCATCATGGGGGATGTGTTTATGAGGCTTACCAGCAAAGAGGTAAAACACAAACAAACAGAGAGACTGTTCTGATAGAAGTAGAAAACATGAGTGTGTTGCTGAATGTCTTCCACCATTAACTGAGCAAAAAAACATTGACAGATGCTCTCTGCAGGCAAACATCATCAACAACAACAACAACAAAATACATACTTAGTAAGTTATCAGACCTGGCTGCAGGCAATGAGTGTTACTGGTTTATTAATGATGACACTTCTTTGACCAAATAATTTCCCTGCAGTGTTTTGACCACTGTTGGCAAAATATCAAAGGAACCTTGTAGTTAAACGAAATGCAGTCATATCTAAATGCCCAGATTTCAAATCTTCAGGGGTTAAATAAGTGCCTTGATTAGCCTAAAATAAGATAAAATACTTCTTTAATCATCCCACAAGAGGAAATTCCAAATTTACAGCAGCGATAAATACAAAAGAGAAATTAAGAAAAGATATATACATGAGTGTTATTTACAGCTGTTATATACATTTTTGATATATTACAGTATGAGATATTATATGTATGACTACAAACACAGAATAAGCATACGTGTGTAAAGTATATACACATAAATATGATTTTATATGTATTTAGATCTGTCAGTATACTGTACCTGTGGTAAGAACACAAAGATCTACACGCCTGTTTTCTAGCATGTCAGTCCAAAACTTGTCATCCACAATGCAAAGAGTTGTTCCAGACAGTTCTATGTGGCAGGGTCAGAAGGTTTGGTCTTGTGACCCACCATGTATAATGAATCTGAATTGCTTTGGATGCCATGACGGACATTAAATCAAATGCCAAATTCCAGCAGAGCCATGCAGAGAGCAGGGATACAGATATAGACCAGAAACAAAAGTGTTTCTTGCCATAATTGAACATGAAGACAAAAAGGACACTGATACTTGGATTACAAAAATGATAATAACTCTTTGAAAGACCTGACAGCCCACAGGGTGTAATGGTGCAGATTCTGCACTGTTTTCATATTAAACAAAAAAATATAAGTCAGATGAAACTCTTTGACAGAACTTTAAGGTCTCATTTTATGACTGTGAGGACTTTTAGTTTCAAAAATATAGGAGTCAATAAAATAAATAAAAATAAAATAAAATCATACACACAAAAAAAGATATAATAGGAGTCAATTTTCTCAAAATGATAGTTAAGATGTGTGTTCATTTAGGGTGTAGAGGGGGAACTGTGAACTCAAACCCAAAGAAGGTGAAAGACGCAGACAGTGAAAATTAAATTCACTGTGACAGCATCTCTCTTTGTCTCCTTTCAGAATGACTTCCTGGACTTCTATGTTTCCTACCTAAAGGAGCTTCCAGACTGTCTCTCAGTTGTCAGTATGCTTTCCTCCAACTCCATGAAATCATCTGCCTTTCTGGAGGTAAAGATAAGAAAAGCTTGAGTCTTGAACCAAGACACAATTCTAATGTGATTTCATAAAATGTTGAAATGAAGTCATCTGAGGAAATGTTGATGAATCTTATCATTCTCATAAAGCTTCAGCGGCTGAATGAGGTCACCCTGCAAATACAGTATGTGCTGCAATGACTTGTTTTTTTCTCTCTCACCTGACTGGTTTGCATGACTCCATTTGCTCTGGTTGTCCCATGATGCATCTGTCAGAGCGACATAACAGGTGATGAATCCAAGCCCTCTCTCTACACTTTGCTGCTTCAGCCAGTTCAGAGGATCCCAGAGTATCTGCTGCTGCTGCAGGTGAGATTTATAAACAGATTTTCATTATAACAGATTATATATATATATATATATAAATATATTTATATATATATATGTATATATGTGTGTGTTTATTGCATATCTTTATTGTATATATATGTGTTTTTTTAAATTTCCAGAAATAAAACAGGAACATGATAAAAACAAACATACAAACATACATACATTTGGCTGACACACACATTTAAATTCAAATTTATACAAGCGAGAGATTCAGGAGTCATCCTATACAAATAAAATAAGTAAAAATAGTACAAAAAATTAAGTGTACATTGCCATGCATAAAATGTTTATATAGTTAAAGAAAGGTACACAAAGAAAAAAACATTAACTAAAAAATAGGACGTCATTTTTGAAGCGGCACATTCATAGCTATCAATAAGAATAACTTTATTAATCCCCGAAGGGAAATTCAATATGATGCTATGATACAAACCCTCCCGCAAGAATGGTAGAAATATTTATTTAACTTTTGAATGCCAACTTCCTGCACAGGATCATAGAGCTTAATGACAAACTATTGTTGGGCTACTAATGCAGATGACTCTGAACATAGCATCTGCTGAAAAGTGTGAGTATCAATAATTAATCTGTATGTGTGTGTTTGTGTGCAGGGGCTGCTGAGGCAGACAGATGCAGAGCACCCAGACTATTACCTGCTGCTGGTGTGCATCCAGCAGTTCAGGTCCTTCACGGCTCAGTATCACCACCTGCTCCAGCACAACCAGGAGCTTCTGCTGCACAACCGCAAGGAGATGAAGAGGTCAGAACAATGTAATAGGAGCATGCTGAAGACATTCAATGTGAAATATTCTGATACCCAGAGCCTGACATAATGAGAACAATAAAGCAGTGTTCTGACTCACCTGCAGGTCTACAATGAAACAGCTGTTAAAAACAGTTGAAAGTGGGATTCAAGCCAACAACATTGGCTCACCATACCCTTGCAGCAGTACAATGATGTGAGTTGTTTTTGTTTGATGTTTTAAAAATAGTATGTATGATGGACTGTTTGGGTAACTTGTGCTTAAAAAGCTCTTTAGATCAGGGTAATTGAAATCCCCTATCCCCATTTATCTGTCCCTGCCAGAGAACATGCAAACCAGGTGAAGCAGAGCAAGCAGCGCCTCCTAGATCAGATCCAGTCTCATCGTTACCAAGCTTGGGATCGGGACCAGGATTCAGAGTCTCATTGTTATGACACAGAGTGGACTCCTCAGCTCCAGTTTTTCAGTCCCAATGTGGACCCAAGGAACCACAAGTCAACAGGTCTGTACTTGGAGAAGTTTCTTCTTTTTTTTTCATCATTGTATTATTTCTTGTAGAGTAAACCTTAAACTTAGGTGTCCATAAAAATGCTATAAAAGTTATTAGGCTGAGTCATCTAGGAGAGCAGATTTGACTGGAGAACAGCATCTTTAATAGTGCTGGTGTCCAAAGTTCTCGCCTGAGTCCAATTAGTTAGCAACATTTCATGCTTTCCTTGTGTGGTTCCTGTGGTGTTCCTCAGGGTCTTCCCCCAGTTGGCTGTACCCAAAAATTCAGAGGTTATGAAGAAAATCCAGAACACCCCAGTAAGATTTTTAGACTCCAGTCAGAGACAAAGTCTTCAAAGTCTTAGGATGTGGTATAGTCAGTGTTATCATGCAGGCATCCACACAAGATCACCTCTGTTGACTTAAAGGCCTCTGTTTCCATGATTTTTTGACCCTATATGGATTATTTCGTACATCTAGTGGTGAAAGACATGTAAGCAACTTCTCTTTGTTGCTTGAGAGACAGCAACTCTTTGTTGAAAACACTTAACCTTTGAACTGCAGGTCTAGGCAGTATCCCAGAGAGTGAGGGATCTGAACAGGGAACCTTGCTGTATCAGCATCATCTGCCCTCTAGACCTGCAGACTTCCATCAAGTTCAACCAGGCTCAGCACTGGCAGATGCCCTCGGGGAGTTCCTCCTTCCTCCAGACCCACCAGGGATGGAGAGCCTCTATGAAGAAGAAGGAGACTCTCTTCGTGATGTCTCCATGTTTGATCGCTGCTCCTCTGCCTCCTCTGATTCGTCCATTGACATTGCCTTCGTGAAGTGCCCCAAAGGTTCCTCTGCGTCACATCAAGCAATGGCTGTGAATGTGTCAACAGCTCGTGATGTCTTTGGCAATGGTGGGAGTCAGGGGAACGGCTACAAAAAATTGCCCAACCGAGGGTGTGTGTCTCCAGATGAAGCTGTAATGATGCGGCACAATCAGCATCGCCCCCTTCAGGCCAGCCAGCGCAAGAGCAAGGTGGGACAATTGTTCTCAGGTACAATTTTCTGCGACTTCATACATGTTTTAAAATCAACACATGCATCTTCTTTGCCTGATAGTCACTGAACGGCCTGCAGATGGACACCACGGTGTGCCTGGATGGTAGTCACCTCTCAGACCACCTCCAAAGAGTGGGACTGGGAAACCATGCCAAGCTGGAGCGCCAGGGGAGCAAAGGCAGCAAAGGATGTCCCACCCCATCCCGTAGGGTCCAGAGTCCCCAGGGGAACAGAGCTGATACAGAAAAACAGCATGATGATCTTCAGGGGATGCTCAGCATTGTAGGTTTTGGCAAAGATGTGAAGAGAAATTAATAAGTCTGTAATTTTTCTGCCCAGAGTGACTGGTATAAAGTGTCCTTTCCAGAGTCAGCTTTCCCTACTTACACTCCATAAAAAACACCAATTTCAGAAACTCCATAAATTACATCAAATGCAATAAGACCATGAATGATGTATTTAAAATATTGTGTTGAACCTAGGACTCTGGATTCCAGTCCTGGGGGGAGGATTCAAAGTGGAGGGGAGGTGCAGAGGAGAATAATCACACCCCCTTCAGTGAGAGGAGCCGGAAGCAGGACAAAGGAGGTTTCCGCAGCTCATTTAAAAAACTCTTCAAGAAAAAGTAAGATTGACTCTGCAGTCTATGAAAAATACACATAAATATACTGATACTGTCGCTTCCACCCTGACCAACCAGTCAAGTTGGTTTCAAGCTTTCATATTCAGTTATACCTGCTTGGAAATATTACTAAAACCTACAAAATGTAAGCCCCAAATTCACTCCAGCTTTTTCCCCTCACAGGAGTGGAGATGAGAAGAAAGACAAAGGTGGTGACAAAACGCCAGAAAACCAAAACCACAGTGAACCTGAGACACCAGGGAAAAATCCCAAACTGGTACATCTGGAGATAAACCGTGGTACAGCTGTCTGAGCCCCACTGTACCACAAACACAAACACAAATACTGTCACAAACTGACCAAAGGTTAAGTGTGACATATGCAGTATCAGCACAATGTAAGGATTTTTAAATATTTACCACTGATATATGAATGCTGTACAGATATTATTCATTTAGCAGAACTGTCTTCCCTCTTTTTACTTCCAAGTAATCCCTCTACCACCTTTTGTTTTTGAACACAACACTTAATGTGAGGGAAAGCACTGACATGCCTTTGGTGGGTATTTGAACACTGAGTCTCAGCCATTTGAGCTGAGGGCCAATTTGAAATACAGTAAAAGTGAAAATGTGATTATAATTTCAACCACTAGATGTCAGAGTGGACAATGCAACTTTCATTTTCTTTCTGGATTATTATTATTATTGTTAGTTTTATCAAAACAAAAATTCTATTTGTTTTGCCTTTTTAAATCAATGTTTGCAATTCTTAGATGGGTGCAAAACTCATAGAGAACCTCTGTTTTGCACAAATAAGTTCACAATTTATCCCCAGAGACAGTAAGCTTTGCAAACGCAAGTGCTTTGATTTAATTGAAAAACTTCCCACAAAAGGCTTCAACGCTAAACTTTGTGGAGTTCCCTCCTATCTGTCTATCAATATCTCTTCTTTAAGCCCCAACAAAACGTGATGATGTTGTTTGTTATTTACTGAGGAGAACATGTATTGAGCTGGTATTCCTGTATGTTTGTATGTGATCAGCATTGGGCTCTAAAGAAAGGTGGTTACTTCTATGCATTGAACATAATTATTTTGTAGAGAGTTAAGAGTGTCATTCAAGAGACATAAAGGACATAAAAAATAAAGTCCCATAATGAAACCAATTAATGCTGCTTCTTTGCTCCTGAATCACTCCATAAATAGAATATCACACAGCCATACATACTCATATCTAAACTAATGTCAAGGAAATCAATCTGTTTCAAGCAATTTTCCTATTTTAGTTTTGATAATTATGGTGTCCCTCATGATAAAATATTTCAACATATGCAGATATTTCACTTTTGATTTGAGTAAACGACTTCTCAAACAGAGACTCTCCCTGGTTCACAACATGCATACACAGTCATGGAGAAGACTACAGACTTGAAAGTCGTTCAAAAGATCATCACTGACAACCTCCACAAGGAGAGAGAGCCACAGAAAAAGTAGTATTGTCTTTGATTCAAAATTTCTTGGATGGGATGAACTGTAAATGGGAATTTCTCCTTGTGGGACTCATAAAGGAGTAACTTCTCTTACCTCTCACATGTGAAGATTTTTCTTCATACAAAAAAGGTCCATTGGAAGAAAAACACCCCAAGAAAGCAAAAGGTTGATATCCTTCTTTTTAATGTGTTAACCTGTCATCTCATAAATCTGTTACACTTCTGAACCAAAATATAGGCAATTATACAGTATGTAAAACAAACCCATTTTTATTTTACAATATATACATTTTATAACGTGTGCATTGCATTCAGAAAACAAAAGACAAAGGTGATGTAATCGCAACAGAACAGAGGCTTTGAGTAGTTTTTAGTGGACCTGTGCTAAAACAGCTTCTGCAAACAACTCATCTGGATTACTCATGTCTAGATGGAGCACTAGGATTGCAGACATGAAAAATGATCTTAAAGCCAATCCAGTCATATTTTCAGTGGCTGTCAACACAAATCTGGTGCTCACATCAACTTGGAAAACAAAACACTATTTATTTTCTATATGGGTTGGGATTAAAACCTTTTTTTTTCAAACCCCACTATAGAGGGCCATGTTGGCATCAGTGTTAGGGAACAACAGCCTAACTCCAGCAGACACTTCCTTTAAAATCCTGCAAACGGGACAATTGCTTGAAAGCTCAAAGAAAAAAAAGTAGCATGAAAGCAGCATGGTTAATCTGAGAAATTTAGAAAACCCTAAAACGAGGTCCATTGATTGAGTCTCTACAAGGCATATACGTAACAACTTTTAAGTCAATATGTGAAAAAAAAAAATCTTGCAAGATGTCAGAGAATTTCTGTTGATCATTATCCGTTCAAGTTTCTGATGGCTGAGTTCTGAATAAGAAAAATCAATCTATTTCACCCCAAGGACCTACCACCAGGTAGACCATCAAAGGTTGGCCATTAAAATGTCAAATGATATCAACTGACGTAACTTAAAGAAGTTTAAAATCATATGATTTGAAATCAACAAAACTGAAATCAACAAAAAAGTGAAGATACATATGTCCTAAAATTATTCACCAGTAACATATTTGGTCATGCATTATATCATCACCAATTGAGTTGCAAAAAAAACTTGTCAAATGAACTGAGCCGTTCCATGACACGTTTCCAATCGATCTAATAGTTGATCATTTCAAGCTAACAGTATTTAGTGAATCTGCTGGAACTTAAAACTATTTCTTGGGAAAAATGTTTTTGCGCTACAGCCTTATCATGTGAATAACAAGTTGGTTGCAGCTTTGGAACGATTACACAGCTGAAAAACATGTTAGCTAGAAGCACCATATAGAGAAGGATTGTGGCTAAATCACTAATCAGGGTAGAGGTGATTTCATTTTAAAGGCATTCAAATTAACGCTCAAAATACATTGTTTTTAAAAGCTTTTAAGGCCTAAGGCTACTGGATCAATGATGTAAATTGTGGTACTGGACTGTAAAAACATTTTTTACTGGTTTAAGCAATTTTGTACACTCGAAGTGGATCAGCCCCAGTTGCTGCTGGGGGAGTTTCATGGGAGATGGGGAATTTTCCAATCAACACTTGCTACATAGCAATATGATTAGCATCTTCATTCAAATCTGTTCTCCAGGTGCAAAACAACTTTCTGTGTGAATATTAAAAAATAAAAGTGCACAGGAAAAAGACTAATAATTGACGTCCTCACAATGGATTCAAAGTCTTTATACTTAACTTGACTAAACTCTTTTAACTTCCTACTGGTGTCAGGTGCTGGAGTTCAAAGAGAGGATGTCTTTACCCCCAAATTTACACCTGTGAGAACATTCAGAAATAGTGTGGAGGGGTATTGGTGTGTTTCTGTCACTGAGTGTTGAGAGAGAGGACATGCTACCATGTTGGGTGTGAGGAAAAGTGATTACATTCAACAAGGTAGAAAATGTCATCCAGAACAGTTTGGATGAGGATGAAGTGGAAATTGAAGCTGCTGCTTCCTTCCCACAAAGTCCTCCGCCATGATGACTTGTTTCTTTAAAAACCACCCCAGTAACAGTCAGCGACACATCCATACAGGGCTGAAGGGTTAAAATTCATTAAATTCTTTTTCATCCAAACTGGAGATGAAAATAATGAATCCAAGTTTCAGCCCTGCATTTGATGTGTGGGTGTGTACATATATATATATATCTATAAATTTTCAGCTAAACTAGTGTTCTCGTCCTCTTAAGCAACATCTTGTATCACAGCTTGTAAAGATTGGTAGTGTACGGCCACATGTAGACTCTTCTACACACCACAAAGTGCACATCTACATGCATGATGTGATCTCTCATACAGATGTTGGCCTTTAAAAAACTCACAGCGACAAAAGCTGATGTTCAAATCTTCTCCAAATATGACTCAAATGAAACAGGAATCAGGCTTGCACAGAAATTTTCTTTCGATTACAAAGTTGAAACATATCGAAACAGTTTTCTGTTCAATCTTAGTGGGACGATAGAAGTGTATCAGCAAAGCCATCCCATTGTTACCACGGAGACAATCCAGGCTAAACAAGTCATTTTGCTATCATCAGATTAGTGAGCAGAAGTGTGAAACAAAACAATATTTTTATGACTATTTGTCCCGCATGAACGTGGTTTACTTAAATCTAGAGTCTTGTCTCTGCGTCTTATTTAACTCCATGAAGTAATTTATTTTTGCTTTGTTTGGGAACCTGATAGCACAGAAGCTAGGTAGCTAGAAATGGGAATCGGGTGTCTAATTCTGGATATTCTCTGTAAAGTTTCCTAAATGTAATCTTGTGCTGGACTCATCTTTTTTAGGCACATTAATGGCATGTTTTACAGAGTCGAATCTTCTTCTGTGGTAAATTGAATGAGATGAGTTTCTGCCAGTGATGATTATCTGGTACTCGAAGTTTTTAAATCGGTCAGAGTCAAATATGTTAAGTTTTTTACAGTTTCATGAAGTTGCTCTTACCGAACAGATCCTTACACTTTAAAATGGTGCGTACTTCTGCCAAGTAGGATTTGGAGATGTTCAATTGAGAGCAAATAATGATATTAAAAGATAAAATAGGCCTAGTCATCTGGATAAATATGAATCATTTTTTGTTTCGTGCAAACCTTTTTTTGTTTGGGACCTCAGGCAAACACTTGACTGTTTCTTATTAAAGACCAGATCTGTACGTGATGCACTTGTATGTTCATATTCTAAGTCTACGCACTCACACATACACGCAAACACTGTGCATACACACAAGGTCATATATTATCATGACATCACATTTTTTTTTGTCAAATACCTTTTTCTTTGTGCAAATTTTTAACACGAGTGGTTCAATAAAAATAAAGAAATCTTTAAAGGAAAAACTTTTTTTTTCTGATTAAAAAACAGGGTTAAAAAAAATGTAAAAAGATGATGTCAAAAAGTGAGAAAAAAACAGAAAACTTTAAGGGTTTGTAATGTCGCAGCCATGGCGACTGCTGCTGTGGCTGGACAAGCAGGAGCTCTTGAGGGTGAGTCATGCGAAGAGAGAAAATGACCAATCGGTGCTGCTTGCTGTGTTCGCTCAGTCCAATTCTGAGCTCCAGGTTGTTATTAGAGTAGCATCACATTACTAAAGCTGTCCACCTGAGGAGACCGCAGGGCACTTCCTGACCCTCGTCACATGATCACAGGAGCAGGAAGTGAATTTACCGCCCTGTCACTCCTCTGCGCCTGTCTGTGTTTCTGTCTTGTCTCCACAGTTGTACAGAGCAACTATACACACGCCTATCTACATGACCAGTCCTCTTAGTGTTCGCCTGTCAAAAAAATACTACATTTATATTTACAACAATTAAATAGAGGTCAATTAAGCACTTGTGTGGTGTGGTGACGGGTATTGGAATTCAATGCTAGCAGAGGTGCAAAGCTTTTTAGTCTTTTTTTTTTTATCCTTTTTTTAAAAAACAAAAGAAAAACAAGTAAAACAGGGGAGCCATCCTGGTTGTTAAAGTTACATCATGCCATAATAAATAAAGGTGTAGTTTAAAAAAAAAAGGAGAGGAGGGGAAGACAGAGGAAGAGAAAATGAAGGGCTAAGAGTTTCTCTGTGCAAGATGGCTCTTCTGTGAAGCTTTAGCGCAGGTAGCAGTAGCAGTAGTAGTTGTAGTATGTGTACAAGTAGTAGTAGAAGTAGTGTTGAAGTCAGGCTTCTATGCTGGATGTAGTTTTTTTTTCCCAGTGTGCAGTGTGCAGGTAAGGGTATCAAGGAGGATTCTGGGTACAGACCAGTAGTTTTTAACCTCACTGTGTCAGAAAAGTGTCAACAACCCACTGCTCTACTACAACATGCCCAGCTAGTACACATGTAACACTGTGGGTGATTTAAACGTCTGCAACTGAGAGCCCACATCAGCACCCACCAGCGGCTCCCTCCTTTCCAAGTTAGGAGACCAGGAGGTCAGGTGAGTTAGCGGTGTGGCTAAACTGTGTGTCTCCCAGTTACTCACTCCCCTGCTTGCATTAGTGGTAGGCTGTTTAGAGAGTGTGTTTTTATGTGCATGTGTTTGTCTGCGTGTGAGTCTCAGTAGCTGTTTTCATGGCCTGCCAGGATGTAGAGGTTGCTGTGGGCTGTTGGGTTGTCCGTCGGCCTGCTTTCCAGCACCACCACCCTGCAAGACAAACACACACAAAACCAAAGACACAAGCATACACAACACAAGGTTTAGTTTCAAGACAAAGTCACAAAAAAAAAAGTTCTTTTTTCACAGCCAAATTCCCAGACAAAAGAGCAGCACAGCCTGCTTCAGCATGGTGTTAGTTTTTCCTGATACAAAAATAAAGACAAGTGAGTTATAAAAAAGGAGTAAGACCCAGGATTTAGTGAGCAGCATGGATAAAGAGCCAGCAACCCGCACAGGATACACTTGGGCCCTGTAAAAGCTGTGTTATTTGGAAAAAGGGAGCAGAGGGGGTAACTGCCTTTGACACCAGAACAGGGCTTGACACTAACTTTTTTCAGAAGGAGCACATGTGCTCCTTAGTTAAAAAAGTAAGGAGCACACAAAGAACTTTAGGGGCACACTGAAAACTGATCAAATAAAGTGCGTCTTATTGGTCAACATAAGTACTATAATTTGAAATCAATTTTAGGTCAATTGGTCACATGTAATGGAAGCTATTGAAGAAAATGTTCAAAATTTACCTTTAAATTTAACACAAAAAATTTAGAGAGGACAAATATGGGAAATAAAAGAGTATGTCTTATCTTCCAACCTTAGAACTATCACTTGAAATCAATTTTAGGTCAATTGGTAACATGACATGGAAGCTATTAAAGGAAAACAGATGTTTTGAGACCATCAACAGGTAATTTATTGATGGTCCCTTATTGACAGCGAGGATGTCCAGTAGATTGAACTGCGCTGCTGTTGCTATTCCCGGTTATGGAGAGTGAGAAGGCACTGGTAGATCAGCAGCGCATGTACGTCGAATATCCAACCCAAAACTAACTTCGTCGCGGTATTTACATGAAAAAACATTTGTTGCCTCGTTTTTTTTTTTTAAGCACATGTGCCCCTAAATACATTTTACAATTCGCACACATCTATTTTTGGTTGCAGTGAAACGGTCGCACTGTCGAGCCCTGTAGAAGTACACTGTTGACCCTGAGGAAGGTGAGAAAGCTGATAATACAGTTTTTACAGACAGCCAAAGACTCAGACATTCAACCACTGTCACTGAGGAATCCAGCTGCTAACTGAGGACACAACAGACACCAAAAGTGGTCCAAAGCAGACCTATTTTTGCATTTTTTTTACTCCAAGTGCCAATGTGGACGAAGACATTTTAGTGTCTGTAAGTCATGACTCAGCAGCTAAAATCCCTCCCAACATTTTCTGCAGACACACACTATCTCCCTTTGTCATCTGGGATTAAGAAGATCCAAAGAACCCCGACAGACAGAGGCAGGGTTTTCAGAGAGCAGGGAGTCTACCTGGGCACAGTGAGGCCTCTTTCCTCAGCCTCTGGATCTCTACAGTCAACACGTGATGAGACATCAGAGAGGATGTTAACATGGACCTGTGGGAGTGTTTGTGTGTGTGTGTGATATATAGGAAGCAAGGAGCAGGTGTGTGTGTGTGTTCGCTCACCTGTCTGATCCCAGTAGTCTAAAGATGCGTGTGCTGTCAGAGATCTCCTGGGTGATCTGATGACAGCATATCCAGGAGAGGAAAACAGACAAAGCAGCACAGAGATGAGGTTAGCTGCTGCCAGGAATAACCCGGACAAAGATCTTCATATATAGTTGGTTGCTTTGTTTATTGTGTTGTGGGCAGGTGAAGCACTATGATACTTTATGACACTGTGGTAAGATGCTGGGTTCATTTTCATGTTAGCATCAATAACAAAACTAAAAATCAACATATCACTAATCACCATTACCATAGCCTCAGGCTCTGTTCCTTTATTCCAATCTTGGAAATGTGACCTTAATAGTACGACTGCAGCATCTTTTTAAGCTATAGACCGACAGCTCTGTAAAATGTCAGCTACAGACTTCTTCAAGTTGTCAGGAGCGCTTGTGTAGAGGCTGCTACTCTCTTATGATCTATTTAATAAGAACTGGGTATCGTTATCATGAAATAAATCTCATTTAAAGGGATATTAGTGCGTAAATTTAAGTTATGGTCAAACACACCATGGCTACGTGGCTTTTTGGATGAGGTTTGTGCATGAAGATGTAGACCGCTGTGTATTTCTATTGTGCGGTTGTTACTAAAGTTGGTATAACGAGAGAAGCAAGCGGTCGTCAACATTAATCTCTCGAGAGGGTGTCTAACTTGGTTTTACGGTGTGTTTAACCATAGTTTAAATTTACACCGGAATATCCCTTTAAGTGTCATCAGGTTAGCACAACACAAAAAAAGCAGAGTCACATAGAGTCAGTCTCACCTCATTGGTCTTGAAACTACGTCCCTGCATGCCATGCCTCCAGAAGGCAAGTACACTGTCTTGGAGACAGACTGCAAAAGGAAAATAGGTATTAAACATACTCATATTCACTTTAATTCCTTTGACCTTTAGCTGTGTTACTTGTTTCAGATGTGGTCATAAGCTGGGCTGTTTCCATATTAATGCCGTTTGCAGAATTTTCACAGTATTAGTGATAAGTTTGGCGCCCTCTCTTTGTCTTTTTACCTGTTGCTTCGATTTGGAAGTTAAAGGTGAGCTCAGCCGACAACTTTCTGCTGGATTTCAACCGTCCTTGGAGGTTCACTATCTTTATACATCCTGGAGAGAGAGAGAGAGAGAGGGACAAAGACAGCAGCTGAGTGTAACTCCAGCAATGCAAAAACCTCTTCAGTGTGACCTGAGGGCTGAACACAAGAACGTTACTCACTGTCGAGGCAGACTAGAATCGTATCTCTCTCTAGCTGGGTGACATGGATCACACATGTCTGTGGTGTGTCTGTAGACAGAGAGATAAGAACCAAGCCATTCATGATCACAACAACGTCAGAACAGGTAAAGAGTACTTACTTTATCAGGAATAAACCTGGCTACACTTCACTCACCTGCTTCTGTGAACCAGGAGGAGGTAGAGTTGGGGTTGACCGTGCCAAACCGGACCACCTGGTTGAGTTCTGTGCCTTTACTGACCGCCACACAGATCAGGGGGTAGGTCTGCTCGGGAACCACTAACATCTCAAAGACCTCAAGGGGACATGGCAGCGGGAAGTCGATGTTCTGAAGAGAGGGCGGTTAGGATAGTGAGCCAGAAAATCATCAAAATGTAAAATATCCGAAATAGACTTGATTTAGATATCTAGAAAAAATCATTGTAAGTATGTCTTTGGGTTTCTGTCATATCTTTTAGATCATGAAACACCGACAACATTTCACAACACAGGAACTAACCTTAATGAGCATGAACTTTTGCATGGACTCCACCCACTCCAGCAGCATGACACTGGACTGGAAGGCTGCACAAAGGTACTTATGGCCTGTGTAGGGGTTACGAACTGCAAGGAAACAACACAAGCTGATAGTGATTCTGTTTTCTGTCATAGCTTACAGCTCCACATTTATGGACTTGGGATTTAACATGGGTTAGCACCATGACTGAAAAACTGCTCCTTTTAGATACTTACCTACGCAGCATTTTTGGCACCCTTTAGTGTCTGGAACTTTATTAGATACAGCAAACTTCCTATAAACAGAAATAAAAAGAAATTCCTGTCGGTCAACAAATGACACCTATGCACAAGTGGGTCAGCCTAATAATGAGTTTTATTGTCATTAAGGGTTATTCAGAAATTTGTTGACCCACACAAAGTGAATTATGAGATGATAAGCTTTATTACATGTTGCTGATTAGATTGACTTCCTGGTCAGAGTCTTACCTGGGTATCATCTTATCAGGCAGCTTGTGTGTGGGAATGGCTACTGGTAACTTCTGTAACTGTCTGGCCTGTTCAAACAGGCCGCCCAGACTATGGGAGTACAGCTGAGAGGCTTTTCCTGGGATGAAACAGAGGACAATCAGACCGAAAAGAGAATACACCAAATGAAGCCTTAGATACAACATGCACAAACCTGTTTGGAGGATACATGCAAATATTTCTTAAAGAGACTCCCAAACATTTCCTAATGGCAGACATGTTATCACTCACCAGATATGGAGAGGAGACAGTTGTTCATGACATATAGCCAAGTACACCGCCGAGGGAAAATCTGCATACAGGCAACAAAACAGGAGGACGAGAGAAAATGAGTCACGTAAAATTACTCAGTTATTTTGCACAGGTTCAGAGTAGGGCTGCACAATTAACTTGCTCTTGCCCTATTTAGCCACAAAATTATCGCCTTCTTTTGCAAACGCCATGTTTGTTTACACTGGTGTGTGTGGGAACTGGGGAGCGCTCCCACAGTAAAGGGCAGCCTACGGTGGCCTGGAAGCATGAGACGTGATAAGGGGAAAATCGATTTGTTGATTTAAATATTTCAACATTGTCATAATTGAATAATCTGATTCCAATCAATCCTCCAGCCCTAGTTCATAGTGAACTAGTAACATTTAAAAGAAAACTGTTTAACTGTGGTTGTTTTTAAGATTTGACAAAATACAATGTACAATAAATAAATGCAACCATGTTCATAACATGTAACTACTAAAGTCTGACCTGTTCCATGGAAGTTTCATGTAGTTCGTTTAGGTTTAATGTGTAGACTCCCTCTTCAGCTCCAAATATCAAATACTGATCTGTAACACACACACACACACAAAAACAAAGTTTTACCACATATCACACACAGGCAGGTTCAAAGTGAACAGTAACTAATGATGAAACGTTTGTTATACTATAAGTCAGCATTATACTAATCAACTGCTCTCCTATTGGATACCTCTGGTGTCAGGATTGATCCAGGATGTTGCACAATGGATCTTCAGAGGACAACCGTTGAACACCTTTGAGAAACACGCACCCATCTGTGAATGAGAGCACACATTGAAAAAGCTGATTACTGACAGCTCTTGTTGAATGTTCATAGTGAGTGGGCTTGTTACTTCAGAGCTGATTTGCTCACTATTGAGTGAAACTACTTATATATGATCTTATATACAGGGATGTTGATGATTAATTGAACATCCAGTGATTGATTATAAAGAGTGTATTCAAATATGCGTTCACATCAATCTAGTAGAGCTATTGTGGGGGTGTTTGGTCTCTTAAATAGCTGAGATCCTCGGAGAGGCTGCAGCTGTGTGCAAGGTCCCTACAAAGTTTTTTTTTTCTTTTTTTGGGGACCAAAACGTGAAGGAGGAAAAGAAACAAGACATTTTTACAGAATGCTCAAAGAGGTTTTCTAAACGACTGTGACTGAGTCATGCTCCCAGCTCATGTCCCAGCGGACATGCTTTTTTTCTCTCTCTGTAAGAACAAACTGGTAAAACACTAACCACTGTCAGTTGGCAATATTTCTGTGTTATTTTCTCTTCCACCTTGATTGATTTGGGGCTCGAGCTATACAGCTACACTTTCATGAGCCTGCTCTGCATGTTGATACTAAGCCTGTTAAACAGCCTCTTTAAAATGTATAATATCCTATTACCTTCATTTATAATAAGTATATAGCTGTGAATTTATGACTCAGGCAATTATTGAAAGAAGAATGGCCACGTTTTCAACAAGTAATCGTGATTGATTTTGAATATTTAAAAAAATCAATCACAGGGTATGCTTCAATTAGACCTTCATAAATGTCCATAATAATATCCAAAATCACAGATTTCTACAGTCACATAAAAAGACATGGTTACTTACATGGACTTTGGGTGTCGGGGGGAGCCCATTACTGATTGGCTTCTATAACATACAAATGAACACACACACACATTATTGCATCGGACCATGAAAGGGTCTTGCAACCTGCTGTAAGTGAATCTTGTACGTATGATTGACCATGTAGTTCCTTCAAACACTCGCATTATCTTCAGAATCAGTTTTTAGAAACTCTTAATACATTTATACTGACATTATACAGTACAATAAACTTTACTATCAGTGTGCTGTGTTTACCGGAATGTCCTTCTTCTCTTTCCGTATGGGGACACTAGGGGGCATAGTGGACTGTCTTTCTGCAGGACTGTCCCTGTCTCCACTGTGTGGAGAACTCAGCCCATTACCTACAATGACAGAGACATGTCTCAGTGTTTGATGGTGATGGGAAGACAGAATGAGCCCATGTGAAGGATGAGGCCTGCGTGGAAACGCAACACTGTGTTTAAAAAAGATCCATCTGCAAGCACAGTCCACTCACACGGACACTTTCTCGGACATCAATATAATCTGGGTTTAGTGAGAACTGTTTTTTTTTTTTTTACTGCAGAGCTGAAAACACGGAGAGTTAAACTTGATCTGTAACAAACAAACTACTGAGGGAGGGAGCAGAGAGGGAGGGAGGGAAGGAGGGAGCAGGCTAGCAGGAAGAATACAGAGGATCAAATATAGTCGTGAGCGAAGGGGAGGTGTTAATGCACCACATACAACCTGCCTGACAGATAGCCACCATGGTTTGTCATTCAACCGGTAAGTTGATTAAATAACACTGATTAGTGAGGAAAGCTGCGTTAAATTTGGCAAAGTCAAATGTTTAACATAAAAAATATTTGCATAAGCTGGTAAAAATATGTTTGAAGACCTGCTGCCTCTCCTGACACAACTAAAAGAACAACACTCAGCTGTTTGCACACAAACACAGCCCAGCACTACTGATGGCTGTGTTCAAAAAATCATTCAGGCATCTGTGCATTACTTTGATCATTACTTTTTTTCTGCTACAATATAACTTTTTAAAAATCTACAATAAATCAAATTTCTAACTTTCAAACATACCACAAATAAAACCTCAAACACCTGGTCAGCAAACAATGAAAGCCCCTTTCCCACGTTAAATCAGTGCTGACATAGCCGCAGAAGCAATAGGGATATTTCACTATACTGTACTTATTCTTTGGTGCAAGTAAAAATTTAATATATCTAAATCTAAATTTCTTGTGGGATAAAAGTTCAAATACAAGGATTTATTCCTAACTTGCTGTCATGTCATATCCTATCACAATCCTGTGTTGTTCTGATCAGCCAGGACGATGTTCTCTCCTCTTCATCTTCCTCCTAGGAAGTGAGGGGGAGTGATAGCAGACTACTAGATTTGAATTGGTTGGGTTAAACAACCAATCAGACTTCACATAAAGATGACAAACACTTATATTGATCAGGAGCTGATGGACAGAAGGAGCTACAAACAAAAACAAATGTCAAAGCGCTGTTATTCATGGACTTATGGAACAAAGAAATAAGACTACGAGGACCAGGACTAATGGGAGACAACCAATCGGGGGACGACAGGGTCTGCGCATACTACCAATCTATCATGTTTGCTGCTCTTACTCTCTTCCTTTTCCTCCTCTTTTTCCTGCTCCTCTTTCACCTCCTTCAGCACCTCCCATGCCTCCTCCAGCTCCTCCTCTGTGTGAGGCGTGTGGAGCCACTCCCAGAAATGTCTAAAGCTCCCATCATCCTCTGGGGTAGAGTTTTCCGCTTCCATGCGTTTGGGGCTGTCGTTACCTAGGCTGCTGCGACGGTGGGGTGGCAGCTTCGGGGGCGGGGGCCGTGGTGGGACGTTAGAGGCGGGCTTGGCGGGGCTGGGCGTCTCTGGGACAGGACAGCGTTTGATTGTACCTCCCCCTCCGCCATCGTCCTCACTGTGTGATTGGCTCTCATCCTGTTTTTGTTGCTGTTGGGATGTGGTGATGGACTTGGGCTGCAAGAAAATATGAACAAGGACAAACATCAGGGGAATTTCTCATATTTAATAACTTTGAAGAAATCGGGATTGAGATGCAGCCTGACAGTGATCTCAAGATGATATATACTGGTTGACTAAGAGATATTCTCAGCGCTGTGTACCTTGGGAGGAAGAGGAGGTGGGACCTTTGGCCTCATAATGGTGCTGGATTTACTGAAAAACAGGAATACAAATGATTCGAGATTTGGGTTCATAAAAACACTCAAAAGTGACAGAAAAACTTACATGTTGCATTTGTCAACATGTCAAAAATGAGGCTATGCTTTAACCTGCCATTTTAGAGCAAATTGTGCTTCGACAATAAGGGGCATCACTTCATGAAATCACATTTTTAGTACCCATACTTTTCTTATAAACCCCTTTATATATAAAAATATATTTCTACATTTCTACAAGTTTTGGGAAAAAACACAATTGAACAATTTAATTTAAGACTTGAAAGCACTTTCTGTGCATCCAGACCACTGTGACGTTGATACTTTACAGGGATCAGATGTTACATGCAATCTTAAAATGACAACTAGAATCATAGTCTGACATTAGTGACAGGAGTAGATATAACGGCTGTAGACACAGAGTATAAAGTCGGATACAAGCACAAGTATTTGGGAGAGGAAACTACAAACACAGCAGGATGAAAGTCTCTGAGAATAGCAGTGCTGACTCTGAAATAGTGTGCAAAATTTCAAATTAAAACAGCTTCACTAAATTATATCTACACTTTTAATCTTCGTTCAACAGATTATTTGATGAGCCAAAAGTATGAAATATTTAGTTCCAGAAAATCCAAATTAGCAACTTTTAATCATCTCATTAGACCAGCACTGTGTTCACACAGACTTCCTCCATATTGCCTAATGAACCTCGGATTTATTGAGCTCTTTGTTAATGAGTGACAGACAATCACATCAAGAACCAATCACAGCACACACATGAAAACTAACAGAGGCTGGCAGCTTATCTCAGTGGACACAAATACAAGAGCGCCGATAAAAATGATTGTTTTTTAATTCATGGAGGTGAATGGCAGTCATATGAGTGTGAACTGGATCAGTGAAACTAAACAGTAAGTGTAGAGATCTGGAAACAGAGTTGGAAAATGTGGTGTGGTGGGTAAAAAAAGGCAGCGATGTCACAGGTGGCCACAAAAAGTGGAATACTTGGCAAACTCAGTAATTAAAACCAATGCCTGATGATTTGTAGCAGAAATTCACTGATCGACGACGATCGACTTCAGATACAGAGAACGGCGAGGGAACTTGATGGGGAACATTTTACAGGTCTGGTACATAGTCTTTTAATTTTTAAATTTTCTGACTTTACCAACAGTAAACACAAAACGTTATATATATGCGCGCGCACACACACACATGGAGCTGTGGACAAACTTTAGAAATGAATGACACAGAATATAAATTTTTCTCCCCCCGGTTGTGATCTTGACATGTAGTTATTGTAAGACTGGTTAGTGTTCAAGTCTCCTTTTTTCTGTGCAGCGCCATTTTTAAAAGTTATTAGGGAGTTCATGTTTTCTATGATTGACACTTGATACTTGGTACAACGTTTTCGTAGCTCACCCAGGGGATACGCTGTTTGAGCCGAGTGTCATCACAGCAACTCTCTCACCGAATGCGTACAGTGCTACTGCGCCAGTAGTGGTTCCAGAAAGTGGAGAAAATCCCGGAAATACTGAGAGCAATTCGGCTTTAAATTCATATAATGGCCCAAGGTGGATTCCATCGTATATACAGTCTACGGTGATTCCCAAAATATTTAAATTTGATGAGGGTCTAGATTCTGTAGGTATGTCACGAGTCATTCTTCTTGACAAGTTGGTTTCTGTTGAGCTCTAAATGATTTCTAAAGTCGTTTTAGCTGTAAGGCATTTCCTTATTTATTGCTTTAGACATGTTTATAGCCAAGAGGAAATCTCTTGACTCACTCTTCACTACTTTTCATAGCAGCCAGTTCAGCAATATAGACTTGGTGTATGTTCTAAGTACTAATGCTTTTTTGAGTACTATTGAAGTTATTTATCTAGAAGGGCTGCTCATAACTTTCGGAAACTTGGCTTTGGCACAATGAGGGAAAAAGGCCGGATGCCAAATGTACGGTTTATTAGAGGCAGGAGAGGCCAGAAGGCAATGTGTACACACACACACACACAACAGAAATTCATTGATCGATGACGATCGACTTCAGATACAGAGAACGGCGAGGGAACTAGATGGGGAACATTTTACAGGTCGGGTTCATAGTCTTTTAATTTTTTAATTTTCTGACTTTACCAACAGTAAACACAAAACGTTATACACACACATACACACACACACACACACACACACACACACACACACACACACACACACACACACACACACACACACACACACACACACACACACCGTGATGCAGTAAGGAGACACACATCTGGCATTACAAGGGAAGAACAAAACAAAATGACAGTATGACGAATAAGACGTCCATGTCATGAGGTTCAAGTATCAAAGCATGAAGTCTATCGAAGCATACAGGGCCGCAAAGATGAAGAGCCAAAGTTTTATCGGATCTCAAATCACTTAAAGACATGTTCTTAAGTTTTGTGGTATTCAGTTAAAATCTGCTATTCCTCTGTGTTTGAGAGGGTACGATCAAGACTCACTAAAAGACAAAAAAATATGTATATATTCCACATCAACAGCCTCCAGGTCAGTTTTATAGGGGTTAGGGTTACTGTTAGTTGCTATTAGACTTCACACAAGACAGTATTAATGGCATACAAAACACACCAGCTGTAAACACACACAAACACAGGTGGCGTATGTGGCGTGATGGTGGGGTGTGCTGCACAGAGATGCGTGGATGAAACTGTAGCCATGAAAAGAAGCCCTTCCCCCTTTGCTTCCCTCTCTGTTCCTCTTTGGTATGGAGGAGCGACTGAGGAAAGAGAGTCAAAGAGGGAGAGGCTTCCAGCTCTGAGACTGAGGGAGAGCACTTACTGAGTGTGAGTTTCATCATCATCTGCACCATCATCATCCTCATCCTCATCATCCCCTAAGTGTGCCACATGGCCCCTGGGAGAGGAGGTGAAGATAGGAGGAGAGTGGGGTGGGACAGACAGGAGAGGAGGCAGGGAGAGTATCAGAGGGGGAGAGGTTAAGGGGGAGAGGGAGCAAGCAAGGGAGAGAGAACAGGTGGAAAGGGGGGAGGAAGAAGGGAAAAGGGGAGGGAGAGCTGAGTGAAGCTCAATCCACAAACTACCTCTAACCTTGAACCTAATCTGGAAGGACTGAAGAGATCCAAAGTAGCAAGATCTTTTCACGCCAAAATAAAATGTCCAATCATGAAGTCGACTTAAAAAGCTGCAAAAAACGTCTGATTTCAAACATTCAGAACTGAACAGTCCTTGCAGATCTACACACGCCTCTACAGAGGATCTCTGATCCATCGATTCACAGTAACTTAACCACAGCTGACACCCTCTGTTTCAGACTATGTATCCCATTATTTCAAGATAGCATTTATACGATATTTAAAACATAAAACATATGATTCAGAGTGACATCCTCTTATCTAAAACACTTTTCATTGACTGATATTGGTATTTTTCTATGCAAACTTGCCCCATCTTTTATGCTCATGTAAATCTTTTAGTTCAAGTACTTCAACAGGCTGATCAGTTACTTTGGGTCCTCCTTGAAAAACAGAGGTGCTGATCCTCCTCACCAGGCAGCACACGTTCTTTAGAGTCATACTTGTAATAATTTGTTTCACTACTTGCAGATTTCTGTTACTTTTACTCTACCTGGTTGGTTCATAGCATGAAACCCCCTCTCCTGCAGATATTTCAGAGTAACAGTCTTCAAAAAGTAGGCTTTGATTAAGGGTCCTGAGGATTTATGCATCAATAATAGAAATAATTAACTTTCAGAACTGAAATATGATCCCCTTTACTTCTACTACTACAACTAATACTATTAAATCTGTCCTTCTACAGAGGCTCAACAGGATGACTAATGTATAACAGATAACTATTCATTTACCATTAATATCTACATTGATTAGGTGGATCTGGCTCACGTATAGTGAGAATGTGATGGGAAACTAAGCGTCTAGGTTGTGGACCAGGATGTTAAGCTCACCTCACAACCCTCTATGGTTATAAAAACTTTCTTTGCTTTTGGGGAGGGGAGGGAGAGCTGATTGAGAGAAAAATTTGTGATTGAGACCAAATTCCTCTTTAAAGCACATCTGCTGGATAAAATTATCTTGAGGAAATTAGCAAAGCACAAGGACGAGATCATTGGCGTCTTTTAAGCAAAAAGGAAAAAGATTTCCTAATGCTTTCCAGTTTAATTGCTCAAGAGACCAACTGCAGCTTTGGCTAAAGATCTTTGTACACGTGCATGTCTGTGTGTGTGTGTGTGTGTGTGTGTGTGTGTGTGTGTGTGTGTGTGTGTGTGTGTGTGTGTGTGTGTGTGTGCCATGCTCTGCAGGAAGCTCCTATGAAGCACAGCCTTCCTCTGATGACATTGAAAGCGTGAAGCAAGCCGCACGAGTGAAAATAAAACCCACAAAAATCCAAACCGCAGGGAGGTGTCGCAGCCTGGAGTCGTTACAACAGCGTTAGTTGCTTGTGATTGGCCCAGATTAGTCCTGGCATTAATAATGATTGGCTGATGGGTGGGCGGGGTTAGAACACCAGCAGATCAGGAGGACCCGAGTGAATCAGGACATGACAGTCTGACCTACCTCTGCTGTAACTCCTCCTCCACGGATTTCAGAAGACTCCTGTACATCAGACAAGTGAAAAGAAATATATCAAAGATGGAAATCAACTAAGATAAGTGACAGGAAGAAAATAACAGTTTCGTCTGACACTCATTTTCATCCACTTTTAACTGCTTGAGAAATCTTTTTGATCCTTGTCAGACCTGGATGACAAGTCTGTAGTGCAGGTCTAAACTGAACTTTCTGCTACAAAGCAGGAAGTTCACAACAAACATTTTACAGAACACCCTCAAGCTGCAGTTATGAATAAATCAGATGAAAAAACAGGATGAAAAGTGGCTTTCTCAATTATGCCTGTCATTAAAGTCAGTAAAAAGTAGGGGTGGGAATCACCTGAGGCCAACGATACAATATTATCGCGATTTTTAACATTTTGCAATACAGTGAGTATTGGGATACAGTATATTGCAATTTATACAATTTTTTCAACTGTTAAGCTAATTTAGCATTTGTCTTTCCTTTATGTTTGTCTTAATTACACTGTATTTCATTTTCATGTAGCACATCTTGCAAACCTTGTGTATATATTTGTTGTACTAACTTTCTCCTGCTCTATGATGTCTCCTCTGCCAACCTCACTGGATAAACTGTTAATTTTATTTTTTCATTATCATTAATTTGACTTCATATCAGCAATTAATTTATAAAAATCGATACTTGGTAAATGAGACGATACGATATATCACCAGACAAAATATTGCGATACTGTGCTGTATTGATATTTTCTTTCATCCCCGGTGAAAATGTTCAAAAAAAGTAAGAAATAAACACGAGGAGCAAGGGAGAGACAGAAAGAGAGAAAGTGAACATTTAACTTACTTGTTTCCTCCCAGTAGACTTGGCGACTCGTGACCGTACTCCAACTGCAAATCCTAAAAGACAAACAAACGGCATTAAAGCTGTGACTGTATAAAACAGACTCACTTAAAGAGGGACTGTATCTGACCTCATGGCCAAGCTAGCAATAACCTCACTGAAAAAGAGTACCTATAGCTAAAGCCTTGATCAATAGACAAACGAAAAGAAGAGCTGCTGTTCTTGGTGGTAAAAATAAGAAACCCTACATTCACAGAAATCCAACATTGAGCTGTATTTGTAACCACAGACATATAGAGAGGATGAAGAGAGTGAATGTAAGGCTACCTCTATGTGCATCGATTAGACTCCTGCTGAGTTCACATTGTGGCCTAAAATTATGAAATTATTATATTCATCAAAAAGGTATAACTATCATTTACTATGATTAAGATGAAGATTTAGACTAATGATCAGCCAAAAACAAGATTGAAGTGAATCCTTTTATTTGCAGTCAGAGTTTACTGAGAGACAAACTATAACTAAATCCTAACTTATCTGATAAGACTGACTCACGTGCAGTTCATCACTCCTGTCATTCTGCTCCATTTGTTTAAAACCTGTTCAGAAGTTCTGAACAGGTGGGTATAAACTGTTTTTGTGCTTGTCCTAACATGAAGGACCGAACATGAAGCAATATCTGCATGAGACCTGTCCTCACAAGTTAGGGTCTGTGTTCATGCAGAAGCTGAGGCTGGTGTAACCACATGTCATTTTAGGCCCCAATGACAGGAGCCTGGATATTCAGTATATCCACGAGATAAAAGCAACAAGGTGAGAGACAGTGAATAAAAAACACACACTGGCTGAAATTTCAACTCTTTCCGGCAGGAAGATTATCATCGACTGTAGCCAACAAGATAATTTGACCTAAAATTAAACACAGACCAATCTTGCCATGAATGGTGTTGTGGGGATTATTGTTTTGTCATGATTTGATGCCCCTTTGTCAACAAAGAGGTACCTCTATTTCATTTTTGATGATTTGCTTTTTCCCGTTTTCTAACTAAGAATGTCATCCTCCTTTATTTTCCACATTTATCATAAATTATTGCCATGAACATGTAAAAAATTAGCTGTTCCAGCAGTTTACATTTTGTTGATTTGTCTGTTCTGACACTACATAGAAATGCTCAGTCTTGTCCCTGATGGTCTGGTTTGCTTTTGCAGATCTTAGAGGACATTAATATTAATAACAGTCTGTTTATAACTAGCTAGAAACCCCTAACAGCAGCTTCATGTGGCGAAAATCAAAAATCGTGGACAAACAAGCTAACAGACCAAGCTAACAAGAAGCTGCTAAGCGCAGAAGCTAGGAGCAGATATTCATGCAAGGTCTTTGTTGTGGATAAACAAGTATCTATAGTGAGAGTATCTCATACTGCAGTGAAACAGGCAACAGATATGTGGAAATGTATTTAAAAACCAGATTACAGGGCTTTGCAACTTGGCACCAGCTGGTTCAGGTGCATACTGTCCTTTCGTGACACTTGTTGAAACAAATTCAGACCTTATTTCTCATCATTTACAATAAGCCACAATGTGAATGCAGCACTGTGAAAAAAGAAACTTTTGTAAGAGGAAGACATGAAACGACAAGCATGCAGAGCGAGACACACATTCTGCTGACAGACAGATATTGACACAAACACACATGAGGACAAATACAATAAATCCTCAAATATAAACTGGGGACATTATTTGTTTTTACTTCAGAAGGTACCAGGTCCTTTATACGAAGCAGACTTGTGATTTACTTAACTAGGGCTGCATGATTAATCAATTTTGAATTGCAATCAGATTATTTAATTATGACAATGTTAAAAAAATAAAATCAATTTTCCTCTCTATCACGTCTCGCGGCTCCAGGCCACGATAGGCTCCCCCTTCCTGCAGGTGCGCCCCCCGGTTCTCACACACACCAGTGTAAACAAACAAGGAGTTTGCAAAAGAAGGCGATAATTTTGTGGTTAAATGGGCCAAGAGTGAGTCAGTCGTGTGAAATTGGTACAGCTTCGCAGTTTCGGATGAAGAGCAAACCATTCAGGAGTAAACGGACGTTTTTTGTCGTATGGGCGTTTTATCCACATGGAAATGGCGTTTTGGGTAACTGTAAACGTAACTTTTTGAAAACAGGTCAGAGAGTGCATAAATCCATAAATGACCACCATTCCATCTTCGTGTGGATGTATATCTGCATCTCTTGTGATGGGATATTTGGTGAAGTTGTCACTGAATAAAAAATTGAAATCGGAATCAAAAATTGAGTTTTCAGAGAAAAAAAATGATTTTTTATTTTCGGCCCAAATCATGCAGCCCTAAATTTAACATTACATTCTCAAATTGTTTCTGACCTTCCATGATCAAAACATATTCTTTAATACCTCAGTGTGTCAGAGCTTTTGAAAGACTATAATGGGCTGTAACCAAGATGTGAGGGTGCTCAGTATCAATGGTGCCAAAGAGAGAGAACACAAACAACAGAGAGACGGACAAAGAGATCTGAACATGGATAAAAGTGACGACTTCAAATGACACTTAACTATGAAGTCTGGTGTTTCTCTGTCTAACTATAATGTCTATCACAGCACAAAACGAAGAGAATGGTGATAGCTATCTCTGTGGGCTGCAGATTAACATACCATGTATCCTGTTCATTTTTGGACAAAACTGTTGGTAGGGATGCTTTCACCTGAGTGCACAAGGTTCTCTTTGGGAACCTTTTTAATTCCCTTCTTCCTCTGCTGCACTGGACCAAATTTTGTTGCAGCGTTATTATCATTGTGAATGTCACTTGTTCTTCATGACAGACTTTTGAAAGTGCCCCGGCCAATCAGTTGAAGTTAGCTTTTACTCACTTGTCAGAGACTTGATCACAGTCTTGATAAAGCTAATTGAACACCAGTCTCTACTTAAGGATTTACGGTAAAAACAAAAGCCTAATTTCTCTGGTAAACTGTCAGACATAAGAGGTTAGAGGTTTTTGAGCAAGGCACTGATAAGTTTGATATTTATCATACAAAGCTAGGCTAATAGATGGGTTTTCATTTCATGGGTGTTGGTCTTAAAGTGTGTATTGTGCATAGACTGTATAAAGAATGGACAGAGTCTACCTCCTTGCTGGGTGAAGCCACTCCGAGAACAGCACCCTCTGTTGATGGGCTGCAGTATAGGTCATAAATCCCGCCTCCACTAGCAAAGCTTGTAGAGTCGTGGACAAACTTTAGAAATTTATTACACAGAACATAAATTTTTCTCCCCCTTGCTTGCGGTGTTGACATGTAGTTATTGTAAGACTGGTTTGTGCTCAAGTCCTCTTTTTTTCTGTGAAGCTCTGTTTTTAAAAGTTATCAGGGGGTTCATGTTTTTTATGATTGACACCTGATACAGCCTATGGGCGTTCAGGAATTGCGTAGCTCTCCCGGGGGAGAATGCGCGCATTGTTACTGCGCAGAACTGGTTTCAGGAAATGAAGAAAGATCCCGGAATTACTGAGAGCTTTTTGGCTTCAAATCCATATACAGGCGGTAGGCGGAACCAAGTTGTCCATAGTATATACAGTCTATGGTATTGTGTGTGTGTGTGTGTGTGTGTGTGTGTGTGTGTCTGACAACAACAAAAGAACACCAACATCACCAAGGACCCTTATCACCATGACAACTACAACACCAGTTAGTGAGGCAAAAGCCAAGGCTGGAAAAAGATGTATACTAAAAATGGACAGAGACAGATGGGTGGACCAGAATAGATGGGACAAAACTGTGAAAAATGAACAAAAATACACGTCAGACACTGAGCAGCCAAAACAATCAGCACTCTAGAAAATGAAGAAATAAAATTAAGAGACAGCCAGGGTTTGAAAACCAATAGCGCAAAAAGAAGGACCAGGAATTGTCCTTCAGGATGAAATTAAGGATTAAAGAGAAACATGGACAGACTAAGACGGCGGTATAAAAAAAAGAAGGCAGAGGTCATAAAAATGTAGACAGACTGAAAATTGAAAAGGCCAGAGCAGGAGGACAGAGATAGAGGCCAAAAGAGAGAGAGGTGGAGAGGTAGAGAGAGACAGAGGGCAGATAGAAAGAGTACTACCATATTAGATCTGGCGGTATAGTAGAGCTCCTCAACACAGTCCAGATAGGGCTCAGATTCACACTGGTCAGCAAGACAGAGCGAGAGAGACCTCAGTTAATACATTAACCTGGACTGATGGAGGGAACAGGGAGGAGGAGGAGTGGAGACACGGGTGATTGATGAAAAATGGATTAAGGCCAAAATGGGCTCTTAAGTCTGTGGCTCAGCAAGATAGAGAAGGAGGAGATACTGCAATATTAATCTGAAGAGGAGAGGTGATGAATGGGGAGGGGGGGCAGGCTGTGGGGAGGGATGGAGTAAAATGGAGAAGGTGGGGGGTTCAAATCAGCAAAACTGAAGAGGAGAGACAAGAGATAACAATAAAATATCAAAAGTGACAAAAGAGATATATTCGAGCAGCAACCATTTTCCACTTGGCAGTATGTCTTTTACTACAAGATCCCACATTACTTTAATCCAGGCTTTAGAGTGTCTTTATAGGTGGGTTTGTTCCTTAGTAAGTCATAAAACTATATCAAACCTGCTCGAAGTAACTTTAACCTCCAAAATTCACATGAAAACACAGTTTGTACTGATTAACACAGTGATGTTTTAGCACTATCTCAGGTCTAAACACAGAGTTGCACTGCATTCCTACATAAAAATCTGGTCAGCAAAACAGACCCCAAGGTAGTATATTACTTGTAGGAGAGGATGGACACTGAAGGGCGAAAGGGATGAATGCAGATGAATGTCACCTCAAGGTTGACAGAGATGTCTGTAACTGTGCTTCAGTTTAAAGATCAATATAAAGTGGGAGAGAAGAAATATAGAGGGATATGAGCTTAGATATTGTGAAGGGAAGAAAAATAACAAAGTGGATTTGTGGAGAAGGTGCAAGTGCAAAAGAAAGAAAAAAAAAGTTGAAGGACGTGAGGAAGCGGGGTCTTATTTTTATGCTGTGGCTGTGAATAAAACCTGAACTATCCTATTCCACACCTCTCTTAACAGATAAACTCATTGAGAGGTTTCTACACAAACATAAGACAAAAAAAATGAAGCCAAAATTTTTACAATTTTCTAGGATTTCTGTCAAATCTGAAACACATATGCTGATTTTAAAAGGCCTGACAGCTAGTGTTTGTAGGGCTACTTGGTGTCCGTACTTTCCACTGCTAATCTCCAGGTCTGAGTCATATTGGTTGTGGGCCCAAAATGATGATTAAGCCATTGATCTTCCCACTAGGGCTGGGTGATAAATTATCATTCACGGTGTATCGTCAGAAAAATCCTCCATGATAAATATTTGCCATCTCATGATAAATATGATAAATACAAGTTGATGACACAAGCGTGAGCGAAAAAAATAGATTGTAATTAGAACATTTTTTATCAGACTTTTATCCTTATCACCAAAATTGCAAATCTTATTGTGACAAATTTTTTAAGCCCATATCGCTCATCCCTACTTCCCACCCGTGTTGTCTATGAACAGGTTTCCTGAGGCTTTCTGTGCTAGGTGAGTCAGAACGATGTATGTCTATCAAATGATCTTCCCTGATCTGCATGAAACCAGTTTGTTCATAATTCAAGGCAAAAAAAAAGCAGGTTTTACTCTGAACTCCCTTCAGGCACCTAAGCTCCTCACTAAAAAACAGCCACCATGACCTCAAAAGGAGAAATCAGATTCAGGTCATTCACCAAAGGAAGAAAAGCAAGCAGTGTCGCACATTTGAATGCAACAGGTCAGTAGATTTTTCTACCTTGGCTACTAAAGGCTTGACATTACTTAACCACCACAGTACACTTTGTGAACTTCCTATCTATCTATCAGTGTAGCTGAACAAAAACAGTGATTGGTGGTTGTGCTTCCTGTGGTCAGAGAAGATCTACCATGCTGGTTCTGATGGAGTGACCCAACCAAACAGACGTACGCACACACACATATATGAACAACAGCCAATAACTCACCGGCTCATGATGAGGCTCTGTTTCCTTTCTTAACGGAGGATCAAACTTGACCTGACCAACTGTGGAGGACAAAGTGAGAGTATGAGGGAGAAGAAGCAGAAGCAGTAAAACACAAAATACAATTAGAAAAATCAGTCCAGAGAGACGCATTTCCATCTCCTCTATGGTGTTCAATGTTTGAAACTCAGTGTTTGAGCTCACAGTTAATCTCCGATAGCGTCTTCCCCTCCCTGGCGCTCCTGCTGGTGGAACGAATACGATGAGGAACAGAGACTGGAGACTATCAGGAAAAAGAAAAACACACACAATCAGTGAGACGTTTAAAGAATACACATGCTGTTGAAGTTTACAAAGAGTAAGAAAAGATTGCAGAAGGTTTAAAAAAAATCTGATTCTTCTGCTATTTCCTGTTGCTAGGATTTGATGACACAGCAAAAACAGGCAGCCACACTCTGCAAACTATCAAAACACAGCAACACAGTCAATGGAAAACACAACCTTGGCATCACACAATACCCACTCAACTACTCTCCAACTCAGGCTGTGTTAATGCTTTGTCTTAATACCCTCATACACTGACTGAAGCAACTACTGTACAGTTTTGCCAGTATGTAAGAAGTTTCCTAAAAGGGATATTCTGGCGTAAATTTAGGTTAGGGTCAAACACACTGTAACACCGAGTTAGACATCCCCTCGTGAGATGAATATTGCCGACTGCTTGCTTCTCTAGTTATACCAACTTTAGTAACGACCGCACGATAGCGATACACAGCGGTCTACGTCTCCACTCACAAACCAACCTCAACCAAAAGAGCCACTCTATAGCCACAAATAATGATCAGAACAGCTCCTAACTTCATCAACAGGACATATAGGGTCCCAGCCGTAGTACTAGTATCTATGTTAGTACAAACATCTTTTTAGCTTTGCCTGGTTTCTTGAACAAAGAGACCAAACACAACTCCAGCAGCTGCTTGTTTGTGGGGGAGCCCTGATGAGTCAATCAGTAAGTGCAGTGTTTTTGCAGCTCAAAGAACATTTATATGCATTACTTTATGGAGAACAATCAAAGCGAGACGCAAATGCAGAAGAACTATCACGTCTGCAGTGCAAAATTATTATTATGATGGTTACTTTTTATGGAAATGACCCGCAGCACTCGATGATTGACTCGTCAGGGCTCCCCCATAAACAAGTGGCTGCTGGAGGAGAGTGGGTGAGTTGTGTTTAGTCTCTTGGCTAAAGAAATTAGGCAAAGCTAAAAAGATGTTTGATGACTAGTACTATGGCTGGGACCCTGTATGTACTGTTGATGAAGTTAGGTGCTGTTCTGAGCATTATTTGTGGCTATAGAGTGGCTTTTTAGCTGAGGTTTCTGTGTGGCGACGTAGACCGCTGTGTATTGCTATTGTGCGGTCGTTACTTAAGTTGGTATGACTAGCGAAGTAAGCAGTCGGAAACATTCATCTCACGAGGGGGTGTCTAACTCGGTGTTACAGTTTGTTTGACCCTAACTTAAATTTACGCAGAAATATCTCTTTAACGCCCTCATACACTGACTGAAGCAACTACTGTACAGTTTTGCCAGTAAGTAGGAAGTTTCCTTTTACGAAAGTGGGTTCACATTATTTCATAGCAATTGTGTTAATGTTTGCGCAGCAGAACCACACATTCACAAATAATCAACTCTGAACAATCCAAACTCATCCCTGTAGAAAAACTATCAACACAGCAACATCAAACCATGCCTGCAAAGCACTGGGAACAGACAAAACAAGACTACACAAAAATGCACCATTTCTTTTACTGAGACACTTATTTTTTTGTCAATGTGGAGTCAAACTGTTTAAAATATGTGGTTGAATTTCAAAACAATAAAACAAATCTCATAATTAGTTACTCTCATGGGGAAGGATGATGAAGATGGCTCCCAAAACCCCCTTATTTGACCCCCCTATGATTTTAAACTGCTAAATGGAGACATGAAAATGATCTTCATCGAGGCTGCATGAAAAACATTACCCATCCTAACCCTTTTAATGTTGTGTGATATTTACACCTTCAATATGCATGTCACAAAGGCCAAACAGAGGGATCAAGTCGTCTTATTGTTGTGCCAGCATCAGAGGTCGTTACAGAGGCATAACAGAGCTGATGTGGAGTCGCTTGTCGTTATCAGAGCAGACAAGACTGAACAGTGCTGTCTGTGTATGTGCATATGTAAAGTTCTCATGCTTCTGCAGTGTCAGACTGCAACACACTCCTATGACACCACTCTCACATCACTGCAGGATCAATATGAAATTATGAAGGCATGATGATTGCGGAGCTTTGTTACGCTGCTGTTACAGACTCACAATATGAAAGTGCTGCTTCAATCTAGTAGTTAAAGATTGGCAGACGTGACTGAGACACTGATGTCACGAAAAGATACTTGACGCAAAGGTAGGGCCGGGTGATATGGGAAAAAGTTTATCAGGATATATATTTTTCATATTAGTTGATATCGATACATATCACAATAATAAAAAGACATTTTGTCATAAGGCGTTGCGCTAGAGAAAGCAGAACGGTCGGCTGTTTCAGCTGCACAGGTGCCATGGGCTCCTTGCTCCGCTCAAAGTTTGTAACCTTTTGGGCTGTGCCTGCTCTGCTGCATGGCACTGCTTCAGGTGGTGAAAAAGATTTGAGAGACTTTGACTTTGAGAGAACATATACTTTACATAATTTACAACGCACATTAATCATGTCCGACATCAAAAAAACAAAATACCTCCACCCCACCAATGTTTTTGTGTGTTGTCGACCATGTCATCATCTGTTCAGCCTTCATCTGCATTTTGGTAGCACTCATTTTATTTTTTTTCTCACCGATAGAGGAGTCAGCTTTATGTGTCAAAGTGCTATGGTTGTGTGTAGCTGCAGCCTACTACTACGCAGTTGTTTGCTACTTGGTTCTAAATTCAGCACGATTGGTTCAGTGCGAAGCAGACCCAGAGCAACTCCCCTTTTCATTGGCTATTTGTATAATCTACCAAATCATGGCAGAATGCTGGTTATAAAAAAGCATATTGATCATGTTTTATATTGATATTGAGGGAAATTAATTTTGGATAAATATCGTTAGCATTATTGTCTTTCATCCCGATCTGTGGTGCTGAAATAAACAAAAAATACACACTGATAGCTTTGTTTGTGTTAGAATAACATCACTTCAGACACCGCAGCCCAAACTGGTACCTTCCTGCGGGCTGCGAAACGGGGTGCACGTCGAGCACCTGGGCTTATGGGTAGGAAATGACCCCTGTACTTAAACTAGGGAGGAGGTAGTGGATAGATAGTGGAGACAAGAGGACAGGAGAGTAAAAGAGAAGGGAGAAAGAAGGAGAAAGAAAGGTAAGAGAGTAAGGGGAAGTGCTATGAGGAGGAAAGAAGGTGAAGAGAAGTTGAAAGCCCAGGAGTGAACAGGAAAAAAAAATTGGGGCCAAAGAAGGCGAGAGGAAAGAAAAAGAAGGACAAAGAGCAGACAGATGAGTCATAAGTGCCAGAGCAAATAGGAACTGAGCCTGAGGAGGGTGAACAGGAACTGAAGAGGAATTTCATGAAAAAAATGGGAGAGAGTAGCGAGACCCTGCAAAACAGTGTCACTGGTGTGTTAACAGGTCTACAAGTTTGATTTTGTTTTGAAAGCAAAGCCCCAGAGGGTCAAAGGTTACCTCTGGTTCAGGGTCATCATCATCAAAGTCATTGAAGGTGCTGTGGTCAGGGTTGTTGGCTTTGTCCAGCAGCTCAATAGCCAGCGTCCTGCTGAGAGGCTGCGACACAAACGGGTGCTAGAGGGAGGTAAAGAGAGACAGAGGAGGATTCAAAAAGATGTGGAAGAGTCACTTACTGTCCCCCTTTTTTTGTATTTTTCTACAAACACAATCAGATTATTACCCTGCCTTACTTTAAAAGAAATTATTGACAAAATAAAATGATCTGGAAAAAGTTATTTTAGGTTATCATTGATTCACCACATCTTTGCCTTTTACAGGTCTCTCTAAACTATGAATATCTGCTCAAATAAAAAAGAGGTGGAAATATCTAGTCACTCACTCTCACTGTCTCCACACACCAAGCTCGAGTAAAATCATTCGCACGACTGAACTACATGTTAAGACGATTTAAAGACGTGATTAGACACTCGTACTACTCTAGTGGCGCGAATGACGCAAATTGGGCGGGAGCTGAAAATGTCTCAACTTGAGCGGATATTCACGTCACGATAACTAATCAGCACGAAGGTTGCTGGGTGATGTATGAAAACGGACGGTTGTCCACTGGTGTGTGCCCCAAATTATATGATTCCTTTTCTTCAAATTACCGAAATCAGAATAAAAAGGAGCTCGCCTGGAGGCAAGTGAGTGAGGAGGTCAAATTACCTGGTAAACTGTAAAAAACCTTTGTCTATCACTTGATCCCGCCGGTTGAATTTGCAGGGATTACTGTTGAAATTACCGTTGACGCGCGAATATAGCGCATTCAGTCACGCATATAGATTTGCGCAAATTAAGCGAGTAGATGATTTTACACGTGCTTGGTGTGAACGCCCCATCAGACTCTTAAACCTTCATTGCTCACCTGCAGCAGTTTCTCGGCTGTGGGCCTCTTCTTTGGATTCTTGGTGAGGGCCAGTTTCACGAAATGATGGAAGTTATTTGTCCTGTTGTCCAGTAAAGAGGCAGAAACAGAAAAAGACAAAAAAAATCACGAGTGGCTATGTGAACAGAGTTTGATGAATCTCAAAAAGCAGAGCCTAGCATCAAGGTGAATCTTAGTATTTACACACAGAAAAGACACTCTACTATAGTGAGCAGGTCTTTGTCTTACCACTTGAGTTTATCTTTCAACTTCGGAGGCTGGAAGTTACTCTTGGTCATTAAGAAGAGAGCCCTATGGAAAAATGAAAGAACAACTTCAACCTGTGAAATCTGCTGACCAGATCCAAACAAAGGTACTACCCAAACAGACTCCTGGACTCTCTCATACTGAACTCACTTTGAGTAACACACACACACACACACTGACAGACTGCTTCACTTCATCATGATTTCCTACTCAGCACACATTCCTCTGCCTACCTCATGGGGTGCAGGTCAAACATGGGTGGCTGCAGTTCAGCCAGCTCTATTGCAGTGATGCCCACAGCCCAGATATCACACAGCTGGTTGTAGCCTCCTTTCCTCTCCACCGCTGCGACCTCTGGAGCCATCCTGTGGAGAGAGAGGGCGAGAGGTGGAGAGAGTCAGACAGACGGCAAAAGAGACGGAGGAGGGCATGAAAAGAAATACAGAAGAATGAGGCACACATTTTTCATGAACTACTTAGTCATTCTAAATAAATAGCTACTCTATCCGGTCTTTCATTTTTGGATTACTGAGCATTACAAAGAGGTGAATAAGCCGACCGTAACACAATTTATCAAGACTGCTTTGTTAAACAAATAGATAAAATACATGATAAACATGAATATCCACATGCCAATCGAGATCAGCAAACAGAACTAACCAGTATGGAGTTCCAATAAAGGACTTCCTCTTGGCTAAGGTCGCTGTGATCTGGGCCGATACACCGAAGTCAGCTATGGTGTGATGAGGAGGAGGAGAAAAAATGAGGAGGAGTTTGATGTGGGAGTAGAATACAAAAAGTATAAGAAGATTGTATGGAAAGTAGAGTGTTGTGTGTTCCTCTCACCTAGTTTAACATAGCCGTTGTCTGTCAGGAGGATGTTGGCTCCCTGTCAGAGACAAACACGCCAAGAATCAGAAAACAAGATGAAGTTTGTGAGCATGATTTTGTTTTCATGTGGTTGGTACGATCACTGCAGCCAGCAGCTTTGAATTCATGATTATTTGTCTGTCATCTGTTCAATGAGATAACTGACTGCCTTTTTCAAGTTACACGAATAAAGTGATCATTTAGTAGTTTGATGTGATTGATTCTTTGTAATATTACAACATGCTGCCAAAATGTCTGACACAACACTCCTGAAATATAGTGTATCGCTGTGAAATAATCGCATACTGATTGAACTGAACAGCAGCAGTATTTGACAGCTATGATTGCTGAACTGACTGTAGACAAAACCTAAATCTTGAGCTTTCCAGGTCAGCTTCTCCAAAAAGAGGTCAACAAATGAGGGAGTTACAAACAGCAGATCTGACTTAAGCTTCAAGAATCAGACTTTTTCGTAGGTCATGTTTACTCACCTTGATGTCTCTGTGCATTTTGCCTTTGTTGTGTAAGTAGTACAAACCCTGCAAACACAATCACAAGCCGCTGCTTTTATTGGCTGTTTTTGTGGAGATAAGGTCATATGATCAACATAACAACACAGCATTGACAGACAGACAGACAGACAGACAGACAGACAGACAGAAAGAGCTTAGATCTTAAATATTGAAGAGCTGGAAGATCTGTGCATCCGCTTAATGACAGGCTCCGATGTACAATACTGACTTTTTTCAATGCTATGCTGTGTGATGCATATTCGTGCACTGGCAATTTGATTTAGATGTGGCTCAAAGTAGAAGTTGTAGTTGTTTATCTGTCCTTTTTTTTCTTTCTACTATCTTGACACTGTGACACAACCGTGCTTTTGTATGTCAGGTTTAAAAACCACTGGGGTTTGTTAATCATCTCTGTTCCTCACCACTAACACCAGTGAACGCTATTTCTGCTATATAAAATCATAAGCAGCAAACAGAGTGCAAAGAATGATGGGTACTCATGAGGCGATGGCCTCTCCAGCTTCTTTATCTCCCCCACTCTTCTCCACTGTGGCTGAAACAAACTACACCTTTTTGCCTTAAAGACTTTTTATTTGATACCATCACAGGTCCACAACTGTATCAATACACATTATTGTGATATTGATGATACCACTTAGGGGTGGGTGATATGGAAGAAATTTCACATCATGTCATTTGCAAAATCATGATCATGATTTTATCACGAAATTTATTTAGACACGTTAGGGATACAATGCGCACTACAGTCGGTTCTACGGTCTCTGTGCTTTGGCAGATCTTCACAATCTAAGATCGTCAGATCGCACACCCCTAGTACCACTACATCCCTGTTATTGAAAATTGCAAAGCATGTTAACACCGACCATAAATAAAAGCAAATATGTTACCTGCAGGGTCTCCCGTGACATGTAGGCTATCTGTGACTCTGACAAAGGCCCGGTTACTAAAGAGGGAAGAAAGAGACAGGGGATACAGAGGAAGAGAGGCAGACATGTGTGAAAAAAGAAGCATACACTGTTACTAAAAACAAATAATGTGTGTTACAGTGTGTGACGGTGCATGTTGTTCTCACCATGATAGATATCCTGAAGAGAACCTCCCCCGCAGTACTCCATACTGATCCATAACTTATCTCTCCTGCACACAAAAAACTCTGAGTCAGGACAAATATTGCAGGAAAAAAGTTTCCTTCTCTAAAACACAAGCTCAACTTTTCTCTTCCAGTCACACACACATACACGCTTTAGTATGACGCTTTCATGACACACACTTTCATTGCACTTACAAGCATTTTATTAAGCTACTGAAAGACTCTTACCGGAGATAACTGCCAAAATAGGCTACAATGTTGGAGTGTTTACAGTCCTTCATCATTATAATCTCCTGCTGGACAACAGCAAAGTCTTCACCTGAAGTAAAAAAGAAATTCAAACCAAAAAGAAGCAACAGATGAGAAAGGACGTCTGTGTACTCATGAGTATAAATGTGTCAGACAAAACACTGTTACACTCTGTATCTCCTAATAACTGCAGTGTTTCTCCTAGAATTTTTTCAGCAGCAGCGGTGTGTGTTGGGGAGGGGGGGTCATTAGTACCCCCACTCTCTTGCCGCTCCAGGAGCTGCGCTGTTTCATTCACATTACGTTACCCGCGCTACTCGCTATACAGACCGTGTATAAGCTTGAGCGTTACCTTTCACGTTGATAGAAGAGGGTCCGACAGGATTTGATGCGCTCCTTGATGACTCACAACAAGTCGGATATAACGTTGTGTGTTGTTGTGCTCACATGGTGCGAGTAGAAATCATTAGTGCTGCATTGATATTAAATGATCATGTGGAATTTCAGTAGCGGCGCATGTAATTTAGCAGCGGTGATGCACTGCTGCTGAATGAATGTAGGGGGAAACACTGCTGATACATATGAGTTCAAGGTAGAACAATGTGAGATAAAAACTAATTTTTTTTAGGGGTGGCGGCTTTTATTAAGCCGTGGTGGTGCACTACGATCAATTGCATGTAGGGGAAACCCTGAACTGTTTTTTCTTTTCTTTACACAGGATGTAGAGAGTGGAAACGGAAGGAGAGGCAGAAGAGTGGACAAATAATGCATGGGAGAAAAAGATGGGTCAAAAGGTCAAGAGAAGAATCAGAGTAAAGAGGTTTGTGTGTGTTAACTATTGGGATAAACTATAAGGATGAAAAGAAAATGATAGAATAATGGAATAAATAGAAAGAAAGATGAGCAAACTCACCTGGTTCAAGTTTGATGACTTTGATAGCAGCCAGCTCTCCTGTGTTTACGTTACGAGCCTAAAGGAGAGAAAAGAAGAGGAAGTGGGTCATGAGAGGTCATTCAGTTTACATCCAAGATTCAACAATGAAACAGTTTAAAGGGGCATTACACAGAAACTGGGCAGACAGTGTAGCACTGTAGGAGTCAACTGCAAAGCACAATGATGCAAAAGATCCAGTGGGAATCAGGCATGCTTTCATCAGCTGAGAGGAAACAACTTCATACATAACACCAAATACGGCATGAGATTGTTCCAAAAAGTTCACATTGCTGTGATTCAGGAAACACCCCAAATTTCTCCTGTCAAGAAATCTCTTATTTTGCATATCCTTTTTCAGTGATTACTCTTTCTAGAGACAAAAAACAACCAAGACAATCTTTTTCCTGCAAATTAAACGTGTAAGCAAATAAATACAGCTGTGTATCCCTGGTACAAGTGATGCTGGGAGACATGCATGGAAGCATCACCAACACTACAGGAAAATTGTAACTTCATACTTTTTAGAAAGAAGTGTTAATCCATTTGTGAGACATTGCAATCGCAAATCCCTATCACATCATGCTCAACATTTCAGCTGCTGCTCAGTGTGTCAGATGATGAACCTCTCCTGCTGCTTTATTCAAGTTACTATTATGTCCACCACTGAGGTTGGATCAGGGTTACAATTTAGGTGAGGTTAGGATTTTTTTATGCATGACATTTTCCACTAATTATTATCATTGGTTGTTTATAAATGTGCTATAAAAATAGAGGTTGACTTGACATTTCTGAATACTGTGTTATTATTATTATTTTTAATCAGGCAAGCCTCATCAAGATTAACAAGTGTCATGGCCAAGATTAGAAGAAGCAGCACTACATACAACACACATACAATTACAAAACCCGTCAACATTTCCATAATCATATGACAAATAAGTCATTGGTCAAAGCATCTACAGCCTGATGCACCAGCACCAGTCCGATAGTATTTTCTGGTCAAACCAGCAGAATTCCTGCAGAGCCAATTCACCCTCATTCAAATGCAAACTCACAGTAGTCGAGATGACACAACAGGAAATGAAGACAGTTTTCCTGTGTTCCTGAAAAGCTGGTATTTGTAGAAAAAAAAAAAAAGAGAGGGCAGCAAGATTTTTTATAAATAGTTAGCTGTGTTTATATGAAGCGGCAGAGCTGGTTGTGCAGATGATGAATTCTATATGAAACATACATGAATAAAAGATGGCCTTTCAGAGGAGACACGAAGTGCTTGTTTCTCTCAGGCCAAGAAGGCGCAAAGTATGACTGTGAGGGAAGGACACATTGTGTGAGAGGATGGTTTTACCCATGATCTGGATGTACTGTATTTACTGATACTATGGTGTCATTATCTCTGGTTTCGATGGAGGGACTGACAGAAGCGCCCCTATCTGCACTCATACTGGCTCACAGGTATATTTATCCAACATCAGAGAGACAAACAGAAATATTCTTGTCTGTTCACTTTGAGTGGAGGTGAACTAGAGGGTCCATGTGTTACAAGAACATCAACAGCATTTAAACTTGAGTTATTCTTCAAATTCTATTATTGTATCAGATTATAGATTATATCATTGAAAAAAAAAAAACATTACAGAGATGTTATAAAGGCACTTACTTTCCTGCTCATTTGAATGGAAATTCTAATTACAACTAAGTGGCTTGTCTAGAAGCACGACTTTGGAAACAGCAAGCAGTGAGCTCCAGTCTAGTAACACCAGTTTTAACAGAAAGCCAATTTAATACATTTATTTCAAAAAACACTTGTTCCGCTCTTATACAGCCGCCTCCCTCTGCCTGAAGTCACCCCTCTTGGCTGTGTAACAATGGCTGTGTCCGAAATGGATCCCTAACCCCTATAAGCGACTATATGGGGGTTAGCGCCATTTTGAGGGGTGCGAAACCCGAGTGATCAATTCCACTGCCCCACGTAGATGACTCATAATTTCCCATAGAGCACTGCAAAATGTAGTGACCATCCGATGGTCACTCACTGGTTGTGGGCATCCCGTCATGCATTGCGTCTCCAGCGGTAATTCAAAGATGGAGGTGCACCATGTAGTGTCTGAAACCTCCGGTGATTGAGCTCACTACATAGTCAGCTATACAGTGAAAGCCCATATGGGGGTTAGGGGTATGGGGTTAGGGATTGAGTGATTCATTTCGGACACAGCCTATGTTGTATTTACAGTCTCCACTGATTGGCTACACAGACAGCCAATCAACACCATAGATGCAGCTTTGCATCGAGGGAGCCACCCCTGATTGGATGTGAGACTGCTGTTGCTTTCACTTTTGTAAGTGACATAAAATAGCATTGTTTAGCACTGTAGCCAATACAGAGATCACTGCTTCTCAGCCAACATACAAGTCTTTCCCCAGAGACAATCTGCACAGTCAAAAATACACTTGTCATAAAATCACATGCCCACAGTCATAACACACACCACCAGGAAGCATGGAAAAATATATAAAAAAGAAAAAAACCAGCAGGTAACACCGCTGCTAGAGGTGCTCCTCAGTCTTTGTGAAGCATACGGAACTAGCATGCGCAACCTCCGGTTCTTTTCTAATTTCAAAATAAAAGCATGTGTTTCAAAATAAGGCAAAAATATACATTTTTACAACAAAATAATATTGGTTCTAAATTACAGTTAGCAGTTTCCTTGATTACCAACAATCATGATTGGTATCAGCCCATCAAAATAAAATCATCTGTGCTTGTTTACATCCAGGTAGGAGAGCACTCTAGCTCTGTGGAAGCAGCCATGAACTGCCATGTGCCCATTTGATCTCTTATTCCTCATTGAATATAGAAAGGACCTTAGGAACTAAAACAACTCTGCAGTAACAGTAGGAAGTTTAGCTTCAAATAAAGGAAGGCTTGCACCACTGTCGTTGATTCCGTTGAAGTTTTTTGTGATCTATAAGTGAATGACGTGCTGCCTGAAATGCACACTCAGCATAGGCAGTGACAGCATTAACAAGAGACAATAAAATAATAATAAAAACCAAAAGGTTTAAGAAAATCCGTATAAACAATCAGACAGAAAGAGATGAATTGGTAATAACAAAAGACAGAAACATAGTTTTTATTTGTTGTGACTAAGAGGATGATAAGTTTGTTCCTCAGTCTAACAGGAAGATCCAGTAAAGAAGAACTGACACGAGGGAAGAACTACAGACACAACAACACCGAGTTATGAAAGAAGGGAGCAGATACAAAGAGCGTCACAGAGAACAGAAGAAGAAGAGACTGTAAGCACAGAGCGGAGACAGTATGTCTTCAGTCAGCAGACAGAGCAGAGATGACTCATGCAGCTCAGTGCCACTGTCAGTGGCAACAACAAACAGCCTGACTTGACTTGACTGGCTGTTGTGACTGACTGAAGCATACCGGCGTCTGGTTGAGAGGGCTGAGGACTTCTTGGTTTTGATTACAAGTCCCTGAAAACACCAGTCCAAGCAGCTAGAAGTACATAAAGACAGATGAAGACCTCCTGAAGTTAGTCCAACATCACACATGACACCAGCACAATGAATTACTCTCTGACACTTGACAAGTGCCTGAATGAATGGTGATAAAAGAGAGTTAAGTGAATATGGTTTACTTTGGTGAGAGTCCGCTGATGAGCTCACTGATCATATCACAGCTGCGTAACTGCAGCTTCACTTCTCATTCTTACTATTTTACAAGATGAGTCACAGATGACTGACAGAGAACCTGGGAGAGTTGATTTAGGTAACATGGTTGATGACACCCTGGATGTTTTATAATAAAAGCACACTTGTCCCCAAAAGCAACAGTACTTTTGAATTAAAAACAAATGAGCCAAATTTTGACCAAGGAAGAAAACAACAAGTTGAAAATGTATAAACGGTTGATTTATCTTCTAATGAGAGGCAAGACTCCTCAAAAAGCACTGCTTCAATGTTTTATTTTCCTCCATGAGAAAAGAATAATATAGGTTTATATCACACAGTAATAGGGGAACCAATAGTTACCCCCTCTAAGGCTGTGTGTGCATGTGTTTGTGTGCATGCTTGCCATGCACCAAGCATATGGTCAACCCAGCAGAGGATCAGTGTGGCATTTCACTCCCCCTCTCTCTCGAACCATAAAAACAAACAAAAATCAACCTGGCAGCAGCTAGCCATGCTCTGCTAGTCATCACGTTGAGGAAGACAACAAAAGAGGCTCCATTTGGTTTCAGTCCAGGGTTTGCTCTGCACTCTCTGTAGCTAAATAAAAGTTCTTTCACCACCACCTGGACTCATTACAGGTAATCTGTTGCTAGCAGTGCTACAAGGTCAAGTTCAGGCGGTGCACTCGTCTGGTTGACTGACTTATATGAAGGTCGGAGGTCATGTCAGGGAGTGGATTTCACAGCAGAGACAAGTCACCTCAGGTCAGGGGTTCATGTCTGAGGATTCAGTAACTTAGCTGTCGAACTTATCTAGCACTAATGATCAGAACAAGCAGAGACTTGGATTATATAACAGCTCTCTTTGCTTTAAATACACGATTGTTTGCCTCTCATCTGAAAGATTATTAGGAGTGTATTCTGTTATAAAATGATAATTTGTGAACAGCCTTAAAGAGACAACGGCTAAAACAGAGCGTTCCAGACACAGACTGAAGTAATGATATTTTAATACACCAGAGTGAGAAACACAAGACTCTTTTAATGAAAATCATGTGGAGCTTTTAAAGAGATATCAGAGAGGAAGTATGGGGTATAAAAGAAAAAAAAAAGCTCTTTAAATCATCCTGATTTCATGGTTGGTTGCAGTTTTGTAGGGAAAAAGGCTTTCAGACTAACTGCAGTCAAATTTCTATTTTTCATTCATTCAAAGTTGAATCAGTTGTAACCGCTCTCACTGTTTTCTTCCCTTTCAGAGTTCAGTGCTCCTCCAATAAATCAAAGAATAAATCAAAAATATCCTTTTCTGTTTTTTTTTTGTTTGTTTTTGAACACAAACAGAAACTAACATTTTTGCCACAGTGTCTTCACTCTTCAAACAGAGGTGACTTGTGCTGGACTATAGATTTATGAATCCACACATGGGATCAGGTCGTCCGAGCAATGCTGCACTGTCACGGCTAAATCCCACAGGATCCGTAATGGCTGTGCTGCGCTCCGGAATGGCAGGCGGATCAAATACGTGAGCATTATAATCAGTGTGTGTGATTCAACACAATCCATCCGCCCTCTGGATCTGCTGTGGATCGGCTCCGAAGGTTGGATCAGATACGCAAGGCTTGTATTTTTGCCGCCCGCCGCAGCATAGCCCATCAACTCAGTGCAGCACAGCACGAGCAGCAGCGGAAGTTGTATTCGGCTACAGAGTATAAAATCTGGTTTATTTTCAAAATGAAATAAAGTCAATACGTTGAACTGTTCTTCACATGATAATGAGAGGGGCTGGGGTTGTGGGATGTGTGTGTATATTCGCCGCCAACCTCATTCAATGTCTCACGGTGAAACACGCATGATCTCGTGAGATTTTATCCAGTCTCGTGAGAAATATAGGTAATATCGCAAGCACTTCTCCTTCACTTGCTGCAGCAGATCGGATCCGGTGGGTGCTGTATGCTTGCATATTTGATCCGCCTGTGAAAAAGCATTTTCACAGAGTTCTGAGAGATCAAGTATTTCACAAAGCTGATAACACTATAAATCTATAATTTGCCCATCTACCTTGTCACCTTTTGTCAGAAGAAATAGGAAAAAGTTTCCCTCTAGACTTGCCTTTGTTATAACAACATCACAATTGCACACTCTCTCATCATTATTCTGTTTCTTTACATATCAAAGCCTTTATGATAAGAAAGGCTCACTAAAAGCTGTTTTACTCAAATATAGTCAGAGGGAGGACATAAACAAACACAGTACATGTAAAAGCAGCCTACTTAAAGCCTTCTGCTGAAATAGCCGCTCAGCATTTCCACTGCAGTGAGGGTTAGTGTGAAAGCAGCCTGGGGCAACAATCACAGAAACAGTCGTTGGTTATTCAGTTCCACTGACGAGATCTTTCCAAAAGATAAAAGTTTATTTCAGGTAACTTTCTTCAACGATCAAAGCTACCCTGACCTAAGGATAGTGTGTAAGGTCAGGGTGTTTTTTTTTTCTTCTCCTGATTGAAATAATGATAGTGATCCTCACTCCTGGAATTTTGTATCATTGCTGTCATGTGAACCCTTATTGTCAGATAAGAGATTTTCTTTCTTTACTGGTTAAGAGCCTTCTTAAATTTGAAATTTCTCTGAATAATTGAGAGTGAGCTAAAGACATTTTTTTAATATTCTGTATCTATATTTTTCCAGGTATGTAATTGTATTGTCAGTATTAGATTAGGGATGTCCCAATCTGATATTGATATGGGATGGGATATTGGTCCCATATCAGCGAAAAATAGGAATATTAAATTATATTGGCCTGCATCTAAAATCTCAGATACCAGCACTCTACCAGATGTGCTCGGGCTGGCAGATCAGCCCGGGGCCCAGCGCCTGTTGAAGACGTCACACTATGGTAAGTCCACTCGGATAAACTACATTGTGCTTCATTTAATAAGTCAGATGTGCTCACTTAAAAGCCCCTTGCAAAGTCAAATGTGCTCAGCTAAAAGCCCTTTGCTGTTTTTTTTTTTTAAATTTCTGTTTGTTCATTCAATTCACCTTGAACCTTTTTCATGATACTGAGAATTACACCTTAAAAGAGGCAGTAACCCTTTGATGAGTAGCAATACATTGCTTCTTAAAATTCGTCTGCTTTTTCTCTCAAGAACCAAAATCCTGTGCCTTTAATGATTTCATTCAGACTATTCAGATAAGCTGAAAACAATAGCCCTCTGATTCGGAATATTTGCAGTCCCGAAAATATAATGCTCTCTACCTTGACAGCTTACTGTAAAGTTTATGTACCCAAGTACGCCTCTGTATGTGCATTTTTGGGACATAAAAACAGACCGAAAGTTTGCTGCTCCATTTGACATGTCATGATCCAATACTTGTGTTTTTTAAAATATCAGATCATATCTCCTCCATTTTAAGAAGCTAATGAGCGAATGGGATGCATTGTGGACACGCTCCAACAGTTCTTTGAGTGGCCGCAATGCATTGTGGGTGGCCACGCATGTTAGGCTGGAATTAATGTACTTAATTCAAGAGTTTTTTTGGATTTGGGACTACTTTTGTGGTGGTTTGTTTGTTTGTACATTTTGCTACCAAGGCTTTGACACCGTGGGTAAGACTACAAGCGGGTTAGGTTGGTAATACTCGGCTTCGCTCGCCTCCACTGAGTGACGCTGCCACTCATCTTTAAATTATAATTGTGGGACGATTATTACAGTACCTTACGATCTAATCATCCCGGTCGTTTAATATCGTATATCAGGATTAAATAGTATATCGGCACATCCCTAATTGGGACACCCCTAGTATTAGGGTATACTGAGACTGAAAGTGCGTGGGCCTGTGATAGTATGAATCGGTCGGTCTTCCAGGCGAAAGCATGGTTTGTCCAACTGTCAGGGAGCAGAACAGAAGGAAAAGGTAACTGCAGAGACCACTGGCTAAATAATCGTGAACACTCATGTTAGGGGTGAAGATTTTGATACTGTGGATGCTCCTGCAGCTCAGAAATCTGGCGAGTGGAAGTATTACTGTTTCACTGTTTTAAGAGATGACAAAGGTGAGAAAAAGTCAGTAAGCTATCTTAATGTAAAGACATTAGGTTACACTATAATGTGTTTAAGGTGCTGTCCGTATAATAACTGTCAGAGGAATAGAATTTCCATAAGAAATTATGACTGAGTGACTACTCAATACGACTGCTGGAAAGAGACAAGGTCTAAAGTTACACAGAGCCTCAAGCAGAGAAATTTTCATTTACCATGGATGGTGAACTTCACAAGAAATGTCATTTTCATACAAGTCTGGCTTTTTTTTTCAATGTCACAAAGATATCCTGTTATGGATTCCTGTGAATGTGATTTTCAACATGGAGAAATACTCCTCAATTCATCGAAGAAAAAAAGATTCAACAAGTTCATCAAAAAGTTATTAAATACAGCTCAAGGCATATATTATGAAACAGAGTTTTAGTGTTTAATGTGAAATAGCTCTGCAGCTGGTTTACTCCAACAAAAGTTTACTTTTCACAGCTTCACAGCTCAGCTACATAAACACAGGCCACTCAAGAGGTGAACAGGTGAGGTGAAAAGCCGCCTGCAATCAAGTGTTTTATATGAACACATCCCGTTTTTTCAAAAAAAGCCCACTCACTCCAGCAAAACACCAACAAATGCACACACACACTCACCAGAATCATCCACACGCTCCCAGGGCCATTTCAATTTAACAAAGTTTTTTTTTTTCTTTTAAATATATAAATATACCACAAATTCATCAACCCAGCAGAGTCACTTGGTCTAGCATTAAGAATTTAAAAAGCTCTTTGCTCATGGAGCGAGCTATGGGCTCCGTCAGCTCATGGGCTGAAAGAAAATCACGGCAGCAAACAAGAGGAATCACTGCAGGAGGCAAAAGATCCCCCTGGTGCTGCCAAAAGTAGGTTTTTATTGTTATGCACTGGCCCTACGCGACATAAACTTTAAATTATAAGTTGTTTCTGAAGTCACTATTGCACATCATGTTAAATGTAATAAAAATGATTGATTGTGCCTTTGCACAAATGGTATCCACATTTGGTGTCAGCCTGCAAAGTCACATAGCAGCACAAATTTTACACTCTCCTGCTACACGGACCCACACAAACACTTTGAATGTGTATGTATGTATAGTGTGTATAGTTGCACTACACAAATCAGACACCTGATGAAATTATTCCTGGCACTTGTCACTGGTAACAAAAATGCTTCCTGAGAAGCAGTCAGCCGGTATTAAAACAATTATTTAACTCTGGTCTGCTTTGAGTGCTCCATCACATGAGCACACAATCTCAAAATAGGATTTGACAATTGTACTTACTTACATGGTGCCAAGACTTAACGAACCAGTCTGGCAGATGTAACAGAGTACAGATATAAACACAAAGGTGTTGCAAAGCCTCAAAAAGTCTCAGAGACCTAATGTCTTTCTGGCCACTTGAAGTGACAGGAGGTTTTAGTGGAGGTGACAGATAACTCATGCAACCACCACAGAATGACAGAGGAAGATATTTGGGTTCCAGTCAATCACATGGTTCAGAAGAGTTTATTAACCTCAGCTTGCTGCTAGAAACTCAAGCATATATCATAGGTGTAGGAGAAAAAAAACGATACAGCATAGTATCGCAATATTTTGTCTGGTGATGTATCGTGTCGTCTCATTTACCAAGTATTGATTTTATCAAATTAATTGTTAATATGAAGTCAAATCTATGATAATGGAAAAATAAAATCAACTGTTTGTCCAGTGAGGTTGGCAGAGGTGACATCATAGAGCAGGAGAAAGTTAGTGCAACAAATTTAGCGCCACCATGGGAAAGACATTCGGAATGCAAGCGGAGTACAATTGAGATGCACCTGACACATGAGGTTTGCAAGATGTGCTACATGAAAACAAAATACTGTGTAAATAAAACCAACATAAAGGAAAGACAAATGCTAAATTAGCTAAAACAGTTGAAAGAATTGTATATATCGCAATATATTGTATCGCAAAACTCACTGTAACGCAAAATGTTAAAAATCGCAATTAAAATCGTATCGCTGGGCCACTGGTGATCCCCACCCCTAATAATGTAGGATTTGGCCCAAATAGGAGTTGTTGAGACATTTTTACAGATGTCAATTTCAGAGAGAGAAAATTCCAAATTATAATACAGATGTTAATTTGCCACTATCTCTCTCAGTACTGATTCTGTTTCTTTGGCTTGGGTGTTGTAACACCAAGACAACAAAAAAAAAAGACTTCTTTCATTTTCTGCCTTTGGATTCAGTCACAGTTACTCTGTAATGCTGCTCTGGGTTATAGATTTTTGGTGAGGCTGATAAAATTTGGAATTCGATGGAAACAATGATACCCAATACTTGCAGACATTTCAACTAAAATGAAGACTGGCCTCTGCACTACTTTTACCTTGATATAACTATGCAAAAGCCACAAAAGGGCTTCTTTTTAATCAGTTAACTTTACTTCAGAGATTATTATAAACTGTAAACCTGGCATAGAGCAGACCACCTTCAGATCTGTTGTGATCCCTGCATGTACTGCAAACAGCACTGCAAGTATTGAAAAATACAAACGATAATATGCATGACACAAAAATTCAATCATCTTCAGAAATGTTTTCTGCATTATATCTTCGGTAGTAAAATATTTGATATTTAAATATATGGGTGTTACGGCTGTATGCTTGTGTTTTCTTCCCCCCTTTTGCCTTTCATAGCTCTGCCCAGGTGAAGTCACTGATTGGAAGTCAGCTTCGAATGCTCTTGGAGGGTTTAAAGGCCTCCAGAGCTGCCTGCAGTAGAGGCAGAGTAATTTAGTGGAGACTTGCTGCGCTGCTGCCTCTCATTTGTGTTTTGGGTTCTTTGTGTTTAGTTGATCTGTTAATTTGTTCTTTGGTTAATCTTTGAAATATTACATTTTTTGTCTTTTGGTATAATAAATCTATTGTGAACTTTTGAAGGTGTTTTGATATTTTAAATGAGTCAATATGTGGATAGATGTTAGCCCCATAGGGCTGCCTTTGGGTGGGTCGAAACATGGGCCTCTTCTTCAACAATCTTAATTTGCCTTTTACAACGTAACAGTATACTGATGATACTCAGTAGGAGGATAATCAGCCTTAAGATAAGCCTAAAATGAGGTTTTTATGTTAAACTGCATCAACACAACCCAAATGTGTAAGAAGAGGACACTTGACCTGTCACACACCTTGAATTCTGTCATGGTGATCCACCCTGCAGAGAAGTGTGATAACGTCCTGTGTCTGAATTCCAAACATGCTGCACATTGACAGTCATCCATGTTTTGTAGCCAGTGAGTACTTGATAGGGGGGGAAAATGCTGTATGTTGTATTTGACTTGACAAACTTAAAATTTAAGTTTGAAAAATATAGCTACTCCCTAACATGCCCTGTTATTTCCATGAAAACTGCAGTAAGTAAGTTCTCCGAGCAGGAGAAGGCATACAGAAAACTGACACTTATCTAAAGAGAACCACATAACAGGTTTGTATCATGATTGGTGATCTCCTCCTATATAAGTTACAAAAACATACATGACACTGTAATCTGGTTGAGAGCAATGCCACTTCACCTCGATCTCACGTCTGTGTAGGGCTGGGCGATAAAGCAAAAATTTACCGACACCTGAATTTACGACTATAACCAACATCATTTTGCCCATGTCAATGTATTTTGTGTCAAAGGCATGAATAAATAAAAGTTGGTTTTGGATGTGTGTAGGTAGGCTATGGTCTCATGTCCCTTTAAGACGCTGTCCTACATCAGGGACATGACTCCACCCCATCTAGTCCCTAACAAAGAGGGAAAGACAGGTGAGGAGATGGAGGACGGTTCAAAATTTGTAGCAGCTGGAGCGGCGGCTGAAGTAGACGAGGTTAATGTGGGAGGGGGTGAGCAGCTTGCGAAGTAGTTATCGTCCATTTATCGTTATCGAGGTGAACTGCAAAATATATTGTGATATTGATTTGAGGCCATATCGCCCAGCCCTACTTCTGTGTAACCATTTGAGTTTTCATTGGTCACAGCACTGGTGGCGCCGAGACAAATTTCTGCAGAGAACATGAACTGGACTCCAAAGCAAAGAGCCAAGACCAGTCCCCAATCTGAGTGAGAAAACAACTGGAGGAACAGCGACAAAAACAGGATGGTTTGATTGTGACTCTGCAGACATCTGTGAACGTGTGTGTGTCTATGTGAGCGGAGATACAACCATCTGGCTGGGCGTGTGAGTGTGCGCGCTGTACATTGGTGAAACAATAGGACATGAATTGAACACACATACACAGACACAGACACACACACACACACACACACACACACACACACACACACACACACACACACACACACACACACACACACACACTCAGAGGAAGTAAGGAGTCCTGCATTCCTGGAGCATGGCTGCCCAGCTGTGCCACATACACTGAGGTCTGGTCAGAGGAAACTGTTAACACACCACATTCACCTCAGTTAACGACACTAGTCCTGCATAAAATCAAGTAAAAATATACAGAAAGCAATTCAGGACTGACTGACCATTGGTGAAAGATTCTGTCACTTTGGAGAAGAATTATTGAGTATCTGAGTCAAACCAAGGCTTTTTATCCTTGTTCAATCTGACAGCATGATCAACTTTAATCCAGTCTATGAAAGTTTTAAGTCCCACTCTGGTCTTTTTTTTTTTTTAACTACTTAAAGTGTACTCATTGGTCTTTAAATTGTGATTGTGAAGTTTTAACAAAAGTCACGTTACCTGTCTCATTTTCAAGGACTTTTCTTTGGCAGAGCCCCAGTAGATCATTAGCAATTCACCTCTGAGTCATAGGCAGAGACAGCGCTGCTCTGCACACTCCTCTTCATGCTAGCTTGCAGCCTAACATTGCCGGTGTAGCAGAAGTGGCAGGTAACATAGGAGCTATTCAGCTCTCGGACACAAATGTCTTCGGGGACATGATGAAAGTTAATATCAAAATTAGTTTTCTGACGAGCATTGCAATCCACTAACAAGGGCTGAAATGATTCCTCGAGTACTTGGATTATAAAAAATAATCTGGGAATCTTCTCTGTTTCGATTGCTAGTTTATAAACTCAAATTGTCATTGTTTTGCACTGATCATTTTCAAGGAGACACAACGCGCTTACGTCACCAAGGTAGAAGGAGGAGTAAACGCAGTTTTGGTTTTGCAGGGCGGAAAAAAGAATGACAAGAGGGAATTTTCTTCTGCAGAGCTCCTGTAGTTCATTAGCAATTTACCTCTGAGTCGTGGGCGGAGACAGCGCTGCTCTGCACACTCCTTTTCATGGTAGCTTGCAGCCTAACATTGCCGGTGTAGAAGTAGAAATAGGTAACATAGGAGCTATTCAGCTTTCCGACACGAATGTCTTTAGGGGCATGATGAAAGTCAATATTATTATTACCTTTCTTTAGAGTACTGCAATCCACTAATGCACACACTTGTTCTGCATTTCTTGTTTTAAAAAATGATAACAACTGATGGTTCATTATTAAGTTCAATGTCTTATTTTATGTTGTATATTAATAATTGCACATTAACAAAAAACAATTATGTTCTATCCGATTACTCGATTAATCAATGGAATATTTGGTAGAATACTTGATTACTAAAATAATCAATAGCTGCAGCCCTACCACTAATGCACATATTTGTTCTACAATTGTCCTCTCCACTTCTTGGGGTCTGGTCTACATAGCAGGGCTCTGGGGGTGGAGTTTGGACTTGTGACATAGGATATCCCACTGAGTCTGAGCCTCCCGTTTAGGTCGACGAGAGGTTCACAGCAATTTGAGTGGAGAGATACTCAGAAATACAGTTTTGCACTTAAGTTTTCTCATGACATGTCCTGTAGCATCAGTAAAATGCCACATGAACATGTAGATGACAAGAAAATCATGATTTTCATCAGAGTTGGTCTTTCAGCAAGAAATTCTGCTTCGTGTCTGGCAAGATGTGTTGTTTTAGTTGGGTCATTGTGTTTATATTAAATTCATGCCCACGGTAACCATATCATTCAGATATTTGTCTTAATGTGCTAGTAAAAACAGGACAATTCAACAATCACTGGTTACATTGCTTGCCCTTTACGTCAACTCCAAAAATATCCAGGTGACTGTAGCTCCAGGAGCGCACACACCTCTGCTGCTGCCAAAGTGGATTCATCATTAACTGATCTGTACCCTCCTTGTATGACTTGAAACTTCCTCAATCTGAAGACCGTTAGCAACATCACCTTGAGAAAACGAGTCAGTCATCCTATTTCAACAACAGAAGTTACATCACTCTGCTGTGTATTGATAAATACTCACTCAGCCTGTGCTGGGTCTTGGGAGAGAAAGAGGGGGTAGCTATTGCAGCAGGTTTTCTCGGCTGCAGAGCAAAAGACAGAGCTGATTCTGGTACTTACTGAGGGTGTTTGAAGCAGTTTCAATGACAAAATGGGACCACAAAAGAGAGAAATCGACAAATCGATACAAATGGTATCCTTAAAGCCAGTGAGTTAGCTGGGTGTTTGTTTTTTGTTTTTTTAAAGCTAAGCCCTTAAATGAAAAATATTGCTTTCCGGTAGTTTTGGTGCCTCTCGGTCTAAAAAGTCACTCAAGAGTAAAATCAGGTAAACACAAGCATGCTGTGCAGGGCAGTTTGCTAGCATCATGATAGAATATTTTGCATGCTTGTTCAAGCGAATCACACCATTTCCTTCCATGAAAAGCAACCTTAAGGTTTAAAGATCGGAAATTGCTCAGTGCAGCTGCCACCTCCGGTACAAGAGGAGAGAGTGGCTACCCTCCAATATCGATACTTAGCTAATGATTTGTCTGCAGAAACAGTTAATCACATGTGGAGGTGAACTGTTGTGGTTATTTACACCAGGCTCTGATGAGCAGTTCAACTGCTCAGCTGCTGCTGTAAGCTTCTCCATGAATCTCTATAGGGAACTGATTTTTGTTTCTGTTTAGATGTGATTTGAATATGAATCAAAATAACACAGTACAGTGGTAATATATGTGAAACTTGATGAATTAAACAACCCTGCATGCTTTAGTTTCCTTTCTTTACTAAACAGCTCGAGGGGTCTGTAAATGTCACTCTGCCTTAAGGAGCGACTTTAGAAATTCATTAGTGGAGGTTTCAATGGAGACTTTTTGTGCTACTGAATTCTCTGAATGCTGATGAGGTGTTTCACACTCTTCTTAGGATGCAGTTCAGACAGAAATAGCAGAACCCAGGCCAGAGTTTTTTTTATTAAATTATCCTGATTTTGCTAACACTGCCTATCAGCATACAGTATTGGTAGCTCAAAAAGTACTGTAAACTCGTGCAGACTAGTTCCGACAGGAACTCTTTAATTAATTGAACCGGCGACACTTTGTCCAAGAGGCCAGTCTGACAATGAGCCAATCTCCCCTTAGCTTCTGACTGATACAGACCAAGAGGAAGAGTCACAAACAGGGGCGAAAACAAGCCAGCTCCTGTTCACACTTTGTTTCCTGCTCAAACATTCCTATCCAAGCCACAGATTTTCACACAGCAGTAGAACCAAATATAGGCATCACTCAGTGAGGTTTACCAAGTGGCCTGCTGCTTGGAGGCACATCCTACAAAACCCTGGTTTCAGGTTTGATCCCTGAGAGTGTCCTTATCAATTCAAACGCCTACTGATGTGAAAAGCCTCATAATAGCTCCATAATAACTGTGTTTTTCATACACCAAAATGAAGTATTAACTGTCAATTCAAAGAAAATATTGAAGAATTTTGGTTATGTTCTTACAAATATATAAAAACAAACATGAAAACTCTACCCTGCTGTATCATGTTTATGACAGGTTAGCTCTGAGCTGCTGCTGACCTACTGAAGAGGTCCTGTCAGACCTGTGTGTCTGCAACAAGGCAAGATACTGAACCTAAATTAGAAACAAACCAGATTAGCAGCAGCAGGGAGGGAACCATGCATCACACACAAAAAAGGTAAGAACTAGTGACAAGTAGCAAGGTTTTCAGCTAATCAAAGCTTGTGAATCATTCACATTTCTATACATGTTGCATGTATTTAACTATAAGGAGCCCAGAGGTTCACCAAACATCATCGGCTCCCATTATAAGTTCAATAACACTTGTGTCTGCCAGGAGCCTCTCTCTAACGCAGCAGAGAAATTAAATTCCTCAGCAGAGTGAGTGAGTGAGACACAAACAATCACAATGGTAAGTGTGTTGATGTTTAACTTTCATACCCTGACTGATACACTAAAGAGAGCTACATACAAACAGGGAAGATTGGTGTATTATTGTTATTCAATAATATCAAGAATAAGACATTATTACATAATTTAATTACATGCTGTACATACCTAGTTGTTATTTCTCTTTTGTCTAAATTTCATTTAATCTTTTCTAATCTAACACAATAGGTGTTTAACACTTAAAGCGATATTCTGGCGTAAAATTAAATTAGGGTCAAACACACCGTAACACCGAGTTAGACAACCCCTCAAGAGATGAATGTTGCTGACTGCTTGCTTCTCTACTTATACCAACTTCAGCAACGACTGCACGATAGCAGTACTCACCAGTCTACGTCTCCACACAACAAACCTCAACCAAAAAGCCACTCTATAGCCACAAATAATGCTCAGAACAGCACCTAACTTCATCAACAGTACATATAGGATCCCAGCCATAGTACTAGCCATCAAACATCTTTTTAACTTTGCCTAATTAATTTCCCAAAGAGACTAAACACAACTCACCTACTCTCTTCCAGCAGCCGCTTGTCTGTACCAAGACCTCAAGCCAACCCATTACGGACTACAGCGGGGTGACGCAGCTCAAGGAAGAACATTTATGATCAATTCTTCATGGAAATACAATCAGACCGAGATGCTAAGGTAGAAGAACTACCGCATCTGCAGTGCAAAATGATATGGTGATTATTACTTCAAGGAAATGATAAAGAAATGATCATAAATGTTCTTCCTTGGGCTGCATCACCCTGCAGCAGTCCGTAAAGGACTGGCCGGTGGTCTCCATACAAACAAGCGGCTGCTGGAAGAGAGTAGATGAGTTGTGTTTAGTCTCTTTGCTAAAGAAATCAGGCAAAGCCAAAAAGATAAAAAGATGTTTAATGGCTAGTGCTGTCGTTAGGACCCTGTATGTACTGTTGATGAAGTGAGATGCTTTTCTGAGCATTATTTGTGGCTATAAAGTGGTTTTTGGTTGAGGTTTGTTTATGGCTCCTCAGACCACTGTGGATTGCTATCGTGTGGTTGTTACTAAAGTTGATATAACTAGAGAGGCAAGCATTCTGCAACATTCATCTCTCGTGGGGTTGTCTAACTCGATGTTGCAGTGTGTTTGACCCTAAATTAATTTTACACCGAAATATCCCTTTAAAATGTTTCCTAATATCTAAGATGTTCAGTTGTGCATTTGTAACACCAACACCATCCTGCATGTGTGTTTGCTTACAGGTCTTGCTTGCGAGCATATTTTGACTGTTTCCAGAGATGTTATTAATTCTGCATTAGGTGTGACAGTATCATAGTATTTCTTTTGGTTTATTTCAAAACCATTGTTTTGTCAGACCAAAGTCAAAATTGTTCTGTACTGCATACAATCAACATGTACATGAGTGTGTTGAAGCTGGGTTTTCAGGAACTTCCTTTCCCTGTGGATGCAGGCTGTGTGCTCCCAGTACAGGCCCCTTTGCGAGTGCAAGGCCACAGATAAAAACTGTCACGCGACTGTTATAACCAGGCTGTTCAAAAAAACAAGCACATCCCAGTTCTAAAAGGACGACATATACTAAAAACATTTCCCAAAACGAGAATAAATAAAGACAGACATTGAGGATATTGAGGTTGTTGGTGTAGCTTGCTTAGCTCTGAGACCTTTAGCCAAGCTGGAAATCCAAGCAGGCAGCTGTCAGTCTGTGTCACATCAGGAGAGACTCTTGTAACGATACAGCAACATATCTGCTATAAAACAATTTGAAGCGACGCTGCGGGTTGTTCTTGGTTTTAATTTACATTCCTACACAATTAGAAAACATTTTCCCCTCTCATTTTGTCACACTGTTTGCATAAAATAGGTAAAAGCCTAGCTAGCCTCCCGATGCTAACGGGTTAGCTAACTGCGTCCGTTCTCGGACAGCTAGCGGCTACACAAACATCACCCGACAACTCTACAAGGAGGTCTTTAGAAACGTACACACTGTAAATCACTGCACAGATAAGATGCGTGTGGTTTACTATGGCTTTGACATAAACAAGTTGGCACAAATTATGTGCTATTCACACATTTAGGATCAGTGCGATGTCTGTTCGAGCAAATCTGTTTGGATCGTCACCAGTCAGAGTCAAGTCTGGATAAAATAGTCATTATTACCAAATAACTAGTCATTGTAAACCAAAGGCTGTTTCTTTGCTTCATTTATCAACCATAAATGGTTAAAATGTCGTCGACATATCCAAAACAAAAACACTGACTCAACATCAGCTGTGGGTCTCACAATAGAACCAGCACCGGACTGAATGCTGCTTCAGTAAACACAAACACAGGAGGTAATGGCTCTGCAATAGGCTCACGTTTGCTAAATAATTCGTTATCTGCTACCATGATGATACTGATGAGCTGCAAAAGAGAGCAGTACATGTGTAACCAATCCGTGTCCGATAATGGAAGTGTGTGGCTGCTTCTCTCACTGCAGTTTTACCTTGTACACATCTCCGTATGTGCCGCTTCCTATCCTCTGGATCAGCTCGAAATCCTCCTGCGGATTCCTCCGGGACAGGTCGACACTGGAGTTCATCATTTCCTCTGCCGATTACGGCGCTAAACGCGCGCAATATGCGAACCCCGAGTGTATTTAGAAACGAATTAATAAAGAAAAACATACGGCGTCAGAAAATCCCAACCCGAATCCAATGTAGCTCCAACATGGCGTCCACTGCGCATTGAGCATGCGCAATGGACATCATGGCGTATCCACTTGCCAGGGCAGACGTGCTGTACAATAATAATCGTAATGGTTTTTAGAAAGGAATTACAGCATTAATATAATTAACTAAAAATATATTCAAGGCAGCCAATCTAGACCTTTCCTAAAAGAGTAAAACTCAAAAAGGCAAGAGAAACTAAATAACACCATATGTAAATCCTCACTTCTGATTTCATTGTGATCAGTTTCACCAGTATTAGATCAATGCAGTGTGTGAATCCATTATTGCAAATGCACATGGAGCATAAACAGCAGAAATCAAGCTTATAGGGAATTTAAAAAAAAAAAAAAAAACATTATACCCAAAGTGGCATTGTCTGGCATTTCACATAAAACTGGGCTAAGCAGGGCTAAACAGCAGCAGATGGCAGCATTGTAATTCAGTCTATAGGCTGAGTCTGTCTCTGCAGGCTGAACATTAGTGTCATAAAGTACTTTCTTTATGGTTTGTCTTTACAGGAGACAGTTCTGTAGTCTACATTCACTGGTTTAACTCAACTGAGAGTGCAATTGACCTTACTGTTTTACAAGATAGAAAAAAATGGTAAACACAGTGGACCTGTTTCAGATGAAGAAAGATAGATAGATAGATAGATAGATAGATAGATAGATAGATAGATAGATAGATAGATAGATAGATAGATAGATAGATAGATAGATAGATAGATAGATAGATAGTTGGGTAAAAGAGGATGATGGCTAAGCTATCGTCTCTCATGGACAATGGTTCCAACCCCCTGCAGAGCACTGTGACGACACTGAGCAGCTACTTCATTGACAGGCTTCTTCACCTGCGGTGTGTGACAAAGATACCGCAAGTCCTTCCTTCCTGCTGCAGTCAGACTGTTTAAACAGGCCTGCTCCCAGAAGTTCAGGTTTTTTAGCGCAACTAACAGACAATAACTCAATGCTAACTCAATGCGCAATATTGACAGACAATATTTATTACAATTACAGAAACCTTCATTCTTCTCAGGTATACAGATATAACTCAAATAATGAGCAACAGCATGTCATGTTTCTTTGCATTCACTGTGTAGAACTGTTTTTCCTCAAGTCTTTGGATGATGTTGCTTTTTTTTTTTTGTCTTTTTTAGCATATAAAATTTCTGTATGGGTCTTAGTGACATTTTTTTTAATAATTATCTTTGCACCGTGTGCATGATGAGTGAACTTATTTGTCTATATTTGCTGTGTTGATCCTTTCACTGCAAATTTCCCCACCGAGGGATGAATAAAGGTTTATTTTATCTTATGATTATAGATATATACAATTTTTACATTTGCTGCTGAAAAACAGGACAACTCAAAAGAAGACAAACGCAACTTAGGGACAAAGAAGTTTCATTCATTCCTTAAAATGACTAAAAATGTGACTTGTAACCTTTGAAACATAGCTTCCACTCACACTGATCAAGTTTCCATCTTCACATATTTAAGGATCAATCCATCTATCAAGCCTAAGTTAACCCTTAAAGTAGCCTGGTGCGTCAGGGAGGAGAGAGGTAGACTGTGCATAGGCCCACACTGAGGTCCTGTTTCCTGGATAGGTGGGGAGTTGGCTTGCTGGTCAATTTGGAAAGTCTGCTGCTTTGTGGAAGACGGAGAAGGGGATGGGGAGACTTGTATCCTTGTTGCAGGCTTTGTTCCCCGGCTAGGCATTGGTCCAGTTTCTTTCTGTGCCAGGAACTTCTTCAGGAGGCAGGATAACTGAGGACTCAGAAGGAGAACCAAGGATCCCCCAACATGAAGAACTCTAGACACCCAAGCATGAACACAAATATTCAAATTAATTGTCTGAATTAAAAATTTGGACTCTCTTCTGCTATTTAACTTTACTCATAGGATTACAATCCTGCACAGCACATGAACAAACATACAAAAACAATGGTGACACTTTCTAATTCACTGAACTATTGAAAAAGAACAATGAAAGCAGATACACAGGGGCACAGACCTCTCCATTTCAGTAAGGATGAGTGGCAGATTGGCAGCCATGTTTGTTTTGGTGCCAAACTTCTTGCCAAATGGGAGGTCACAGACGATAGCATCCACACTGGCGCTGGGCAGAGGCAGAGCTGTACACACACACACACAGGACACACAAGCCAAGAGGTAAATGAATACATGACAGCAGGCTTCACTCACACCTCCCACTCACTCTGTGCCTTCCAAAACCTGCTGCTTTGGAGCCCCAGAACTAAATAAAGGGTTTAATCTCTGGTATACAAAAGCCATCATCATCATCATCATCATCATCATCATCATCATATATTCATGGTTTCATAAACATTAGGACACAATAACAGGATTTCAAATCAAAGTTGCTACTGATGCTCAGTTCTTATTTGGAGTTGGGCTGTCTTCATCTTTATATGACAGTTTTACAAGAGGCTGACATTTCTTGTTATGCCAGAATATTTTTGTGGGTTAAAGGTGAGTAATTACAGACTGTGGTATACATAACATATAGTACAAAACAGCTGAAATCTGATTTCAGGGAGGCTAAACAGACAAAAATGGGAGAAAAGTCAAATGATTAATACCACGTATGATTCTGAGTGATGATATTGTGCAAATGTCCTACCCATAGAAGAAGCCTTCAGCAGGTGTATCCTGTTTCCCAGCTCTGAGAACTCTACGTTCTCATTGGCTTTCTTCAGTTGTCCATCATCAATGTCCATGCCCAGGAAACAGGCAGTCTGCATGTGCCAATGAGGATGACCCATCAGATTGTTTTTGTGTTGTTCCAATTACACCCATAAAAATGTAATTTTACAAAGATATTGTGTTGATTTTCATACTTATATTTTTGGACAATTTCATTCAGATCAAAATTACAGAAGGTGGTAAATGTTGTTATATTATTCTTGGCAGATTTATACAATATTTGCATTGATTTTGGTCCCAACCTTGTGTTCTTGTGCTGCCTCTACCAGGATTGTTCCCACTCCACACATGGGGTCAACTACACAGAACCCTGGCTAAAGAAGATAACGCATGTCAATCATACACAGTGGTACAATGGCAACTATAACATAACAGTCTTATAGCTAAATTTAACAAGTTCAAACCTGCCTTGCTCTTATTATACAAACAAAAATGCTCTCAATGACAAAAACAAAAAAAAGAAAAATTAAGCCAGAGGGATGGCTCTTTATTTACACAACTCACAGGTTGCTATTTAGATGCATAAAGTAAACATACACATGATAAAAAAAAAGTTCATAAGAACTTTTACAACAGCAAGAACAAGTATATCTGAGTACCTGAATCTGAGCCAATGAGGCCATAGCCCAGGCTACAGTAGACCTCAACCCTGTGGTTTTGATGTAGCACCGGTTAGCCAAAGGTAACCTCAAGAAAGGAAACAGGAAACTGATACTTCACAACTGCTGAACAGAGGTACTGATAGAAGCATAAACCCACATTCAATTTCATAATGAGTAAATGTTTGATATTAAAAACGTTTTTGTCAGTCACCTGGTTAGAGGAATCCCTAGCAGGCATTGGTCATCACTTAAATGAACATTAACCTGCAAGTAAGAGCAAACTCCTGATGGTGTTGATTTGAATGAAATGACAAGAAAATACTACAGGGAGTGTTCTGCCATGTTAGTGTCAGTTGGTCCCATTAAAGAGAATGGTATTCACTTTCAGTGTCTTGAACCAATGTGATACAATCTGGATACATACTGAATTGAAACAGCAATGAAATTTACCTCCAGCTGTGGATTCTTCAGGTCAACTTTCCAGCCCATCAGTCTGCTTAGACCTACTCCGATCACTTTGCTCACCTCCTGAGTTTGATGCAAAATGTAAACATGACTCAATATGACTTGGTGGAGCTGAGAACGACAGTATACTGAATTTGAATACAAATTTCTTGACAGTTTGACAACGATGCTATCTGTTCGCCTGCAGGCTTTTTAAGTAGCTGCTCCATATATCACAGAGTAAGGTATTCATATATTGAGAAGATGCATGCCGTTCCTTAAGTCTGAAAAGGTGCACCTTTCCCAAGACTCTGAAAATGTGCACAAAAATCAAACTGATAGTGATTTCTTTGTGTTTTCTTAACTAGAGCCGGTCCACAAATTGAAATTTTGTCATTATGTCCTAGTATGAATCCTCACAATAAATAAATAAAAAAACTCTACATTTGCTGTAAGGTCTAAAGAAAACTTTTTCTTCATAGTGTAATATCTCTCATCCCAAATTTATGACAATAACAAATGATGTATGTTGTCATATATGTTGTATATTTTCTCACAATGTGCAGACCTATTTACAACATTTAAACACTTACTAGAGACAATGCACTAATTTACTGCACTAACTACCTGTGAACTGAAGTATCTAGAAAGAGATCCAGTACACTTGCAGCTGATCCTAAAGGAGACAGGGACAGTGGGAGATTGAGGTTTGCTGGATTGAAGTGGAGTCTCATCGCTTCCTCCATATGTCTTCTCTTTTTACACATGAAAAAAATAAATCAGAAAGAAAGAGTTTCACCAGGACTGAAAACAGAACAGATTTCCGTCTTTAATGATGGAGTTATATTTGCAGAACTTAAATGAAGGTCATTACCCTTGTCCTCACTTTGAACAGGAAAGTCTTTGTTGTGGTCTCTGTTGTTGAATTTTATCCCTAATATCACTGCAGGTTCATCATTATTTTTGAAGCTGCTATTATCCACAGGAACTCCCCTCTGCTCCTCTTCCGCTGTCACCCTTTGTCTGTTAGATGTCATCTTTTTCTTGACACTCTCCTCACTACAAGATTCTTGAGCATTACCCTCTTCCTTCTCCTCTTCTCCAACATCATTATCATGTTCATCTCGCTTTCTCTTTTTCTTCATTGTCTCAGTAAAGTATTGTTCATCATTTTTCTCTTCTTTCCACTGTGACTCTTCCTCTCTCACTTCTTCAACCCCTTTGTTTTCCATATCCCTCTTTTCCAGGGTCTGTTTTTCATTTAGTTCACCACTCCTCAGGCTCCTGTTCTCCTCCTCCTTTTGCACTCCTTTATTTCTCATAGTGTCCACATTGGGCTTCTCCTTTTCTGTCTGTCCCTCATTCCCCCTCACCTCCTCACTCTCCCCTACAAAGGCAGGGTTTGTTGTGTTTGTGGTACTTTGTCTGTTAGACAGCTCCCCCTGCAGGCAATTCCATGTCATTAAAGCACAGGTCCACTGATTCCTGTCACCCAGCAGCCTTGACTGCAGCACAGCAGCTGCTTTTGCTGTGAATATAAGAGAGACCACAACACAAAAGTTAGTTGAAATGCATGGAAATTACAGACTTTTAATGCACAGAGGCAATAACACAGCAATAGTACAGTTAATGCCTTTCACCACAGGTAATGTTCCTTTGGATTTCATTGATATAGTTGTTACCTGGGCTGATATGGGCAGACAGATGCACAGCTGAGTCTTGCTTTAACAAAAGGAAGAGTCTCTCAGCAGCCTTCAGTTCAACAACTCTGCTGATTTTGACAGAAGAGCTGAACAACACTTTACCTGAAACCTGACACACCTGCACACACACAAATCCTTTTATGAGATGGACACTGATACATGAACATACAGTTTACAGTGTTAAAGCCTTATTCCAAAATGGATTAAATTCCTTTTTTCCCTCAAAACTTCTACACCAAATACCCCATAATGACAAAGCGAAAAACCTTTTTTAGAACATTTTGCAAATTTATTAAAAATGAGACACTCAAATGTTGCATATACATAAGTATTCACACCCTTTGCTATAAAACTCAAAATTGAGCTCAGGTGCATCCTGTTTCCACTGATCAGCCTTGAAATGTTCCTCCAACTTGATTGCTGTCCACCTGTGGCAAATTCAGCTGATTGGACATGATTTGGAAAGCCACACCTGTCTATATAAGATCCCACAGCTGACAGAGCACGTCAGAGCACAAACCAAGCCATGAAGTCGAAAGAATTGTCTGTAGATAGGCCTGTCGCGATAATCAATAAATCGCCTTATCGCTCGGTATCGCTGGCGCGCGCAGGCACGCGCAAGCACACAGACACAGACTTTTGGATACAGTGCTGCAAGTGAGCGTCTTGAGAGAAAAGCAAGCAAACAGAATGAACACGACAGCTTTGGTGTCTAAACCGAACGCAACAGCCCAAGTGTGCGAATATTTCGGCTTTAAACCAAATGAAAGAGGTGAGCCCACAAATATGGACGAGCTGATATGTCGTATTTGTTCCAAAGTTGTGGTGACAAAGAAGGGGAATACGACGAACATGCATGCGCACCTCAAGCACACTCATCCCTTCCGTTTTTCTCAACTGAGCAAAAAAAGTACCGCTGGAGGTCCTGCGGAGCCATCGTCCCAACAGGTACCGCTTACTGAAGCGTTTGGTAAGCAAAGCAAATATAAACAAAACAGCGCAAAAAAGTGCGCGCTGACAAACAGTGGAAATTAAAGTTAATCACTTTTGACACGGTGTACTCGCATTATTATGCCATATATTATCATTTTCTATAATTTAAAAAACGGTGTCAATAATATCGTTTATCGGCAATAATTTGTAGCACAATTATCGTCCAGCAAAATTTGTTATCGTGACAGGCCTATCTGTAGACCTCCGAAACAGGGTTGTATCTGCACACAGATCTGGGGAAGGTTACAAAAAAATATCTGCTGCATTGAAGATCCCCAAAAGCACAGTGGTCTCCATCATTAAGAAATAAAAGATGTTTAGAACCACCAGGACTCTTCATAGAGCTGGCTGCCCAGCCAAAATGAGCAAGTGGGGGGAGAGGGGCCTTGGTCAGGGAGGTGACCAAGAACCCGATGGTCACTCTGACAGAGCTCCAGCTATCTCTGAGGAGATGGGAGAACCCTACAGACTCCCCAAATCCAGGTGTGCCAAGCTTGTTGCATCATACACAAGAAGACTGGAGGCTGTAATCGCTGCCAAAGGTGCTTCGACCAAATATTGAGCAAAGGGTGTGAATACTTATGTATATGCAACATTTGAGTGTCTTATTTTAATAAACTTGCAAATTGTTCTAAAAAAAAAAAGTTTTTCGCTTTGTCATTATGGGGTATTTTGTGTAGAATTTTTGAGGGGAAAAAGGAATTTAATCCATTTTGGAATAAGGCTGTAACATAACAAAATGTGGAAAATTGAAGTGGTATGAGTACTTTCCAGATGCACTGTATATAGCTGATTCTTCAGGATTTCCTACAGTTAATGTTAAAAGGGTCCAGCTCCTTAGAAACAAATGAGTGATCTCCAACAGTACACTAAATTATTATCTAGCTTTGGAAAATGGACAAAAGCTTTTGCAAATTACATGCTTTGTATCTGTAACGAGTGAAGCCATTGCGAAAGTGGCCAGTTCTTTGGGTACATACACAAAGATCCAGAGTAATGCTCTTTTACAGTTTCTATTCAGAAAGTTGTGGTTCTTTAAAAATACATGATGTTCAGCTACTGTTTCTACCAACAACTGAGACAAACATCTTTTGAGAATGCGTCCATCGATGGAAAACAGTTCAAACTCCCCAGTAAGAGTCAGAGAGAGGGTCTATTGAGGGCTGCACTCACATCTTTAGCTGACAGCTTCTTCTTCACCTCGTCGATCAAAAAACGCTCCATACCGTTTCCAGCGGTGCAGTAGTAGCGGATCAAACTCTCCTTACTGCTCGGCTCACTCATAGTGTTAAACGTTTTAATCATCAACACACGGAGTTACTCACAGTTTAAGTTTTCAGTATCCTCTGTGGACACAGAATACAGCCATGCTGGATCACTTGTTTACACCGGAAACGGAATTACGTATCAGGCTGCATTAGCTAGTGACGGCCAGCAGGGGTCTCTCCAGTTCTTGGGTCAGTCCGTCGAGGCTGCCCTTCTTGCACATCCTCTCAAGCTCAAACTCATAGACTGTGTACCGTCTATGTGCTCGACCCATAGATATCAACATTTAATACCTTAATTTACCCTCATGGTTGGATCTTACCCTTTCTTCAAAGCTGTTGACCTGCAATATTTATTTAAATATCAACCAACTTCATGGCTGAAAAATAGTCAAGAGGGAGATTTTTTTAAAGCAGTCAGCTGATGATACAGTGTTATTTTGAGAAAAAAAGAGGGCCTCTGGTTTAACCTTCAGTCAAACAAAATTTGAAATTCCGAAGCTCAATTACAAGTATTCAATGTGACACATTCAATAAAATCAATTAAAACAGCAGGGGTCTCTCCTACACATTGATGTGACTGGAGATGGAAATGTGGTCTCACAAACAGAGACATGTTAATCACAACATTTATCACTGTATGAATGATTAACCAGGCCAAAGTGTTCCAGACTTCACTTTAGCATAGATTTGATTGAGTCTGGCATGACATGAATTTTTTATACTGCAATACAAAGGCCACAACGGCAAGCACTCATTTTGTGAATAACTTTGATGTATGGATTAAGATAAGGTCTTTGCATCAGAAGTCTCTCTCTCACACACAACACTCAACACACACACACGCAGGCACCCACAACACACACACACATTTTAGCTACTGTGATTTCTCTTTGCAAACTTCTCGGCAAAGGCAGATGGTCTTAGCAAACTTCTTGAAAAGCAGTCTACAGTATCGGTGCTTTCTTAAAATTCTCATCTCTTTGTTGTACTAATCTACATTCAAGAGCCAGTCAGATCTTCCATCTTTCAGTGCTTTAAGTCTTCTGTCTCTTAACCACTGTCTTATCTGTGTCTCTCTTCTTGTGTCTCTCACACTCTCTAACATTTTTTAATCTCCTTCTCTCCCTACTCTGACATTTTAATGACCCCAAACACATTTAATCCCCCTTACTTTGTCTGATGAACAGCGTTCTGCTTGTTGCTTTGGACTATAAACATTTCAGACGCTGTCAGGCTGATGGGACCTGCCAGAGTATTGCATGCCTGTAACGGAGTGGAGAATCATAGTAGGAAAATATGTTTAAACATCAGCAAACAGCAGGTATTACTTTAGACTGACTGCCCAGATGGGATGTAATAGAAATGGTATTTCCATTGGATCAAAATCAACTATAAAAACTATCCTATATCAACTTTGAACAATTTCGTAGAATATTTTGTTTCAATATTCTCAGTGAAAGGCTCATTGTATGCTCAATACACATCAATTCAACACTGCGCATTTTTATTGTTAGCAGAGGCATTGGCAGAAATTTTAGTGTGAGTGGGCACCATAGACTGTATATACTATGGACAACTTGGTTCAGCCTTCCGCCAGTATACGGATTTGAAGCTGAAAGGTTTGTGGTAATTCAGCATTTTTTCTCCACTTCCGTTGTACACACTCCACCATTTGAGCAGTAGCATTGTACACATTCGGCGGGAGAGTCACCGAGAGTCACTGTGATGACGCCCGGCTCAAACAGCGTATCACCCAGGTGAGCTATGCAATCTTTGTACGCCCATAGGCTGTATCAAGTGTCAATCATAGAAAACATGAACCTCCTAGTAACTTTTAAAAATGGAGCCGGACAGAAAAAAGAAGATTTGAGCACAAACCAGTCTTACAGTAACTACGTGTCAACATCGCAATGTTCTGTGAAATACATTTCTAAAATTTGTCCACAGCTGCATAAGGATGGCTGGAGAAGGCTGGATTTATGACCTATACTGCAGCCCGTCACCAGAGGGTGCTGTTCTCAGGGTGGCTTCACCCAGCGAGGAGGCAGACGGCGTCCATTCTCTACAGTCTATGGTGGGCACACAGAAAATTTGATGGACTCTCCTGACCCTAAACTCAAACCTTATCAGGATCTGATACATATTTTGTTAACTGAAATGGGACGTTACAACTCTTTGCTTAAATGTAGACCCATTTAGCCACATAAGTCAGGACTCTGATAGACCGTTTTCCTGCAGCAGCCATCTTCTTAGGACGTCATGCCTAGGGTGAAAAACTCACATAGCAACAAAAATGTTATAGAGATAATCAGGAAAGGGACTTAGTTGTATGTTAAGATTCATATTTGATAGCCCATTAGGTAACATCAGAACAGCTACAGTTAGCATTAAGCTACTTTCTAGTAAGAAATTGCAATCAAAATCACTCACACAGAGGAGAAAGAGGAGCGTAAAATGATAATTTGATAGAGAAATACTTTTAAAGCTCTAATGCTTACGTAGGTTTCTATTTTTAAATCACATTAGCTAACAATGCCATGTGTTCAGCATTGAACAAGGGTTTTACTTCCAACATCAGGGAAAGCGCTTCAAAAACAGTTGTCTATGAAAGGATGATTTTGCTTGTGCGTCATATCTAGCTTTAACTCTTTGTGCTACTTGCCAAAGAAAGGCTGGTAATGCAGAGACTGAGGTAGTGAGGAAGAACCCTGGGCTCTGGAGAGTCTTTTCTCCCAGCAGACATTTTGCAAGGACAACAAAACATGTTGTGAAGGAGCTGTGTCCCACCCACCCTCTATAAACATGTCTCCTCTATCAGGCACATTTGAAGATGGAGTTGAATGGCTTGTCCACTGAGCATGGGTTTAAAGAGGGCTTTGACCTCTCTGCTGTTTGTGTGTTATTAGGTCCTTTTTCAGGGGTCTCCACATTAAGGCTGGAGACAGCTGGATGCTACAGCAGTATGAACCTCCATAGCATCTCTGCACCAACATCAGTACTTTTATTTTATCATTCTCTACAGCTGCTTTCTGTGCGTTTTTGCTTTGTACCTTGTGCATTTTAAGTGTGTTTGCAGTTCATGCTGCTGATTGGATTTTTGCAGCATATTTTTGTGTGTAAAATGTACTCATTTTTACTGGTCTTATGATAGATGATGATTACTCTACATTTAGACAGTGACAGCTTTCATTAAATGTTAAGTTTGATAAATTGGCCGTTTACCCAAAACAAAATTCAGGTTCCCCATTTTCTTTGTCACACTCTTTAAAGTTTATCCTCTGACTACTTTCATCAGCCCATAATATTGGATGTACCCATGTAGAAAGGAGACATTAATACTCCTTTCAACAGCTGCCATTTGCAATAATTAGCTCCACTGCTTTTAAGCGAACACAACAGCTTCACAAAATGGACGCTGCCTGGCACACCAGCCGTGAAGTGATGTATTACTGTACGTTAAACTTGTTTTTATTCTCCTCCACACCCCATAAATGGACTAAAGAAGGGAGGGTGATAAATCAGATAAAGAACACAGGATGGGAGAGGAGGGTAGAGGAAAAATGATCATGACAGGATGGAGTCAGAGAAAAGGGAAACAAGCAGCAGAGGAGAAATAGATAAACACATTTGTTGGGATCAGGGAGAGCACAAAAAAGGTTCAGTGACATGTACAATCATGGACACAATGTCAACGCAGGATAAAAATCCATTTGTAAAGAACTGGAAAGATGCATGAATGAGGTTTGAAAAATTCCTGGATTTGAAAACCAAATGATGCGTAAGTTGTTTTTGTGAGTAAGAGCAGCTCTCTTGCTGGAAATGTATTTTGTATGAGTTACAACACACTGAGGGAGCCTGTCGGTGAGTCGGCCCATAGTGCACACTTTTTCATTTTACAAATGCCCCCTGCAAGATGTAAAAACACAACAGGAAAAACAAAAAAAAATGTTCTTTTGTCGCATGCTAAACTCAACAACACAGATGACTAAGAAAGTACTAGAGTCATTGTGGATTATTTAAGGCCATTTTTAGCCAATTAACTAATGGCATTGTGTGTCTGACTTATGTCTCATCTGTTAAAATGGAGAAGTTATTAGGGAGAGCTCCAAGTGTTTACTTTTGGAGAGCTATTTTGTTGTCCATCCTTTTATACCCTGTAGTTGTAGCAGACAAAGGCTCCACAAATAAATCACACATTTGAAAGTGATAAACAATTCTTTTTCTTTATTTTTACCAAATGTGAGTGTTGGTAGTGATTTTATTATGCTGGATGGCACCAAACATCTTTTGCTGGAGGAAAGAGAATTTCTAGATGCTCAGATGGACACCAACACTACATCTGACACACTCAGTGGCTGCACTGTGCAGACACATGGACATATTGTAAAGAGACACTTCATCCTACCCTCGTGTGGATACTGTCCCTGGATGATCTGTTTTCTAAATGAAAACTTGAATCATAAGTGTAAATGGTAGCATGAAAGTAAACATTGTGTGCGTGATGATGAGTATTCAGTAATGTTTCAAGAGGGTTGTTATTTAAAAAGGCTGAACTATGAATGTGTGTAATGTCCAGACACCGGACGCTAAACTCCACTCCGCTTTATTTTATCTCTTATTCCCTTCTCTTTGTTTTGTCCGCTCTTCTATCCTCTGTCTTTTAGTCATATACGTCCTGCCCTTCTCTCCCTTTTTCTATCCCCTTATCCTTAGTGTCCTCTTAAATTTAAATGAGACCTTTACAAAAAGTCAGAGTGGAAAAAAAGAAAATTGTGTAAGAGGGAGATGGTGCACTGAAATTCAGCACGCAATCACCTACATATATGTGTGTTTCCTTCCCTGTTCCAGAGTGCTGATGTGTGTTGTCTGTGGGTGAGAGCACATTGAAATATTAACTGCTCTCAGAGGAATGTGAAGTGTGCAAACAGGACTGTGCATCCATGGATAAAGAGAGAGACAGTCAGACAGAAGCTGAAGGAAAAAGAGAGGAAGAGAGGCCCAGTCTCAGCAGCAGAGCTCAGCACAGCACAGACTGACAGAAGCGATCAAAATCAACACATGCAGGTAAAACAGGAAAGTGCAGGAGGATGGGAAGCATGAAGGGAAGAAATCCAGTGCCAAAATGACAGATAGTGGTTTTCACTGTACAGTGTTAAAAGTTGAGCAGCTATAACCACTACATCTTTCAAACAACTTAAACCTAATAAAAGTATGCTGTTTATATGTGAGTGCACATAATACAGTACAAATCATGTAGAATTTGCAACAACCATCAAACAAACAAATAAAACACTACAGTAAATTTCTCAGCTCTTGAAATGGCTGTCATTCTGAAACATCACAGTGGGAAAAATTATGACATGAGGAGAGGGAGAAACATTTTTATGATACAAACATGAACATTAATCATGGGCTACATTCCTGTCACATAATGACGCATTTCATTTAGCTACAGCAGTATTACAGATAAAACTCAGGAGCCTAGCAGAGCACAAGCCCTTGTCCCAGTTAACAAGGAACATTGCTCACACTATATAAAATCCCAAATCCCCTCGCCTCACATTTTATCAAGTAAAAAAAGTCAACATCACGCCACCAGCAAGGCCACTGTTCCATTTAGCTAAATAAAAAGGCTGAAAGCCCTTGGCCTATTTTTCAATGTTTAGCGCAGCCATAAAGAGTTTGTACCTATTACTTTCATTCCCAAGGACCTCTAGCATGTCCCAGGGTCCCTGGGAGGATTAGTTTAATCTCACTTTCACCCGCTTAAAGATAGGCTTTTTAAAAATTGCTAAGTAATTTAGAGGTTTCAACTCTCCATGCACTAAATGCAAAAACCGTTTGATGAAGAGTTTCACGGCCTGCATCTCAGACAAAACTCAACCTCCCTATTTTCACAGCAGCTGACTTCCCCATCCTTGCCGCTAGGGGGAGATCTAGATTTAGTGCTGAGGTCCATCCTGCTGCTGTGTTGTCTTGGATAGTATCTCGAGTGCATCACATGACAGTGAGCAACCAGGGAGGAAGAGAGAGAGACCGGCTGGAGAAAACATCACAGAGGTATATACTAAATATTACGACTTGCTGGTGTTGAAAGTTCAATAGTCACTGATTTTATGGCTCATGTTTTGAATTGTTTACTTGTAATAAAACTAACAGGTCGTAGTAGCCTAAATTTGAGGATGTTAATTTTTGTTTAAACTAACGCAATACTTTTATCAGCCTATTTATTTACTAAAATTCAAACATGTGGGGGAAAAAAGACAGAAAGGAGTTGGTGATTCACACCATCTGTACCGAACTTGTAAAGTTAGGGATCCAAATGTGTTCACTTTACTCCCTCCTAATCCTAGGAAAAGAGGTTTTCTGTTTAAAAAACAAAAAAAACAAAAAAAACTATATATATATATATATATATATATATATATATATATGTTTATGTACATCTTTTTATTCAGTTTAGTTTAACTGAGTACCCTCTTATTTTAAAGCCCACTGTAAACTGCAATGAGCAGGCTAGCTTAAAGATAGTATATAAGGAGGGGGTGGGGTTCCCTGAAAGTGAAACCGAAACAAGTAGAGCTCCCCTGGGTGGTTTCTCTAGTGCAGTGGTTCTTAAGTCCAGTCCTCGAGGCCTACAGTCCTGCATGTTTTGGAAGTTTCCCTGCTCCAACACACCTGATTCAAATAATCAGCTCGTTATCAAGCTCTGTAATGGCTTAATAACGAGCTAAACATTTGAATTATTAAATTATAATGTGTCATTTATTATTTCTTATGCATGCTTGTCATCATAATAGTTTTTATCTGATGTATAAAAAGTTTTAGTTTTTGGGGGTAGTTCATCTTTTATTATTTAATGATACAAAACCCAATTCCACTGAAGTTGGGAAATTGTGATAATCGTAAATAAAAACAGAATACAATGATTTGCAAATCCTTTTCAACGTATATTCAATTGAATATACTACAAAGACAAGATATTTAATGTTCGAACTCATAAACTTTTTCTTTCTTTTTTTTTTGCAAATAATAATTAACTCAGAATTTCATGGCTGCAACACGTGCCAAAGTAGTTGGAAAAGGTGGCAAAAAATACTGAGAAATTTGAGGAATGCTCATCAAACACCTATTTGGAACATCTCACAGGTGAGCAGGCTAATCGGGAACAGGTGGGTGCCATGATTGGGTACAAAAGCAGCTTCCCCAAAAATTCTTAGTCATTTACAAGCAAGGATGGGGCAAGGTTCACCACTTTGTGAACAACTGCGAGAGCAAATAGTCGAACAGTTTAAGAACAATGTTTCTTAAAGTACAATTGCAAGGAATTTAGGGATTTCAACATCTACGGTCCATAATATCATCAAATGGTTCAGAGAATCTGGAGAAATCACTGCACGTAAGCGGCACGGCCGGAAACCAACATTGAATGCCTGTGACCTTTGATCCCTCAGGCAGCACTGTATCAAAAACCAACATCAATGTGTAAAGGATATCACCACATGGGCTAAGGAACACTTCAAAAAACCACAGTCAGTAAATAGTTCGTCGCTACATCTGTAAGTGCAAGTTAAAACTCTACTATGCAAAGCCATTTATCAACAACATCCAGAAATGCCGCCGGCTTCTCTGGGCCCGAGCTCATCTGAAATGGACTGATGCAAAGTGGAAAAGTGTTCTGTGGTCTGATGAGTCCACATTTCAAATTGTTTTTGGAAATAGTGGACGTCGTGTCCTCCAGGCCAAAGAGGAAAAGAACCATCCAGACTCTTATTGACATGAAGTTCAGACAACAACGGGGACCCCGGACTGTTGAACAACTGAAGCTGTACATCAAGCAAGAATGGGAAAGAATTTCACCTTCAAAACTTCAACAAATAGTCTCCTCAGTTCCCAAACGTTTATTGAGTGTTGTTAAAAGGAAAGGTGATGTAACACAGTGGTAAACATGCCCCTGTCCCAACTACTTTGGCACGTGTTGCAGCCATGAAATTCTGAGTTAATTATTAGCAAAAAAAAAATAAAGTTTATGAGTTTGAACATTAAATACCTTGTCTTTGTAGTGTGTTCAATTGAATATAAGTTGAAAAGGATTTGCAAATCATTGTATTCTGTTTTTACTTACATTTATCACAATTTCCCAACTTTAATGGAATTGGAGATGGAATTATTCCAACAACGCAACACTAGCTCAGTTTTGCAGTGCCTTCCAGGATGTTACTTTGGCTCCAGTTTTTTTACAGTTGGAGAAGGTGGAGGCATGTGGTTAATATTTATGAGATACAAGATGCTGGATTGAGGGCTTTATACCAATTGAATACAAAGCTGTTGTACACCTTTATGTGACATGAATTTTATTTTTTCCGACTGTTTTGTCTGAAGTTTAGAATTTGACAATTTTCTTTCCTTCTTTAGATGCTGCCATGATTTATAACAATAAAGGTATTAGATACTGACACACATCTGGACATCATGGGGCAGCTGTTTTCATCACAGGAAGAGCTCTCCCAGGTGGAGAAAGTGATTGGTTCTCTCATCTACAATGCCATGTTGAAAGACAGCGCTGTGCCTGAGCTCAAGGTTGTCCATCCTCTCCTCTTAGCCAATCAGGCCGAGAGCCCTGAGTCCAGAGCTTACCTCCAAAAACAACTTCAAGAGGTGAGTGAAACAAAACACAGAGGAGACAAGGGCTGTTCATTCGAGGAGACAAATGAAATTAATTATTCAATCCCTAAGTGCATCTGGAAAGTATTCATACCACTTCACTTTTTCCACATTTTGTTATGTTACAGCCTTATTGCAAAATGGATTAAATTCCTTTTTTCCTCAAAGATTCTACACAAAATACCCCATAATGACAAAGCGAAAAACTTTTTTTAGAACATTTTGCAAATTTATTAAAAATAAATAATAATCACATCTCTTGAATTTTACGGTGTTGTATGGATGTATTTTTTTTCCAGGATGTTCCTGAAAAAAAAAAAAAGAAATGAATAAAAGGCCTTATATTTTCGTGCCCAAAATAATTTGCTGTGTCATATTGTGCACGAGACTATGTGACGCAGTTTTTCGAAAACTGTACGGATCACCTGCGAGTGAAGTGAAGATAAAAAAACTTACGCTGAAAATGGCAAATAGAGCTCGGTTGTTGTCTCTTCTCGCTGTCTTTAATTGCCATTGGAGATGCAATGCATGACGGGATGCCCACCACCAGTAAGTGACCATCGGATGGTCACTGCATTTTGCAATTCTCTATGGGAAATTTTGAGTTGCCTATATGGGGCGTTGAAATTGATCACTCAGGTTTCGGACACCCCTTAAAATGGCGCTAACCCCCATATAGTTGCCTGTATAGGGGTTAGGGATCCATTTTGGACACAGCCATAGACTGACAGAACATCAGGTTGTATCTTCCAGTTAAAGTGGGCTGTGGGGATTAAGTGCTGATTGATTTCAGCTGTAAATCCATTCAGGGGGAGAGGGGGAGATAAACACGAGTAAAAAGAAAGTTGTTGCCTTGAGACAGTTAACAAAGAGCAAGTGTGCAAAATGAGGCAGCACTCAGTAATGGAAGTGTTGTCCTTCTGGGGTTTATAAAAAGAATACAATCAATACCTGTGCCTGGTGTGACAATGACAAACTGCATTTCATCTTTAAAAAAGCAGGAACAATTTACTCACCATGTATTTTATTCTATTGAGACGGATGGTCAAAATTAGTGTAGTGTGCCATTAGCAACTCTATTGTGTATTTTTTTTCCACCCAGCTACAAAGCAACATCGGGAACAAAGCACCCACCTACCTGAGGGATCTGATCGGCAAATTGTCGACCTTCTCAGATGAGCCACGCATAGCAGGCCTGGTGGGATTCGTGGTTACTGTGGTGGTGGATATGGCCTATTCATCTACAAAACGGTCGTCAGGTGTGAAAGGGAAGTCTGTGGGATCTTCAAGCCAGGTAAAAACTCTGATTTAAAACGATGAAGTGCCACTTACACAGTCTGAGTGCTTTTGAGACTTTCATTCAATATTCAAGCGTACGTTTCCTATATCTTCCATCCAGCTATACTAATGAGCATGCTTATGAGCAAAGTAAATCTTGGTCTTGCTCCGTAGACTGTATATAAAATGGACACCGTCTGCCTCCTCTCTAGGTGAAGCCACCCTGAGAACAGCACCCTCTGTTGACGGGCTGCAGTATAGGTCATAAATCCTGCCTCCTCCAGCAATCCCTATAGAGCTGTGGACAAATTTAGAAATTTATTACACAGAATATAAATCTTTCTCCCTCTAGTTGCGATGTTGACATGTAGTTACTGTAAGACTGGTTTGTGTTCAAATCCTCTTTTTTCTGTACAGCTCCTTTTTTAAAAGTTATTGGGGGGGGTCATGTTTTCTATGATTGACACTTAATACAGCCTATGGCCAGGGTCCGCAGTAGGCGGACCACCTCTTTGTGGACCCAGAGCAAAAAAAAAATCAACAACATGGCACGGCACTCTCTCTGACTGACTGACGTGAGGTTAGACTGGCCGAGTGAGAGAGAGAGAGAGAGAGAGAGAGAGAGAGAGAGAGAGAGAGAGCGCATGTGACTGTGCGCGTGCTCACGCTTTTATTATGGGCTGCCATTCCCATGACAATGATGCGCTGATTGGCTGATAACTACGCAAACTGGCAGTTACACATCTTCCTCCTTCAGTCTGTCTTCTTTGCACGGCGCAGGCAGCGGTAACGTCTTTGCAGCAGGAGCGTTGCTCACACCCAGCACCCAACATCAAAATGGCAAATCAGAGAAATGTGGACACTGAAAATCTCTGATTCACTGACGAATGGACCAACAAATATATGATTATCTTACCCCCTTCAAGCACAAAGCAAATGTGTCTTTTGTGCAAAGCACTGTTGCTCTAATAAAAAGTAAAAACATAAAATGAGAAGCGATTTTGATAGAGATTGCCCCCAAAATCTTAGCAACAAACAGATAAAATAAAAAGCTTATTTTATTTTATTGAGTAATACTAAGTAAGAAAGAATATCAGTGTGATGCTGAAAATGAATGTTTTTGTGCCTTCCAATAACTCCTGATTATTACAGTACACTACACCCAGCCTGAAACTACACAAAAACATAAAAAAAGGTAAATAATAAAAGAAAAACGCCAAAATTTTTCGCCACCACGCATGCGCTGTGGACCTATGACTTCCTCAAAATTTATTTTCTGGACCTTTTACATTTCTAATTGAGAACCCCTGGCCTATGGTATGAAGATTGCGTAGCTCACCTGGGGGCTAGCTGTTTGAGCAGAGCGTCATCACAGTGACTCTCCTGCCGAATGCGTACAACGCTACTGTGCAATGTTGGTTTCAGGAAGTGGAGAAAATCCTGGAAATACCGAGAGCTTTTTGGCTTCAAATCTGCATAATGGCAGAAGACAGAACCAAGTTGTCCATAGTATATACAGTCTATGGTTTGCACTTGCTGAGTGGATGGAACATACAAAGTGTACAAGCACATGTTTTATTCTGCAGATCAGTAAATCAACATTGTTGCAAAAATGTCTCTAAACTACACTTTCATGCTTGAATTTACCTCCAGCAGAGAGTGTGGGAACTCCAGGAGGTGATGGAGGAGTACCTGAAGCGCGTTAGAATCAACTTGAATGACAAAAGCAAGCTGATCCAGGATTCTATTAGACTAGAGGCTCAGCTCAGCCTCATCCTCACTCAACTGAAGACCTGCTTGCTGGGGGGAGACTGTGACTCAAGGTCTGAGAATACAGAGGAGCCTAGTATCATTCATGTGACACATAAATGAGTACTTAGAAATGAAAATACATTGTAACTGCATGAAGGTGAGAAAGCCAAGAGGTTGGTTGGTTGGTTTATTTCATGCACTGTCTCTTTAGGTCTCTGAGGCATTGGGCCAGCGGAGCAGCATTTCACACCCAGATGTTGGTTCATCTGGCCTGCCTTGAGGGTCAGATTGAACCTTTGTCTGCAAGAGCAGCACTGGAGCAATACAAGGAAGACCTCACACAGATCATACCTGCTTACAGGTAACACAGCCATCATGCCATGTTTGCAGGTTCTTATCACTTAGCCAGCAAACATGTCCATGTAGTGACTGGTGGTTTTATGAGGCACATGTTCCAGATACAGTATGCATGCAGAGATACATCACTGATAGGGCCAACATGAGCCACAATCAACTGGGTAACTCTCACTCTTGTGATGTTAATGGGATATTCTGGCGTAAAGTTGATCACCAAGTTCAGCGGATGGTTTCCATGAAGTAATGATGATTTTGCAATGCAGACATGGTAGTTTTTCTGCCTCAGTGTCTCAGTCTTATTGCATTTCCACTAAGTAATAATCATAAATGTTTGTCCTTGAGCTGTGAAACTCTGCTGCACTTGGTGATCGACTCGTCAGGGCTCTCCCACAAACAAGCGGCTGCTGGAGGAGAGTAGGTGAGTTGTGTTTAGTCTCTTTGCTAAAGAAATCAGGCAAAGCTGATGGCTAGTTCTATGGCTGGGACCCTATTTGTACTATTGATGAAGTTAGTTGCTGTTCTGAGCATTATTTGTGGCTATAGAGTGGCTTTTTGGTTGAGGTTTGTTTATGGCTCCTCAGACCACTGTGTATTGCTATTGTGCAGTTGTTACTAAAGTTGGTATAACTAGAGAAGCAAGCGGTCAGTGACATTCATCTTTTAAGGGGATGTCTGACTCACTGTTACGATGTGTTTGACCATAACTTAAATTAATGCCAGAATATCCCTTATGTTGCACTTTTTCTTTATAACTAGTGATTTCGACCCCTTTCTGGGCAGAAGTTTGCAGCCTTAAAATACAAGATACAGTGTCAAGAGCCAGAGAAGTGAGCTGCTTACTGTGATGCATAATGGCAGGATATATCTCAAGTATAAGTTTTTTTTTTCCCATGTTGTCAGACAGAAAGTGTGCAGCACAAAAGATTAATCCTGATAAAACTTTCTACTGTGGAGACTAGAGCTGCACAGAGCCTTGTTGTCTCCAATGAGATAAGTTCCCCAGTCTGCTCCAAATATAACCCCAGAACCCCTGTCAGACGGTGAGAAATGTCTGCTCTTAAACTTTTGGCTTACAGTAAAAAAGTCAGTCATGTAACAGCAGAAGCATTTAAAAGTAAAATGAAAAACCCTACTGCTACTGTTCTTCAAATGGGTTTTAAAACCTCTTCAGTTCAAGACATTGACATCCGGAAAGTATTCATATCACTTCACTTTTTCCACATTTTGTTATGTTACAGCCTTATTCCGAAATGGATTAAATTCCTTTTTTTCCTCAAAAATTCTACACCAAATACCCCATAATGACAAAGCGAAAAACTTTTTTAGAACATTTAGCAAATTTATTAAAAATAAGACACTCAAATGTTGCATATACATAAGTATTCACACCCTTTGCTATAAAACTCAAAATTGAGCTCAGGTGCATCCTGTTTCCACTGATCAGCCTTGAAATGTTCCTCCAACTTGATTGCTGTCCACCTGCGGCAAATTCAGCTGATTGGACATGATTTGGAGAGCCACACCTGTCTATATAAGATCCCACAGCTGACAGAGCACGTCAGAGCACAAACCAAGCCATGAAGTCGAAAGAATTGTCTGTAGACCTCTGAAACGGGGTTGTATCGGCGCACAGATCTGGGGAAGGTTACAAAAAAATATCTGCTGCATTGAAGATCCCCAAAAGCACAGTGGTCTCCATCATTAAGAAATAAAAGATGTTTAGAACCACCAGGACTCTTCATAGAGCTGGCCGCCCAGCCAAAATGAACAAGTGGGGGAGAAGGGCCTTGGTCAGGGAGGTGACCAAGAACCCGATGGTCACTCTGACAGAGCTCCAGCGTTCATCTGAGGAGACGGGAGAACCCTACAGAAGGACCACCATCTATGCAGCACTCCACCAGTCAGGCATTTATGGTAGAGTGGCCAGACAGAAGCCACTCCTCAGTAAAAAGCACATGACAGCCCGCTTGGACTTTGCTAGAAGGCACCTGAAGGACTGGCAGACCAGGAGAAACAAAATTCTCTGGACTGATAAAATGGAGATAGAACTCTTTGGCCCGAATGCCAAGTGTCATGTCTGGAGGAAATCAGGCACCGCTCACCACCTCGCTAATACCATCCCTACAGTGAAGCATGGTGGTGGCAGCATCATGCTGTGGGGATGTTTTTCAGCGGTAGGAACTGGGAGACTTGTCAGGATCGAGGGAACAATGAATGCAGCTAAGTACATCGAAATCCTTGATGAAAACCTGCTCCAGAGCGCTCAAGACCTTCGACTGGGGTGACGCTTCATCTTCCAGCATGACAATGACCCTAAGCACACGGCCAAGAAGACAAAGGAGTGGCTTCAGGACAAGTCTCTGAATGTCCCTGAGTGGCCCAGCCAGAGCCCAGACTTGAACCCGATTGAACATCTTTGGAAAGACCTGAAAGTAGCTGTGCACCAACGCTGCCCATCCAACCTCACTGAGCTTGAGAGGATGTGCAAGTAGGAATGGTAAAAACTCCCCAAATCCAGGTGTGTCAAGCTTGTTGCATCATACACAAGAAGACTGGAGGCTGTAATCGCTGCCAAAGGTGCTTCAACCAAGTCTTGAGTAAAGGGTGTGAATACTTAATGTATTGTTTTTTTGTTTAAAAAAAAAGTTTTTCGCTTTGTCATTATGGGGTATTTTGTGTAGAATTTCTGAGAGAAAAAGGGAATTTAATCCATTTTGGAACTAGAAAAACACTCGGAGAGCGCAGACCTCCGCGAAGCAGCTCATGTCCCCCCTTATATTGTGATTCACACCAAAACTTTTAGTGTTACATGTCTTTTATTAACTTTTATTTGTGTTTAAACTGGTATGTTCACTGTTCATAATGTTCCTAATGTTCCTAAAACAAGAAATGCCCTGACCCGGATTCGAACCCATGACCTTCTTGCTCTGAGGCGACAGTGCTAACCACTACATCACTCTGCCGCCCATTGGTTATCTTTCAGCATTGAAAATTGCAACGACACCCGTATTTTTGTGTGTTCTGGATCACAGTATCTGGAATTTTGTCTGGATCAGGATCAACCTTTGACACCTCATAAAACTCATTGAGATACTTCTTTACTAATTACTAATTAGATACTAATTTTTTACTAAAGACTCTGGCCATTTTTGTAAAGTTAAATGCAAAGATTCCAAAATTTGCTCTATCTCACAATGATAAAGAATCCTTCAAAAAATTCCTGGATCCAGAAGGCGATCTGGATCACCACCAAAAGGTAATGGGATCCTCCTGGGGCTGAGACGCACCTCTGGTGAAAATTTCAGGTCAATCCGTCTGTAACTTTCTCCATAAAGTTGTTCACAGACAAACCAACAAACCAACGCTACCGAAAACATAACCTCCTTGGTGGAGGTAATAAGGCTGTAACATAACAAAATGAAGTGAAGTGGTATGAATACTTTCTGGATGCACTGTATATCCTGTATCAACTGAAGTGATGAATCCCAGTCTCAAAGTCAACAAATGTGCACTTGAAAGTGTTTGATGTGGGTACACATTCACAGAAATGAACCAGCTCTGAATAAAGTGATAAAACGATGAGCCGATTGAAACTTTCTGTCTGCCTTTTCCTCATCCTTATTTCCCCCCTTTCATTACAGGCGCTATAAGTCAAATACAGTGTGCGTTGTGAAATGTCGAGGGGGGTCTCTGGTATCACATGACCCCCCAAGTGAAATGCCAGAGGAGGGATTCATGACAGGACTCACTGTGACTGACAGAGAGACAGGGAAGAGTGTGACTATCCCTCTATCAGCCATGGAAACAGAAATGGGTACATATTTTTCCAGTATGCAAAAATCTTTGAATGACTTTCTCAGTGGAAATGCATTCATTGAACCTGATTTAACTCAACAGGGAACTCCACCTCCTTTAACCTGGACCTGATCACCTCAGATCAGTACACGCAGGCATACTTGGACCGTCTGTTCTCTGATAAAGGACCCTTGGCAGAGCTGGAGGACTACTTTTTGAAGGCCAGGGACAATCTGAGAACTCTCAAAACTAAATCAGCATATCCAAATAAGACAGAGGTGGGCGATGGGATGGTGCAAAGTGATGGGCAGAAAGATCAAACACAAAGAGAGAATGGAGTTGAAGAAAAGAAGGAAGCAACAAGAAGACGAGGAGAGATGGAGGAATGTAAGGAGAGAGCTGATGATCTGAAGCTGAGTATTGTGGAGACACAGCAAGATGAGAGCCTCAGTCACAGTCTAGACACTTCAACAAACACCTGACCTGGGAGAAGTAATCAGAAGTGTCAGAAAAACATAATCAGCAGCTCAGCTGAGGTGAATGAAAAATAAATGTGTGGTTTCTTTATTTAGTGTTTAAAACTTGATATTGAATTGAAGCTGGATGGCTGTTTTTCTTTTTTGTCTGCATCACACTTTTCTGCATTAGTGACACCAGCACAAGCCAAATAATAGTTTTGAGTTTATCTTGAATTTATCTAGGTCTGCTTCAGTATAAGTAGCATATGTATGTCCAGTATGTGAATTATTTTCAATGGACTCATCATCCCCTACGACACACCTGATTATGAGCTAGTAAGACATATTCTCTGGAGACCTCCTTTGAAAATATAAATGATACCAGCACGTGAAGGCTGACTTCAAATTTGATGAGCCATATAAGCTCTGTTCTCACAGTTCAGAAGCAATGTAGCCATGGCAAAACATGTTTCCATGGTTACTGATTGCTGCTGTCTTTGATATTTCTGTATTTTGGAGCTGCTGGAGTGTCACTGTCTGCTTATAAATGTTAACTCAAGCCTGGAATGAAGGAAACTTATTTATGGCACAGTAATCTAATAAACACACCCAAATGACTTTGCAAAAGTTGTCTGTTTTTTGACTTTACATGGCAGAAAATTGACTCAAATCACTCTGCTGTGGCATACTTTCTGAGGTCACAAGCACAATAAAACCCATCCCCCCATGTATGTGAAAAGGAGTGCATGATGAAAAACATGGACACAGGAGACAGTACTTTCCATTAAGAGTTTCTCACTCAGCAAAGGTTAGAAAGATGCTTTTGCTCTCACGTTTGAAGGTGTGTGATGCAGCAGGTGAGTGGGCAGCACAGGAACTAGCTCTTATGTGTTGGAGCTGACAGTGCTGTGTGAATGTCAAGCCGGAGAAGGAGAGTGTGTGTGGGAGTGTTGGCGAGAGCGTGTGAGAAAGAATTTTGAGAGACTTATTGTATGTATGAGTTGGTCTGGATCAGAGAAGAAGGATGATTAGGTGTGCAGAGGTAAGTATGTGAGAAAAAGAAAATTGCCAAAAATGGAAGACAAATTACATGTGTGAGTGTCTGTAGCTGTGTGTACATTTTAAATACATCTTGCATATTGCAGAGGAAATCGTAAAGCAAAAGGCCACAGCAATTGAAACAGGAGTAAATGTGGTAATGCAAAAATGTATGCTTTGAGACAGGAAACATTGGAGATGGTAGGGATAACTACCACCAAATCATAGGGGAAAGTGGGGTTATGATCCTATGACTAGTGCAGTTCAATGAACTGCAGCCTCTGTTCATGGCACGAACTATCATCCAGCTGCAGCCCCAGAGTCAAGCCATCATGTGCCAAAGCCAATGACGTGCCCAAAATGCTGCTGGTGTGATGGAAAGGCAGACGTACAATTTATTTGCTGTACATAATGCTTTTTAAAATTGATCCTTGAATTACTAAAAAATATTAACTTATAATCCGGAGAAATGATGCAGTATTTCTAAAAGTTTATGTTATTATTATTATCAAGACATCAACAGGTTTATCTTGTTTTTCCTTTAGGGATGTAGAGGAGGTTTAGAATGTGTACTGTTTTGCACTGCTATTATGAACCATGATTTATACAGTTGCAATTAAAATTATTCATCAAAAATTAGGTTTACTGGCAACCTGTATATTTATACACTACAAGCCAAAAGTTTGGAAGCAAGATCAGATTTGTACAAAAAAGATCATAGTTTCATATATATAAAGAGTAACTCATCAGAAGACATTTTGACTATAATTATTAGGTATTTGAGTTATTGTTGCTTAGACTTTGCTTTCTTTAGAGTAACCTCCTCTGGCTTTAACAACAGCTTGGCATATACCAGGCATTCGTTCCACAAGTCTTCTAAGGTATGTTCCAGGGATTGCATTCCAAGCTTTCTTTAGATTGATCCAATTCTTCCCGCACAAGCTCAATTGGAGAAAGGTCTGGAGACTGAGGGGGTCAAACCATCTTTTGAAGAACACCTTCCTCTTCTTTTTTGTCTAGGTAACCCTGACAGAGCTTAGCAGAGTGCTTAGGGTCATTGTCTTGCTGCAAAACAAACTTATGAGCCACAAGTCTGAGTTCAGATGGAGCAGCATGGTGCTGGAGGATGGAGTGGTACTGTTCCTTCTTCATGATACCCTTTACTTCAAACAAATCCTCTACTCCATCACCTGCAAAATATCCTCATACCATGGAACTACCACCTCCATGCTGAATTGTGGGTGTAACACATGGTGCTTTGAAACATTCACCAGTTTGTCTGCAGACATAGACTCTGTTTTTTGAACCAAACAGTTCAAACTTGTTTCTAGTCATCCATGGTCCGATTTTTTTGAGCTTTGGCCGACTCATATCTCTTTTTCTTGTCCTGTGGATGAAGCAGTGTTTTTTGCAGATACACAACCCTTCAGACCAGGCTTTCTCAAACTACATTTCACGGTTGTCAGAGATATGGGTTTCGACCTTGTCATATTGACTTCCTCCCTTATTTGTGGTGCTGTCTTTCGCCAACCTCTCTTACTGGTGACAATGATATGTTTATCCTCTGCTTTTGCAGTAACTCTCTTTCGTCCAGGTCTTTTTCTATCATAACTTCCAGGTTCCTCTAGTCTCTTCAGAGTGTAGTGGACTCCTTTGTTAAACACCTTTAGGCAAATGCAATTTCTCTTTCAGTGTATCCTTCTTTCCTCAATGTACAAATCTGTACTTTTGTTTCTTTACTCAGCTGCTTCTTTCTAGCCATTTTTGCAGTAGTTTGAACGCAGTTAAGATTTATTAGGATTTTTGATGCAGACTCTCAAAAGCCAAAAAGTTGAAGTGAATAATCCAATTGTGATTAGTTTTTTTGCTTTTGCACTGAAATTGTAAATCTTGCAAATGTTTTCAACCCTAAAACTAAGCCCTTATTTTCTTTTGCTGACATATATTTAGCAATGGTCTGTTAACATCAATGTATATCTAAAGGTAAATGGAGTAAAATGGTGCATTTCCATGAAAGCAACACCTGATCATGGAGTAAATACATCCCAAAATACATAAAACTCATGCTGGATTTAAAAAAAAAGCATTGTGAACAAAAACTTGAAGCTACTCCCAACTGTTCGGCCTGTAATGGCCTTGCTTCAAAACTTTTGTCCTGCAGTGTATGTGTATGAATAAACTTTCCAGATCTAAAAGACCCTTTCCATAATAATGCATGAGTGTATGTTCCCAAACATACACCTCGAGATCAAACATTTTCAGTCTATCATCATTTTTATTTACTTACGTATCTTATTTCACCCATTATTTATCCATCCTGAAATAATTATGGGTAGGAGCTGATGTGAATGAAAGTGAAATAAATGTCTAAAACAGCTTCCTATAGGGTGTCTTTAAACTGGGGCTGCAGGATTTTGGCCTAAGCTAAAATTCAGATTTTTTTGCCTGACAAAATGAATAAGTTGTCAAATGATCAAATGAAAATGTGTTCGTGACAGTTGGACATAATAATCACGTTTGAAAAATGCTTAAAAAGAGGTTGTTACTTAGACCAGATTTCATTTTTCTTTCAACTTAATCTCAACAATGAAATCCTGGCTGGTACTTACTGGATGTCCTGGGTCATTAAAAGGAAGGTGTGTGAGTAACTTAGAGAATGGATGAAAATGATGGCTGTAAAGATAGAAAGATGTAGGTATGATCAAAAGGTGGATGGTTTTTCTTTGTGTGTGTTTTTGTGCCAGGTTTCACAAGCTATTGTGAAGTCACACTTCACAGCTCCAATTACAGCTCTCTGCTCTGCTAATGCTGGCTGATTGGTGTTATTACTCTCTCACTCTTCTATTCTCTTCCTCCATCTCTCTTTTTTTCCCCTTTCCCTGTCTGCCTATGAAACTGGCGTGACTCTATTATTCAATGTGATGTAACTCTGACTGGCTTTAGACACACTCTTGAGACACTTGAGAAAAACAGTTATGTAATTGAAAAACACCAAACAGCAGCACTCATAAAAATGGAATAATTTGCATGGCTCGCATTTTGCATTTCTCAGCTTATGTTAATATTTTTCTTGCAAAGTTTCAGTGATTCCTTTCTAAACATTTGTCTTAACGTGTAAAATATCTGTCTCAAGTTTCACTAAAGAAGACTGGGATTAGATTTGCATTATGATTGGATAAAATGCAGGATGTGTGGGAGAGAGTGGCCGGATGGGTAAAACTAGGGAATTATTCAAGTTTCTTTTTTTCTTTTTTTTGCACCCTTATTTTACTTATTTTACTTTGTTTTTTTTTGCATAACTCAAATTCTTTCTAACCAAAACAAAACAAAGTATATTTCATACCTGAACCTGACTAAAAGACACCAATTCTGTAATGTTTAGTTGTTTGACAACGTTCTCAAGACCACAAATGTTACCAGACTTTAACAATCACCTGGCTGATAGAAAGTGAAATGCTTCAAAGCTTCATTAAAGACTTAAAGGAAGTTGCATGTGAAGGATTTTTTCTGAAAGTCCAACAGGATGTATGTTATCACTACACTTGACAACTTTGGAGAGAGTGTGTTTTCGATGAGAGCAAATGACACACCAGTCTCCTTCCTCTTGCCCTGACTGGGTGTTTTTGTGTTTACATTGTTGTTGTGTGTGTCTGCTTGTATACCACAATCTGTCATGGTAAAATGTAGCCGTGACAACTAAAATTACCACAGTAACTCAACATCATCATGCCGCCCACAGCCTCTCAGCAGAGAACAGTTGCTGACACAGAGTAGCAGCCTGTTCAGAGTCTGTCTGCTTTGTACACCACAGCGGGGAATTCACTTAGGATGGATTGTGGCCCCAATAGCACCAAGACTGGTGCATCATATGCCCAGTACCTGCTCTGTCCCAAGGTTGAATTCACAAAGTATGTTGGGTTCATGATATTCAGGCACAAACAGGATCATCAAGTTTTGTAGCCCTTTGCAGTTTGCTCCTATATTGCATCCTATTGTGGCGATGAGCTGTCAGCCATCACCATGATAGAGCCAGAGATGAGCTAGTGTGTTGTCAGGTTAGTTTATGATAGGTGTAACCATAGACTGAATGTAGAATGGACGCCATTTGCCTCCTTGCTGAGTGAAGCCACCACGAGAACAGCACCTTCTGTTGATGGGCTGCAGTATAGGTCATAAATCCTGCCTCCTCCAGCAATTCCTGGGCTATCAAATATGAATCTTAACATACAAGTGAGTCACTCTCCTGATTATCCCAATACTGTTTTTGTTGCAATATGAGTTTTTCACTCTCTGCGTGACATCCTAACAAGATGGCTGCTGCTGGAATATGGTCTATCAGAGTCTTCTTGATGGGTCATATTCCTGGTCTTGATAGCACTCTGTCAACTGACATATTTGGCTAAATGGGTCTACATTTAAGCAAAGAGTTGTAATGTCCCATTTCAGTTAATAAAATGTGCATCAGATCCTGATGAGGTCTGAGTTTAGGGTCAGGAAAGTCCATCTATATTTCACCATAGACTGTAGAGAATGGACGCCGTCTGCCTCCTCGCTGGGTGAAGCCACCACGAGAACAGCACCCTCTGTTGATGGGCTGCAGTATAGGTCATAAATCCCGCCTCCTCCAGCAATTCCTTTGGAGTTGTGGACAAACTTTAGAAATTAATTACACAGAATATAAATTTTTCTCGTCCCTGATTGTGATGTTGACATGTAGTTACTGTAAGACTAGTTTGTGCTGAAGTCCTTTTTTTCTGTACAGCTCCATTTTTAAAAGTTATGGGGGGGGGGGGGGGGGGGTCATGTTTTCTATGATTGACACTTGATACAGCCTATGGGTGTACGAAGATTACGCAGCTCACTCGAGAGATACTCTGCGACTCTCCTGCCAAATGCATATAACGCTACTGCGCCAGTGGTGAAATATGTTTAACGCTACTGTGCCGGTGGTGCTTCCAGGAAGTGGAGACAATCCCAGAAATACAGAGGGAAATTTGGCTTCAAATTTGTATAATGATGGAACACAAATCTTAGTGTTTGTATTCTGACTTCCGACAAAGAAAGACTAAAATCTGTCATGTGTAATAGCCAAGACAGTCTCCACACCTGGAATAGTCATACTGCATGAGCCAGGACACAAAGAACAGCCCCAGACTGAGTCATTATAAATGGTGATGTATGCAGGTATTTTATTTTTGGGATGTCTTGTCATATTGATGGCCTCCTCCTCAGTTATGTCTTGTTCTTTATGAACTAATCATGAGCTGGGAGAGGGAGGCGCAGGGGTCAAAAACTCAAGGTCTTTCAATTACTGCTCAATCTTTGTTATATAGACCTATTGATTAGTGCAGCCTAAATAATCGCCAAATAAAGCTTAAGTGCTTTAAAGTGCCAATCATGTGACTTAAAGAGATTTAGCCCCTTAACTCCAAAATGCATACCTGTTTCATTCCTGCATACAAAGCCATACAGGCTATTGGACTGATCTCCCACCTTCAAGGCAGCCCTTTGGATACAAGTCATTTCACTTAAAAAAAAATTAACTCTCAGTGACTTAGAACTTGCATGAGATGGCTAATTAATAACAGTGAACAATTTATTTATCAAAGTCCAATACAGACAATAACTAGATGAGACAGTCAGAGTTTCTTAGACATGAAATCAGTTCATGTTGCTTTAAATTGATAACATCCATATT